TTTCAAAGTTTATTTATTAAATTTAAAACGGTGTCTGCATTTGTAGCAAAACGCGTTTTAATATTACAAATATGTTGCACCGTAACATTGCTGCAATATTGCATTGCAATATTTCTACAAGCGGACATTTTACCGTTGCTGCAATATTGCAGCAACGTTGCAGCAATATTTTGCAACATTTCTGCAATGTTGCAATCTTGCAAAGAAATATTTCTGCAATGTTGCTGCAATATTTCTGTGCCGTATGGGACATAATCAGAGAGCTAGCGTCCTCTTTCTGGCACTACTGCTCGTAAAAGAAAAAAATGTACTTTAGATTTAATGTTAATACTAGTTCTTTATATACATTTCATGGTAAATATTGAATACGAATTAAATTAAGAGTGACAAGCAAAGAAATTAATGTAACAAGAAATTTTAGATTCAACCAGAAAATACTAAAAAATCCTTATAGTAAAATCTATTAAACGTTCTAGTTATAAAAAATCGAGTCTTATTATGATAACTAGAAATTCTTGTTTGATTTAACCAAAATGCTTTCAATCATATACGTCTTGTTGGTACAACCAAACGATTTTTCTCAGTGTGGGTTTTGCACTCTTGGCGATCAATAATAGAAATAAAAATGCGAAGCGATAATTTTAGACGGACAAAAAAGCAATGTACAATTTTTACTATGTAAAGAAAAAAGGGGTATAAACGAGAGGTGATGGAAAAAATAAATAGAATAAATTTTTATACCGATCGATACGAACGACGATGGTAAAACGGAACACTTGCAACGAAAGTGACTTCACGGCCGTGCTTAGGGCGAACGAAAGGATTGCATCTCTGACAGCGCAACACGTGTCGATGTAACACACATTCTCACGACGTAATCCGTATAATGTGCGAGTCTATTACGTGACACAACAGCGTTATCGTGATTCCAACCCTGAATCAAGGTAACTGTACATAATGAAGCGGTGCGCGTTTTAATGCTCGTACTTACACAAAGTGATTCATGATTATGAATTATATTAATAGTTGTCGGAACATTGTTTATGTGTAATTTATGATCGTCTTTTGTAAATTTATAGCATAAGAAAGTAAATTAAAATATATATATTTAACGATCTCTTTATCTTTAGAATTTCTGCTTCTACTCTTCTAATTTATGTGAAATCATCGTCATCGGATGCAATTATTAATTTGATTAATTTGCCTCGAAACATACATTTTAAATGCCAAGCGACATAATATTTAAAATGCGAATGTGTAATATAATTCCGGTACATTTAGTTTAATTAACATAATATCGCTATGTTTAATAAGATTAACATAATTACGCTACATTTCATCGACATTATATAAATTTACCGAACGCTCCGTAGTTTTAGGTTAACAAGCGAGAGAGAATGGAATAACAGTTAACATTTTAACGGATCGCATTAAAAATCAGAGCGGCACGAACGGACCATTTATATGCAAAATCATTATCGCACACACGTAGCTTACAAAAGCGATCGTTCGACAATCAAACCGTCGCTCTTTAATCTGTATCATCAATTACAATTTATTCCTGCATGTGCAAGCAATCTTAATAAAAGTAAATTTTAATATCGTGCTCGAGTCTATTTCTTTGCATTCCAAGATTATTATTTTTACGGTTTTACAATAAATAAAATTGACGAAATCAAAGAACCAACTTCGGGGAGACAGAATCTCGGAATTTTAAAACTTATCAAACGTTTAAATAAATGATGACAATCTCTATACCACAATACAGTAAGTTGTAGTTGTCAATTACAATTTATTCCTGTATGTGCAAGCGATCTTAATAAAAGTAAATTTTAATATCGCGCTCGAGTCTATTTCTTTGGATTACAAGATAATTATTTTTATTTAATTATTTAATTTTATTTATTTATCTAATTATTTAATTAAATTTATTTATTTAATTATTTAATTATTTAATTATTTTTATGGTTTTACAATAAATAAAATTGACGAAATCAAAGAACCAACTTCGGGGAGACAGAATCTCGGAATTTTAAAACCCATCAGACATTTAGATAAATGACCACAATCCCTATATCACATTAATACAGTAAGTTGTAGTTGACAATTACAATTTATTCCTGCATGTGCAAGCGATCTTAATGAAAGTAAATTTTAATATCGCGCTCGAGTCTATTTCTTTCTTTGCATTCCAAGATTATTATTTTTACGGTTTTACAATAAATAAAATTAACGAAATCAAAAAACCAACTTCGGGGAGACAGAATCTCGGAATTTTAAAACTCATCAGACATTTAGATAAATGACGACAATCCCTATATCACCTTAATACAGTAAGTTGTAGTTGTCAATTACAATTTATTGCTGCATGTGCAAGCGATCTTAATAAAAGTAAATTTTAATATCGCGCTAGAGTCTATTTCTTTGCATTCCAAGATTATTTTTACGGTTTTACAATAAATAAAATTGAAATCAAAGAACCAACTTCGGGGAGACAGAATCTCGGAATTTTAAAACTCATCAGACATTTAGATAAATGACAACAATCCCTATACCACATTAACACAGTAAGTTTTAACGAGTTAACGAGACTGCAGAAAGAATGGAGCAGAACGGCGGCGAATTGGTAAACTGGGTTACCAGTGCCTTGGTGAACCTGTGCGTTAAAGAGCGATCGCCGTTCATTCTCGTCTCTTCACTTCGTTCTCCATTCTCCTCGTCTCGTTTTTTTCTCATCAAGGCCTCCCCGCCGAAGATATCCCGGCGCGATGTTTACCTTCAGGTTCCACCGATATCTCGTCCCCGTTCCTCGCCTTCACGACTATCGTACAGACCCGTGTGACTGACTGTAACGGGATTCCGCGGGATACACGCATGCACAGCCAGCTTGTTGTCCACCGCGAGCGAGGCGCGTGTGAGCGTGAACCTTCCTCCGAGGTAGAAGAGATATGTGCATAGGTCCAGGGCAATGTTCCTCCTTATTTTGCACGATTCGCGTGTGAAAGGTACGCGCAACAGTGTTTCGTGGAATTTTCGAGGGATTTTTCGAAGGTAGATCTAGGAGGAAGTTTAACGAGGGGTTTAGCCTTCCTTCCAAGTGCTCGACGATATTGCTTTGCCTTCATCTTGTTTACTTCTGCGCTTCCTTCTTTTTCTGTAAATCCTTTATTATTTCTAGATTAAATTAACTACGGATCTGTATTTTTATCAATTATAATGGCACGCTCGGGAAACCTGTTTTGACCTTTTGTTTTTTTCTTTTTTTGCAAAAATTATTAATAGAGTTATTCTCGCGCTTGCATTTATTGCCGGAGGTATCTTCTTCGTGTGTAAGCGACACCTACGTGCACACGTTTTTATAAAAGATCGATCCATATTTGTGAAATGTTGGTTAATTCGTTGTATATATTCGTCCATTGTTACCATTAAATTATCAGCCATTATATTCGTCTCTGTGGATCAATAATTAAAATGACAAAGTGCATGAACCAAGCATAACGGAACAATATATTGTGATGTAATAAAAAATTGTTATTCACAAATCATACGATATTTCTCTATAATTGTACTTTGTTAAATCAATTTATTATGTTTAATGTAATTTTGTTTTACAATTTCACTTGATATTGCTTTATTGTTAATGTAATAATAAATATTTATAATATTATATTTAAAATATTATATGCTATATTTTATAAATAATCTATAATCAATATTTTTTACATATGAGTGATTTATATTTATCATATTCAATTTTTTAATTTTTAGAAATAAGTATATCCGATCTTCTTGAGTTAAATGATAAATATTATTTAATGTACACATAGAGGGACATTGCGATGGAATTTAAGTAATTATCACTTCGTAACAAAAGATTGATTAGAAAAACCTGTGGAGTAGAAACTCATTATATTGCAACTTCTAATTTTGTCCTTTGTTAAATCAATTTATTATGTTTAATGTAATTTTGTTTTACAATTTCACTTGATATTGCTTTATTGTTAATGTAATAATAAATATTTATAATATTATATTTAAAATATTATATGCTATATTTTATAAATAATCTATAATGAATATTTTTTATATATGAGTGATTTATATTTATCATATTCAATTTTTTTATTTTTAGAAATAAGTATATCCGATCTTCTTAAGTTGAATGATAAATATTATTTAATGTACATATAGAGGGACATTGCGATGGAATTTAAGTAATTATCACTTCTTAACAAAAGATTAATTAGAAAAACCTGTGGAGTAGAAACTCATTATATTGCAACTTCTAGTTTTTCTGGCATATACGAGTAGCTGATATTTCTGTACCGTTACAAAGGACAAATATCTACATCGATCTGGTAATGAGATCTAGGAAGTTACAGTTGCTGAACGATTACCGTATACTGGAATTGAACCTAAAAAGATACGAGTTTTATTCAATTCAATGAAAAAGTTGTCTTTATAAACTCACACTCGACGCAAGAGAAAAGAGAAATGCAAATGATAAAATATATTTCTTATATCATATGTGTGCATATGTATTCTGTATATATTTTAAATTATAATATGTTTAAATTATTATGAGAGTGAAAAATAAAATTCCGGTTGAAATAATATTAAGTTATTTTTATTTAGTCGTTTTATTTAATGCGTAATTATTATATTTTCTAAAATTTATATCACGAAAATTGCAATTTATTTCCATTTTTTCTTGTAAATATATACATACATAATATATAAACATACATACATATCTTTTACGTCACCTTTTATGTCTCAAAGTCGGGTTTAAAACTAAAGGGTACTTTAAGATCGTCGTTGAACTAGTGCCAAGAGCCGCCTTTATAAATAAATTAACGTTGACTTAAAGCAGAGCTATCTTTAAGTTTGAAAAGATTTTCTTAATTCTCTGTTTAGTTAGTATTTTTGGATATAATCAATATAAGTTATTTAAGACAGAAATATTTTTTGATATTAACAATTAATTTTTTTCATTACAGATGGCTGCTGGGAAAACTATTCGTCTGTTATTCATCTTTCTTACTTTGACATGCGTATTTTCTCACTCTTGGACGCCGCAAAATGAAGGTAATTATTTAAAAAAAATTGGTATTATCTATATTATACATTTATTTTTAAAACATTTAATAATATTATCGTAAAACATTTAATAATATTTTCTAATTTTTTATCAAGCGAATATTTTTTTAACATTTTACTTTAAAAAATTGTTTATTTAAAGAAAATATATTATATGGAACAGAAGTTTATACACATTTTTTATACATAATGTGTAAAAATAAAATATATAATTCATACTTTTATTTCTTTTTTTATTTTTTATTTAAATATACTTGTATTCTGTTGTCTTGTAACTTGTGTTCTTGTCAATAGATTCATGTATCTTTTAGAATATTAGAGAGAAAATATTTAATAAATACATAAGAAACATAAATAAAACAAACTTGAATTTCTACTTTTATTGTTCTCGCTAATATATATCTTCTCGTTAATATTCATGCCAGTGCGCGCGGTTCGTACCGCAAAATGATATGTTAAAGTCAGCAGTCATTACTGACACCAAATTCTACTTTCCGTTCTTCTTTGAAGAAAATGAACCACAAAGAGATGTCGTACAGAAGGAAGCTTTTCGCTATTTTATTCCAGTCGCGCGTTATAGACGTACGGACGAGGTGAAATTCGATTTTCTGCCGAGTTGCGCGAATATCGATGTCTCTGCTGCTTTCGGTTCCTTCCGGCGAGCGCGAGAGGAAGGTCAAGGGTCGGCGGAGAAAAGCAACGCGCGTCGTCCATGTTTTACGATTTAACGAGCTTTGCGTTTTTTACGAGTTTCTGACACGATAAATATTGACACCGAATTCTACTTAAGGTTTCACACCTCCTCTTGCGAAAGTCGCGCGAGGTGACACTCCCGCGGGTCTATTTGTATCAATAAGAAGCAAGACAATTTTAAAATACGTGCTTGAAAACAACGGACAATCGTTTTAAATTTATAGGTCTCTCAAAATTGAACTGATATTTTTTTGGTATAAATATATTGTTGATGCATTTACAAAAAATAAATTTTAATATGCGACAATTATTTGAATGACGGAAATCGAGGCACATATTTAACACAATAAACAAATAGTAAATTAAACTTCGCAATTAAATTTAAATAATAAAACCCTTTCTTTTTATTAATTTAAAAGCGAAATTTTAATGAGAAAATTAATTTGATTTTATTTGAAAAATTAATTGTAAGTTTAAAAGTTTTATTTATTTTAAAAAATATTGGATCATATTTATTTAAAATATTGCATCATATTTATTTAAAATATTTAATATCGAATAAAATTGTGAAAAAACTCGCGATAAATTATGAATTCACGTAAAACTTTGGCAGGGAAAAAATTTATCTCAAATTTGTCGCAGAACTTATAACTGTGAGCAATAATAATTTTGAAACACTCTATACATATAATAAATTGACGGCGAATTAGAAAATGTCGTCTCCGTTGAGACACATTGAATTTTCAACGTTATGAGAAAGAATGTTCTTTTGATTCGATATTCTCGAAATTATTCTCACAGTCGATGCATGCTAAATGTGCAATCGCATTTAAATGCACATTAGCGTATGCATGACAGCTTCGCCCTATATATCAGAAACTCACCTTTCTCCACTTTCGCACGTTGATTTGTGTCAAGAGAATTTGCATGAACGCACACGATATTGCGGTGTGTGACATTTACATTTCTAATAATTGATCACGTATCACGTTTCTCGTTGTACATTTGCTATATGAAATTTATGAAATCCACATCGAAGTTGAACATTTTCTTCAATCCGTACAATCAAAACTTTATTTCATGTATTTGAAATATCTGCTCTGACATAAAATTAGGAGAACGTAGCAACTTTTGAAAAAAATACTCGTACTATTCTCTCTCTCGCTGCTTTCACCTTATCTATTTCAAAGCGCAGCTCCTGTACTCTGCCAGCGTAGAAATATGCGTATCGTGGGAAATGCTTACGGAAGCAGAAAGTCCGACACCGCAGGGGGTTAATTATTATTACCAGTTGTTCCCTATGTATATTTTACTCTACTAGAATAAATGGGAGACCGGTTAATATTTAATAGGAAATTGCACGTCATTTTTATCGCGATTTTAATGCTATTTTAATGCTTTCTATAGAGAGTCCATTTTCCCGTGCGATCCCATTATTAATCAATAAACTGTTATATTAGTACCTTTTCTTCTCTTCAAAAAGAGAGAGAGAAAGATACGAGATCTAATCTACATAATTCGAATAAATCTACATCTATGAAGCAGTCAGGATCTTGAGAAGACAACGTGACGCTTTCGATTGAAATTAATAATTCACGAATCTCCCCGCAAAGCTTTCGAGGGTTGTGCATTTTTAATGCAGCGGTTCCCGTTTTAAACGGGATTCTATTATACATAAAATCGACAACGAACGTTTATAATATATTCCGTTACGTCACGCGCTTGCTATGATTAATCCAACACCACGCATTTTATACGCTTTCATAAAGATTCATAAAGATTGCGCACACCATTCGTTAAGTGGCGCGTCTTACGTGCTCCACAATGGACATATAATCGCGCTTCCATAAGCGAATCACGTAGCCAACCCATATTTCGCGACATTGTGCAGAATCTCGCGGTTAATCTAAATTGCAAATTGCCCACTTTTTTCCCCGTCGCATAGAAAAGAAAGTTGAATAGCCTGTGGTTGCGCGGCAAACGCTGTGAAAAATGAGCAAAGTTCTTTCGCACAAGAATATATTTTTGCATCTTAAAACCACGAGCAAAGACGATGAGAGTCCAATCCTTCAAGTTTCTAATCAGAATGCAAACTTGTCCATTATATGCATAATTGTATCTTGTCATATATTTTATTGTTTTGCATATGTGTTATAAAATTATAATTTCATATATATTAAATTTACTATTTTTTAATTATTGCATAATAATATTTATCTTATTTATAAAAATTTATATTATATTTTATATAAATATTTATATTTATTTTATATAATTATTATATTTATTTATATAATTATTTTATAATTATAATAATATTTATATTTATTTTACATAAATATTTATATTATATTTTTTCTTGTTATAAAATTATAATTTCATACATATTAAATTTACTATTTTTTAATTATTGCATAATAATTAATATTCATCTTATTTATAAATATTTATATTATATTTTATATAAATATTTACATTTATATTTGATTTATATTTATATTTGATATAATTATTATATTTATTTATATAATTATTTTATATAATTATAATATTTATATTTATTTTACATAAATATTTATATTATATTTTCTCTTATGTGTTATAAAATTATAATTTGATATATATTAAATTTTCTATTTTTTAATTATTGCATAATATATATTAATAATATTTATCTTATTTATAAATATTTATATTATATTTATATAATTATAATAATATTTGTATTTATTTTATATAACTATTCATATTATATATTTTCTATACTATTTTTTTAATTATTGCATAATATTTATCTTATTTATAAATATTTATATTATATTTATATAATTATAATAATATTTGTATTTATTTTATATAACTATTTATATTATATTTTTTCTTATGTGTTAGTTGAAGTAGAGACAGTTGCCTAGAAAATATTTAGGAGACTAATGAAAAAGTTGGGACATCTCTCAAACGACTTTACGATGGATTTTACGTTCCTTAGATATTGCGGTATTTAGAAACGACGAGGGAACGCGGTATACTGATGATGATAAACATGATGTGTGGATGGTGAGACGCGAGAGCCCGTGCATAGGAAAAATCTGGAATGTCGGCCGTGAAGATCCAGACGAGCATCTCGGAGTAGGTCATTATATATCGATGTGTGGAATGCACGTGTAGCAAAGCCTACATGCTTGCTCGTCTATGCTTTGGTCAGCTAAGCGTAACCGGAAGAGATAACCGCGTACAAGCACAACATACGGACGTGAGAAGCGGGCGGTGTATCTCGATGTTCTTTTTACCGTGTTAACTTGATATCGTTGATGATTCATATTTTCTTCTTTATGAGTGACTGTACGAAAGACATTATCAGTGACGTTACAAAGGAAATAAGCTAGAGAGACAATTTCTTGAAGAAACAATCTTCCCTTCTTCTTCTTTTCTCAAACAAGTCAGCGAGTGTCGACACGAAATTCGTTTATGCAGCTTCCTACCTCGCTCAGGATGAACAACGCGTTCGTGTATCTTTTGGCCGACGCGAAAATGGTTATTTAATTTCTTTCCGCTACAGATACAAATTGCACTCGATATAAATCTTCGATACGATGGCCTTCGATTTCTCTTCGAGGATAAGCTGAAATTGGGGCAGCGTTCCGAACGTGAATGCGATGCTCTTCCACAACCCAAATACCAAACGGAGCGATCTTCGGGAGTATCTTCTTCGTGTCATGCGACGCGATGAGTTTTCGTGGATGATTCATTTTATATAAATTATTCCTTTTTATTACTTCTTAAGAAATCGTGAAAATTCTCTGAAACTGCATACGTGTAAATAAATAATTGAATTTTTATCAAACCATCGAATCCTTCTCCACATAAGACGTTCAGTGAACTTTCATAATTCTTTGTCAAGCTTTAGAGATCAAAATCATTTTATACTTCTCGCATCTTCATTTTATCGGTAGACACACTAAGAAAAATCGTTTGATTATGCCAACAAGACGTATATGATTGAAGGCATTTTGGTTAAATTAAACAAGAATTTCTAGTTATCATGATAAGACTCGATTTTTTATAATTAGAACGTTTAATAGATTTTACTATAAGGATTTAGTATTTTCTGGTTGAATCTATAAAATTTCTTGTTACATTAATTTCTTCGCTTGCCACTCTTAACTTCATTCGTATTCAATATTTGCCATAAAATGTATATAAAGAATTAGTATTAACATTTAATCCAAAGTATATTTTTTTTCTCTTACGAGCAGTAGTGCCAGAAAGAGGACGCTAGCTTTCTGATTGTGTGTGTTTGAGCTGCATCCTCTTCTTGCATCATTGTTTATCAGTTTAATTTCTAACAAACTGAATTTAAAATAATTTATTCAATAATCTGGATTGAACTTATCCAATAATCTTGTTGGAATTCAGAATATTGGGAATATAAATTTACCATGCGACACTAGTGGACAACGCAAACTAAAAAATATGGCCATCGCAAAGGGCGATTTAATATTGTTTAGATACGGCAATCAGGGTGCTTCTATGAAATAAAAGTGAATAATACATTGAGAAGTATTAGAATAAACAAAAAAATGAAGACACAAGGAAAATAAATAAATTTCTTCACGACTTTTTACCGCACATGATAATTAAGCCAGAATTTATTACATTCTGGCCTTCAATCATATTTCTTGAAGAGGGTGTAGCATTGATATAACTACACAAAGTATCTAAACGCAGTGACAACATTGCGTTTTCTTAACAATTTTTAAAACAGTATTCTTAAATGTCAAATCGCCCTTTGCGACAGCCATATTTGTTATGACACGAGCGCCTCTCTACCCGCGATGGTAATTTTTTTTCCCAATTAAACAGACTTTTGAGATTAGATGGACAAAATTTTAGACGACTTGGTGCTGGCGAGTTTAGTATTATTAACCAGAAAATTTGATAAATTTAATAGGAAGAAATTAATCAGATTCATCTGGTAATTTCTACAAAAATTCTGGCTCGTCCATTTTCCAACAGATATACTGATTAAATCTACCAGAATTCTAATTAATGCAACCAGATTTTTTTCTCAGTGCAAAGAAGAGAATTTTGTCTCAATTAAATTATGTTTGACTTTTTCCTTTCTTTAATACCTCGAGATAAACAGAAAATATAATTAAAATAACGTACACAAAAATATTAAAATGTGATAATAGAAGAGGAAGTTGCCTGTTCGGAACTGATTTTATTTTCACTCCTATTATTTTCCAGGCAGAAAGCTGTTTGGCGGCTATACGATAGTGCCAAAGGCGTGCCGTCCGTCATTGCCATCACGTACCAAGTCAAGCGGACCGACGATATGCATGTTCAATTACGAATGCACGCGGCGCAACGGCGAGGTGGTCGGCGCCTGCATGGACGGTTTCCTCTTCGGTGCGTGCTGCCAATTGCCGCCCAAGAGCTCGACGAGCGACAATGGCGAACCGTTTGGCACCGAGGAGCTTCTTCACCTGCATCAGCTCGATCATGTACCCGACATACCCATTTTATTGAATCCAGACGGTACGCCAATCGGTATGTCTATTCCGTCAAGCGACGAGTCTACAAAGATCGACAACAGACCGATCGGTGCCTCGAATTATCCGGAGCCCATATACACGAAAATCTCCAGTTCGAATCAGGATTCCTTGTCAACGCCACCGTTGCCTGGTTCGGTGAACAACGCTGAAAAGACGCAATTAGTCGAGCAAGCGGACGTCAGTCACTTGGCTGAGAAGTTCCCGACTCTTCTGGGTCAGCAAAACATCATTGATGACTTGAGACTGCCGGGACTGTTGTCACATTCGGGCTCCAACAACGATATTCAGGATCACCAGGACATGCCGGCGGTGAATCCTGTCACCACGTTGCTGAGTCCGGATCAGATTCTGCAAATAGCGGATCCGGTCGATCAGCTTCCGGCGCTGTTCTCTCAGGGACTGGGTACAAACAATCACAGCTATCCGGAGACTATATTGTTGAATGAGAACGGCACGATTCTCGAGGAAACGAACAATCCGGACGAGATCTTCCAACCGTCCATCGAAACGTCGATCGATGAGAGGATCACGCAGAGTGGAAGTACGTCGGATATCTGGATCAAGTTTCCAGAGGAATCCACGTCGCAGGCTCCAAAGTCGACAATATCCATAATGCCGAAGACACCCATGGTGACTCAGATGTACGCCAACACGCAGAAACTCACGAGCGACGTATTAAGTACGCAACTGACTGTGGAAGGCTCATTCGAGAAGGTGAACACAGTCGAGCAGAAGATATCTACGAAAGGAGCTACGAGCCCAATGAAGCTCGAAACCACTACACCAATGACAGCTTCAAGCGTGAAAGAAGAGCTAGTTAAAGTACCGACGATTACATACGACTTGCCAGCGGGCAACAAGAAGAAGGACGATGTTCTCGACAACGAGGAGCTCGCCATCAATCATATAATCTCCATTCTGAACGACACTACGCCAAAATCGGAGCTATCGGTGACCGTTCCGGTTGCAAATTCCTCGCCGATTCAGGGCTGGGTGAGCATCGACGAGACCTCGAAGCCCTCTCACGTGAAAATCAGTTCTTCGAACTATCGATCTACCACCCTCGCGCCCTCCACATTCCCGTATACTTACTACAAGCCCAGTTCCCTTCAACCCTCCAAACTTTCCTCGTACTACAATTACGAGCTCATTCCCACGGAAACGACTTATACGTCGCAGTATTCGACCTCCAGTCCGTACGTTTCGCGTCCGTCCACGCAAACTACCTATTCCGGCTCTTCCAGCAGCACCTTCGCCGGCAGCCGACCCACGACGAACCCTCCGGCGCCAACCGTGATAGTTCTCGGTCCACTCGGTACGGAATTTACCACCAAGATCACCGAGAAGCCCGTCACGAGGAAGCCCTCGGGTGCGACCATCAAACCGATTTCAACTCCGATTAAAACCACGCCTCTGAAACCTACGTTGGTCAATACTAAGAAGCCCGGAGTGTCCACCACTATAACCCATAACATTAACACCATCATCTCCAACGCTGCCAACGCAAACAACGTAGTATCTACCAGCTACATCAGCGTCAATCTGAAGGATGGCACCAGCGCGACGCCGTTGATCGATGCAACGAGCACCGAGGCGATCGTTACGAAGACAGATAGCACGAAGCAGCGTCCGAGCACGAAGAAGCCTGTGATCTGGACCACTGTGTCCTCGTGGTCGGGCAAGCCGACGTTCAGTCTGAAACCGTCGACGCCCAGCTTGAGCTGGTCGGCCGAGAATCTGACGCCGGTCAGCACCCTGATATTCAAGGACACCACGAACGAAGATGGATACATCAAGGGTACCACGACGACTGTACCTTGCGACGACGAGACCGCGGCGCCCGACGATCTCATCAACTTCCCACCGGTGCGGAATCCGAATCTCAACATTTCCGTGCCGATCTCGCAGCAGGAGAAGCCGACGATCGTCGAGATTTACAACAACACCGGGTATCCGGACATCGAGCTGATCAGCGAAAATGATATCCCGACACCTACGTTCCTCGAAGACGTTGTATTGACGGACAAGGTGGATGCTTTCGTTAACAAGCTTGTCGAATCGCTACAGGGTAACTTCCAGGTAAGGATGAGAGATAACTTATTTACCTGAGAGCTTTACTCGGTGTTTGACGAAGTTTTAGATTGCTTCGGGTTTTACGAATGGCAGCTTTTAACGCTAATTTTCTTCATCTCTCCCTTCCTCTCTCTCATTTGATAAATGTAATTTATATGGAAATCTCATTTATATACATACAAGTTATATATTTATAGAAATTGAAATATTAAGAATTTATTTGTTATTTTGAATTTTTCATTTATTTGCTTTTTAATTTAATTATATAACTAAATGTAATTAAATATTGTTAATATTTAATTATTAATTTTAAATAATATTTATTTAAATATTGTTAATATTTAATATTTAATTATTATTTAATTATATTTAATAGCTAATTAATAGTTAATTATATTTAATATTTAATTAATATTTAATATTACGTTTAAGGATATATTGGAGATGTATTATAATCAATGACATCGTGAATTTTTAATTTAACATTCTTAATAACATTCTAAATCGTCATGAATTATTTCAAATTTTTTTACTCGCTCCTTTGAAAGTTATTAATTTTTGAATTTTGCGATTTTAACATAGGATCTTATGTAAACGTTCAAGAGACAGGTAATCAATTATTCACAAACTATAAAAAACAATGATAAAAATTTCATTTTGTAATATTATATTCTTCATACATGTAAAAATGTTCCCATAAAGTTTTAAAACAATTTACTTGCTCGTTTTGAAATTATTATTAAAAAATAACTGTGATTATCGGTTTGATGCAATATTGATGAAAAAACGTGGCAACATTTTCTTGGAAATTAAGACCTATTTATATTAAATATTTATATTAAATATTTAAATTAAAGAATACTTTGAAGTATGATTTCGTGATTTTTAAAAAAATTTTGATCAATTAGAATTCGTATTCTGTCCAATTTTAATTTTTTGATACTTTGGATTAACTTTTGAGACAGATGGTCCGTCCAATACGTCCTTAATGCTGATTCTTTATCTCTCTCTTCCTCTCTCTCATTTGATAAATATAATTTATATGATTAAATCTCATTTATATACAAATTATACATTTATAGAAATCGGGACATTAAAAATTTATTTGTTATTTTGAATTTTTCATTTATTTGCTTTTTAATTTAATTATATAATTAAATGTAATTAAATATTATTAATATTTAATTTAATTTAATATTTAATTAACATTTAATTATATTTAATATTTTATTAATATTTAATTATATTTAGTATTTAATTAATATTTAATTATATTTAATATTTAATTAATATTTAATATTACGTTTATTTAATTATGTAATTTGTTACTTCTGTGTTTATAAATTCCTACTCTTTAAACTTTATTTTGTATTTTTATTAAACTTTATTTTATATTTATGTTTTTTCAACAAGCATTTACGCGAACAGTTACGTAATAAAAATCTGGTACAAAATGTCGTATAATATTTGAAATAAATAACATATGAAAAGCAACAATACAAAAAAATATAAATAGATATTTTATTCATAAAAATACATACATATGTACATATTTAAAAAGAGAAAGAAAGATATCTGAGTTTTTGTGAAATATTTTTCCTAATTGTATTTTTCAGAGCTTGAAAGACGTGGTTTACAATGGAAATGGAACTACAGCAGCCCCAGTGACACCTTCTAACATAACAAAAAAACCGTCTAATACAAGCATTACGACAAGGAGACCGACGCGAAAGCCCACGACCAAACCGTCGTCGTTATCGGCGACGACGGGGCCGACAAAGAGACCATCGGCGACCACGAAGAGGCCCACTCGTATCACTCAGAAACCGTCGTCCGAAAAACCAACACGTCCCACCAAAGTTACCACCCTGAGGCCCAAACCTGTCACGTCGCAGAACGTTACGACCAAGAGACCTCAGGCAACAACGAAACGCCCGAAACCGACCAGGAAACCCACGACTGTGTTAACCAGCACGGAAACGATTCCGCCAGAAGAACAGAGTGTGGCCTTGTTGAGTACATCTGAGAGCAATGATGTGGAAGCGAACCAGCCCGAATTTCGGACTCGTAAGTGAGCGAACGGTCAACGACTTCCAAAACTTCCACCATCAAAAAATCAGAACCACTCTCTAAAAGTGAATCAGTGTATTATCACTGAAAAACAGTAAATAGTCACTGATTACAGCAGTTATAAGTACAGCACTGTAAATCAGTGATATTTTATTGAAAGAATCAATTAATAATTTTGACTGTTTGAATCAGTAATATTTCTCAATATTTCTTTTGTTATTGTCAGTAATATTTAACTATAATTCATCTCTCTATCTATTTCATATAAAATTAAAAATTTTATTTATATTTACTAAATATTTATTATATTAAAAATTTTATTTTATTTATATTACATACATTTTGAACTTGTTATTTTAAATAGATAACGAACAAATAATTTTTATTAAGTCGCCAGACATTTATTTGACTTATAAAGAACGATTTAATATCTGAAGTCTCTTTATTGAGCTTGTATTAGAAATTAAATCGAAGTAATACTTTTAATTTTAAATGTCGCTCTTTGCAAACTTTATATAATTCTTATAATTAAAATTAAATACGAGAGAGATAGCGATTATAACGGTAAATGAACGAACTAGCGATTACTGGTTTTACAGTAAAATTTACTGATTTTACAGTGAATTTTATTTTAACTGACCATAATTAGTGAGATATAAGATAAAATAACAAAAAAATAAGCGTTTCCACTGAAGATCAGTAAAATACTCACTGATTTTCAGTGAAATCTTATTTTACTGTTTAAATTAGTGATATTTTCACTGATTCACTTTTAGAGAGCACTATCGCTTTTTTTTATTAAATCTTACAATTTTGTGTTTTGACTTTCTTGTAAAAATGTGCAAAATTTTATGTTATTATTGCTATTATCACGATCGTAATATTACAATCAGTATATGTAACGATTTGTCGCATTGACAGGATGTGGCTTTAGGCCTCTGGTCTCAAGAGCGGGAAAAATAGTCGGCGGAAAGGGCGCGCAATTTGGGGAATGGCCATGGCAGGTGTTGGTTCGCGAAGCGACTTGGCTCGGTCTGTTCACGAAAAACAAATGCGGAGGTGTACTTATCACCGACAAATATGTGATCACAGCAGCTCATTGCCAACCAGGGTAAGTCGTGCAAGACTTGACCGAAAATTGGGAAAACAAGATAAAAATACATAATTCATTCGTATTTATTTATAAAAAAAATATGTCGCATTATATAATCCTCTATAAAATTATAATATTTTCATATTTTATTATATATTGTATACAGGCTGTCCCAGACTTAACGAATCAGCCATTAATAATAGATTCCTGAGATCATTTGGAAACGAAAATCTTAATACCAAAATGTTGAGGAAGATGTAGTTTCGGCGCTACAAAAGATTAAAGATTACCAATCAGCGCGTTACGTTCTCCTGTGCTCAGGGACATAGCGCATCAAAGGGCTCGTGATAATATCGATATCAATAGAAGGATCAATATAAAATAAAAAATAGGATTGCAGTGAGCGCGATTATGTCTTCGATGCGACAGTAGTCAGTGGTTTGAACATTTTTATGAAGTCTCCCTCAACATTTTAGTATTAAAATTTTCGTCTCCAAATGATCTCAGGAATCTGCTATTAACGGCTGATTCGTTAAGTCTGGGACATCCTGTATATTATTTTTCTTTATACGGATTTCTATAAATAGATTAAGGACGTTTTGTACCTATTCTCCAAATATTGGGAATTTAATGAAAATTGTACAGAATGTCCTTACATATGTTTAGAATCTTCAGTACAATTTTTAAATCAATTCTCTAAAGCGTTCACAAGTTATAAGGATTGTAATTTGCATCGAATTACATGTGTTCTTATGGAAAACGTATAACCACGTCGATTCGAATGACAAAAACACATGGAAATAATATTCAGAATTTGTTTAAAATTTGCAAAAGTTTAGATACAGAAGAAATATTTGGTCAAATAATATTACAAGTTACACAGTACTAACTACTGGTTAAAAAGATATTAAATATAATTCAATGAAGTTAGCCATGTATCTGTCACAAGGCGAAATTCTCTGCCAAAAGTTAATTATTTCGATTAACAAAATTCGGAATATTTCAGTAAAAACGCAATAAATATTAAAAAATACATTTTTGCACTAAAGCTAAAATCAAATTATAATATTCCATACAATTTCTTACTCAAAATACATCAAAAGTGGATATATTCGTCAATATTGATTTTCAGCTACTTTTTGCTGGGATTGTACATACAAAACATCCTTAAGGATGTATTGGCCGGACCGTCTGTTTCAAAAGTTAATCCGAAGTACCAAAAAATTAAAGTTGGGCAGAATACGAATTCTAATTGATCAAAAATTTTTTTAAAATCACGAAATCATACTTCAAAGTATTCTTTAATATAAATAGGTCTTAATTTCCAAGAAAATGTTGCCACGTTTTATCAATATTGCGTCAAACCAATAATCAGTTATTTTTCAATAATAATTTCAAAACGAGCAAATAAATCGTTTTAAAACTTTGTGGGAACATTTTTACATGTATGAAAAATATAATAATACAAAATGAAATTTTTATCATTGTTTTTTATAGTTTATGATTAATTTATTACCTGTCTCTTGAACGTTTACATAAGATCCTATGTTAAAATCGCAAAATGCAAAAATTAATAACTTTTAAAGGAGCAAGTAAAAAAATTTGAAATAATTCATGACTATTTAGAATGTTATTAAGAATGTTAAATTAAAAATTCGCGGCGATCTCATTGATTGTAATATATCTCCAATACATCCTTAAAACTTTGTGGGAATATTTTTACATGTATAAAGAATACAATAAAACAAAATGAAATTTTTATTATTGTTTTTTTATAGTTTATGTATAATTTATTACCTGTCTCTTGAACGTTTACATAAGATCCTATGTTAAAATCGCAAAATTCAAAAATTAATTTTAAAGGAGCAAGTAAAAAAATTTGAAATAATTTATGACTATTTAGAATGTTATTAAGAATGTTAAATTAAAAATTCACGACGATCTCATTGATTGTAATATATCTCCAATACATCCATAAAGCGTTCCAAATTTAGAACAAAAGTAATATCAGATTAAAATAATGCCACATAATAATTTTGCATAAATAAACTAATGTTTCTCTCTCTCTCTCTCTCTTTCTCTTCTCTCTCTTTGAAATGAAGAATATTTAAATATTGTATTATATTGTATTGTATTGTATTATATTATATTGCATTATATCTTGTATTGTGCAGCTTCCTAGCTTCCTTGGTCGCGGTGTTCGGCGAGTTTGACATTTCGGGCGAGTTGGAGTCGAAACGCAGCGTAACGAAGAACGTTCGCCGCGTCATCGTGAATCGCGGATACGATCCAGCGACATTCGAGAATGACCTGGCGCTTCTCGAGCTGGAGTCACCGGTGCAATTCGACGAGCACATCGTGCCGATTTGCATGCCCGAGGACGGCATCGACTTCACTGGACGGATGGCGACGGTCACGGGCTGGGGCCGACTTAAATACAGTGAGTACATCGACTCTGGCTCGCGTCCGACAAATCGCGAACAATAAATATAAATATAATATAAATATAAATATAAATATAATAAATATAATATAAATATAATATAATAATAAAGGTGCATGTGCGTACGAGTCACGCGGCAAATTTGCCGCAAGACTAGAAAGTATAAAATGGAACAGGTTACCGTGACGAGATCGGAGTAAAACAACTTTCACGATGACTCTCGCGTGGCCTCCTACGCGTCCGAATTCTGCTCGCGATTCCGCCACGACTTTCCCCTCTTTCTCGCATCTCAATTCACCGTCAAGACCCTACTAACGACATCGGTTACGTTCGACAGATGGTGGCGTGCCATCGGTGCTACAAGAAGTCCAGGTGCCGATAATGGAAAACGCGGTCTGCCAGGAGATGTTTCAAACAGGCGGCCACTCGAAATTGATTTTGGACAGCTTCCTTTGCGCCGGATACGCGAACGGTCAGAAGGACTCCTGCGAGGTAATCTTGCAGCGGGATTTATTATATCTCGCTTCTCATCGTAATTTATTAATTTTATTAACACCGTTTCTCCCATTAGCGGTATCTCTTTCATCTCGCGACAAATAACAAGATTACTTTGTCGATTGCATGTGTTTTCATTTATAACCATTTATTTGATTATGTAAATATTATTTTTCGTTCCGTAGAGAAAAATGTGAAACACGTTTCAATTTTCAGCATTATTTTTTTTATCCCAAGTAACATATGTTTACTCGATCGATTATAGAAATTTTAATATTCTCATTCTAATTTTAAATTTTTTATCTATTATTATTATTTTATTCTAGATTTTTTATTTTCTCGAAATGGATTCTTTAAAGTTTTCACGATTAAGGATGATTTGTATGTACAATCCCAGCAAAAAGTAGCTGAAAATCATTATTGACGAATATCCACTTTTGTGTATTTTGAATATGAGAAATTGTGTGAAATATACAATTTTATCTTAACTACAGTGCAGAGATGTATTTTTTAATATTTATTGCGTTTTTACTGAAATATTCCGAATTTTGTTAATCGAAATGATTAACTTTTGGCAGAGAATTTCGCAAAGTGACAGATACATGGCTCACTTTATTGAATTATATTTAATATCTTTTTACCACACAGTAAAAACATTTTGTATTTCTGTTAAAATTTTCTCGTGTAAAAATTTTTGTGTTAAATTTTTAACATACTCTTATGTTAATGTAACATATTATTATTGCGTTATTTTGACATTTTTGCGTTGAGTTAATATTCATCGTTTCTAAGAATTAAAACAACAGAATTAATATGTAAATGCACGAATTTTTGATGAAATATGTTATATGTTAAAATGAACAGATAAGTTGGGTTATTTTTCTCTATATAACAATTTTCATATGTTAAATCGACATCTCTTCTGTTATTTATCTTAAAAATGTAAGAATAACCTTTCCTTTTAATTAAATTTAACATTATAAATATGTTAATTTAACATAAACTTTATTTCCAGGTAAAGTTTAAGTATTACACTTTCGTGTTAATTTTTAAACATATTACTTGTGTTATTTATTTACATACTTGCCTTTTGTTAAATTAACATTAAAATTAAAGTGGATAAATTGAGACATGTGAAATATGTTAAATTTAACACAAAATATTTTACTGTGCAGTTAGTACTTGTATAATATTATTTAACCAAATATATTTCCTTTGTATCTAAACTTTTGCAAATTTTAAACAAATTCTGAATATTATTTCCATGTGTTTTTGTCATTTGAATCGACGTGGTTGGTATAAAAATGATAATTATAAATGATAATTAAAATTATAAAAAAAGTTAGATTAATAATGTTAAAGTAATTAAAGTAAAATAATTATTAATATTATAGATAAAGTAATGTATATGAAAATTAATATTTTTTATATTTAAATTTTAAAACAGTAAATTTAAATTATTGTACCTTTTAGTAGTAGAATTAATTAAATAAAAATTAAAAATTTTAATAATCTGGAAAATAAAAGAGTTAAATAATTATGAAAAGTTAATATAATAATATTATTTTAATTGATTATTTAGAGAAGATATTTTAGTCAAGTTTTTTGATATCTACTTTTTTTTTATTAAATTTAATTTTAATATATAATACGGTTATATGTTTCCCATAAGAACACATGTTAATTCGATGCAAATTAAAATCCTTATAACTTGTGAACGCTTTAGTGAATCGATTTAAAAATTGTACTGAAGATTCGAAATATATGTAAAAACATTTTGTACAATTTTCATTAAATTCTCAATATTTTAAATAAATAGGTACAAAACATCCTTAACGATTCCTTCAAATTGACATCGATATTATGATAAATAATTATCTTTTATCCTGTAACATTAAAACAAACAATCTGGATAACGGTTAATAATCTTGCTCAGGGTGACAGCGGTGGTCCGCTGGTGATGGAACGACCGGACGGCAGATGGTTTCTGGTTGGAACCGTTTCTCACGGTATAAAATGTGCGTCTCCGTATCTACCGGGTGTGTACATGAGGACGACCTTCTTCAAACCTTGGCTACACAGCATTACCGGAGTCTGAGGATTATCGGCGATTATCATCACGTCCTCGTGTGATTACATGTATGAGCGGCACCCGATGCCATTCTGTGTATAAATGTACAAAGGAAGCTTAATTTATTTCCCTTCGGGGGAATAGAGCGTACGAAGCTCAATTAAGTAATACACCCGCGGAAGTGATTGGACCTGAAATATCAGAGAGTTATCTCGATAATTTGGATAATAACGAGAGAGATCATCTCTCCTACGCATTTATTCTATATTTCCTCTAGCGCGTGGAAATACTTATACAGTGTCCCAAAAGTCCGGGACTGATCGAATATTTCATAAACTATGCACTTTAGAAAGAAATGTTTCAGACAAATGTTATATGGCTTGAAGGGAGCAGATAGTGGCAATGATTTGACATGGGAGAGTCATTTGAAGGTCATGTGAAGATCACCGTCAATTTCTTAAATGAAACTCTCTATTTTTTATTATATATTCGTGTAGCTTATCTCGAGAGCTTTCCAAAACACTATAATAAAGTATTTCTTCATTGAGTACTTTTCGAGTTATGAGGCTTGAAATCATTTCTTAATTTTGTATAAACCGTAAAATATCTAGTAAAATAATCATTTTTCGATTATCTTACCTTAATAATTTTAGGTACAAAATAATGAAAGGAATCAATTCGTGTAAAGAAAAAACATAGTTGTTCTTAAGAAAAAAATATGTAATTTGCAATTAACAATTATATATTTTTTTTTAAACAACTATGTGTTTTCTTTACACCAATTGATTCCTCTCATTATTTTATACATAAAAGTATTAAGGTAAGATAATCGAAAAATGAATATTTTACTAGATATTTTACGGTTTTTATGTAAAATTAAGAAATGATTTCAAACCTCATAACTCGAAAAGTACTCAATGAAGAAATATTTAATTATAGTGTTTTGAAAAGCTCTCGAGATAAGCTACACGAATATGTAATAAAAAATAGGGAGTTCCATTTAAGAAATTGACGGTGATCTTCATGTCACCTTCAAATGACTTTCCAAGGTCAAATCATTCCCACTATCTGATGGCCCCCTTCAAGCCATATAACTTTTGTCTGAAACATTTCTTTTTGCATAATGCATAGTTTATGAAATATTTGACCAGTCCGGGACTTTTGGGACACTCTGTATAAGTATCGAGCAAGATTCATTGTGTAAGCAGCATAAAAGAAAGAGAAAAAGAGAAAGAGAGAGAGAGGCGACTCTCGAGTTATTCAAATTTCGAAATAGCATTCTGTGCAAAACTGTCCGCGGCGGGACATTGTTTCTCGACGCATGACGAACGTCCGATGTTGCATTTATGCGTATCAATGTTTAAACTCGTCCTTATGTGTCTGTGCACACAGAGTATTCGCAGAGCCGGCTTTAAAGCAAATTCCGAATATCCATCGGCAATCCTTTATTAATTTTATTACTCTCGGAATGACAACTTTGTGCATTTATTTCATATTCCTTCTACGATCGAAGAAACGAATGCAAATAATTCATCACTCGCGTCAATCCTCTATATATCGTAGCTTCTTTCGCTAATAATTCAAAGGTAACTTTTTTCCAACGAGAATATTTAACTCGTTAAAAGAATTTTTAATATTATCGATGAGAATTTTGAATTATTTATTGTTTAATCTTGAACGCAATTTTATCAAGAAAAAATCGACTTTATGATGAAACAAATTGGTATCGATAAAAAAAAATCTCATCATCACGCGTGCAAATTTTAAATTAATTTATTTAAAATTTAAAAAATTTAAATTTTGAACTATATTTCTCCTTATATTTTATATCTCTGTCGGAGGGGTGTATTATTTGTTCCGTAAATATTCGCATCGGCCGACTCCGCGATACGTAAGTACAAAAGTACTTAGACGAGCTCCATGCCTTATTTATTTCATTGTTAGATGTTATTTATTAAATACATTTTTATACGATAACAACACGTGTGACTGTTTCATTCATTACCAACACCCCGTATATAAAAGACGTGGTTGAGGATATTTTGATATCACGCTGCCATGTATATATCGCACATCGTAATTCTCTTGGAGAAAGGTGATTCTATCATTAAAAATAGCGGCAAATATTTTCTAAATCGATAGAACTTTTAATATTCCCATCTTATATATGAATAACGTCATCGCGCTAATAACGTCACTTCTGGTGATAACGTCACTTCCGGTGTGTCCATAACTTTTTTTTATCGCTTGCAGTTTAGAAAGTTATACAGTATTGATTAAAAACTTCAAACTATAGCACGTACATGTTATATGTTCGTTTAATATAGCAACAATCGAAAATTGTGTCAGAATTAAAACAGCGATTTGTCAGCGATTTTGCGACTTAATTTATGCATTATTTTAATCCTATATAATAACTGGGAGGTTTATATCATATAACGTTATAAAATGAAACGAAATATCATATTTAGCTTGTTAAAATTTTTGTATGGAAAAATTCTGTTAAATATATTTATAAAATATCTACTTGAATATTTTATCCAGAATAAAAGAAAATTCTTACACTGTTTATCAATATTGCATTACAACTGCTATTAATATTCCTTAGAATAAATTTTGAGAGATAAAAAATTATGAAATCATGCACATTACTTGTAGAAAATGAGAATGCATTTACATTTGTGCATCATTGCATTCAAAAGATGATATAATATGCATAATTTAAATATATCAATCGAGTATATTATTTAATATACCCGATTGATATATTATTAATTAAATTAATAAAAATTAATAAAATTATATTAAAATAATAAAATTTAATAAAATTAATAAAATTAATAAAAATTAATAAAATTATTAAATTAATAAAATTAGATTAATAAAAATTAATAAAAATGAATCAAGAAGAAACAAATTGATTCTTTGCATATAAAACTTAAAACAAGAAATTTTTCAAGACATTATTGTTGAAACATTATTTAATATATGAAAATAAAAAATTCCATAGATGAAAAATAAAATCGAATCGGTTGGATTATTATTTTAGACGAAAATGTACATAAATGCCTATCTACGATGTGATGAACGATTACAACGCTGTATTTCCAGTAGAAAAAGACCGGCTTAAGGAGATATATTGGAAAAGTTAATCCAAAAGTTAATCCAAAGTACCAAAAAATTAAAGTTGGGCAGAATACGAATTCTAATTGATCAAAAATTTTTTAAAAATCACGAAATCATACTTCAAAATATTCTTTAATATAAATAGGTCTTAATTTCCAAGAAAATGTTGCCACGTTTTTTCATTAATATTGCGTCAAACCGATAATCACAGTTATTTTTTAATAATAATTTCAAAACGAGCAAGTAAATCGTTTGAAAACTTTGTGAGAACATTTTTACATGTATGAAGAATATAATATTACAAAATGAAATTTTTATCATTGTTTTCTTATAGTTTGTGAATAATTGATTACCTGTCTCTTGAACGTTTACATAAGATCCTATGTTAAAATCGCAAAATTCAAAAATTAATAACTTTTAAAGGAGCGACTAAAAAAATTTGAAATAATTCATGATGATTTAGAATGTTATTAAGAAATTCAAAATTCACGGCGATCTCATTGATTGTAATATATCTCCAATACATCCTTAAAACTTTGTGAGAACATTTTTACATGTATAAAGAATATAATATTACAAAATGAAATTTTTATCATTGTTTTCTTATAGTTTGTGAATAATGTATTACCTGTCTCTTGAACGTTTACATAAGATCCTATGTTAAAATCGCAAAATTCAAAAATTAATAACTTTTAAAGGAGCGACTAAAAAAATTTGAAATAATTCATGACGATTTAGAATGTTATTAAGAATGTTAAATTCAAAATTCACGGCGATCTCATTGATTGTAATATATCTCCAATACATCCTTAAAACTTTGTGAGAACATTTTTACATGTATAAAGAATATAATATTACAAAATGAAATTTTTATCATTGTTTTCTTATAGTTTGTGAATAATGTTTTACCTGTCTCTTGAACGTTTACATAAAATCCTATGCTAAAATCGCAAAATTCAAAAATTACATAAAATCCTATGCTAAAATCGCAAAATTCAAAAATTAATAACTTTTAAAGGAGCGAATAAAAAAATTTAAAATAATTCATGACGAGATTTAGAATGTTATTAAGAATGTTAAATTCAAAATTCACGGCGATCTCATTGATTGTAATATGCTTCCAATACATCCTTAAGCCAAACAAGCCATTAAGTGGCGTGTCGAAACCAATCCCGAGGGAAAACAAATTTCTCATAAAAAGTAATAGAGATCATTCCAGACCTATTGCGTCGTAATATAACGCTTGTTCCGTCACAATGGATAAAGTTTCTCGGAAGTTCGCGCGTGCGACACGCAAGGCCGAGGTAACGTTTCCGAAGCAGCACGCCGCGAAATGTTGGAGCGGAAATAAGCGTGGCGATTTAATGGCGCGTGCATACACACGTATGATTCGACCCGTGGATGCACGTACACTTCGCGTACTCACCTGTGTACTCTGGCATTTCGTCACACAGGTGGTTGCATCGTCGACGGTAAATGCAATTTGCGCTACAAGTCTAGAGTCTCCGCGCGCTCGTCCAGCGACTCGTTTTCCTCCTCCGCGAAAATGTCCGCTCAATGCCCTTTTCTGGAAAAGAGAAGAATAATGCCGTAATTAGACTTCAAGGTTGATTATCAGTTGCAAAACAATATTAAAGTTGAAAGCTCCAAGGTTTCGCAAGGCAGGATAATATATGAAATAAATCCTGGTAAAAGACGATTAATAAAAATTAATAAAACTGAATCGAAAAGAAACAAATTGATTCTTTGCATGTGAAATTTAAAACAACAAATTTTCTAAGGAATTATTGTTGAAACATTATTTAATATATGACAACATTAATATATATTTAATGTATATCTGCCAAATTGATTTGACAATTTATAAATATAAAAGGAAATATACGAAAAATAAAGCATACGCTATATCAAATATAGGAGATAAATATAGTTTAGTAAACACATTCATTATATAATTATTTTAAGAAAATATATAGTTTAAAAATATATATATTGCATATGTAGAAAAATGTTACATATGATATTTTTTTATATCTTTAATTAAATAAAATATATCTCTTTCCGTGTTTAGAAATAATATAAATTAAGAATATTGTTACAAGTTTATAAAATAAAAAGTAATAAAATAAAATAATTAGAAATTATCATACATAAAAAAGTATTTTTTTTATAATATAAACTTTCCTCGTATTTTTCTCTCAATAAGAGAAAAAGATTATATTACTATTTTAACCCTTTCGTACCTCCGGCTTTCCCAAAGAAGATGTGTTTCATATGAAGACAGCTTTTACAGGTTTTTGGGGTGCTGATTTCAAATTTACCATCAAAATTTAAATTCAAAATGACAGATTTAAGATGGCGATAATGAAAAATTTAAATATCAATATATTTAAAATATGAACTTTGATTTTATTTTGGTTTTTTTAAAATATATATTATGTTTTTTCCTGAATTTACACACACACGTTCGACTTCGATAGCGTTGTTATACATTTTCTTTTGCAAGCCGCGCATCTGCCGCGAGACTTGGATATCTGTCTTACTTTGATTACACATATAAATTATTATAATATTTATCATAAAATTGTAATCACATTTAAATAAAACTTTAAGTTTATAATTAGCGCAAAAAAAATTTTATGATTTTTTAATTGATATGCGATTAATCATCATTCTCTAAAAGTTTGATTTTTTACAAAGTTTAGATAATTATATTGTATTGTAAACATTACATTTCAAAGTGCACGATTTTTTACATAAAGCTTGAACCTTCTTCTTTAAAACAAGCCAAGGTAAAAGTCGATAGGATTATTTGTTTAAAAGTTATGAATTTTTTCATAAGTGGGACATATCTGTTCCAAAGATACGAAAGGGTTAACTAAAGACTTAAATAAACTTGAAAATTATTTCAGATATTAAAACTAGGTCTCCCTCTCTCTCTCTCATTTGATTTTGAAAAAAAATTTTATCTACAGCCTCGAAACATTTCTCATGAAAAATTCAGATCTCTGTATCAATTAATTGATATGCGATTAATTTTCATTCTCTAAAAGTTTGATGTTTTACAAAGTTTAGATAATTACATTGTACTGTAAACATTACATTTCAAAGTGCACAATGTTTTTACATAAAGCTTGAACCTTCTTCTTTAAAACAAGCCAAGGATAGTCGATATAAAAATCGATAGGATTATTTGTTTAAAAGTTATGAATTTTTTCGTATGTAGGACATATATGTTCCAAAGGTATGAAAGGGTTAACTAAAGATTTAAATAACTTGAAAATTATTTCAGATATTAAAACCAGCTCTCCCTCTCCCTCTCTCATTTGAAAAAATCTTCATCTACAGCCTCGAAATATTTCTCATGAAAAGTTCAGATCTCTGTATCAATTAACGATTTTTTTACATAAAGCTTGAACCTTCTTCTTTAAAACAAGCCAAGGTAAAAGTCGATAGGATTATTTGTTTAAAAGTTATGAATTTTTTCGTAGATGAGATATATGTCCCAAAGGTACGAAAGAGTTAACTAAAGAAACTTTAAATAAACTTGAAAATTATTTCAGATATTAAAACCAGCTCTCTCTCTCTCTCTCTCTCTCTCTCTCTCTCTCTCTCTCTCTCTCTCTCTCTCATTTGAAAAAATCTTCATTTACAGCCTCGAAACATTTCTCATAAAAAATTTAGATCTCTGTATCATTAAACTGCCGGTTCGGAATGGAAAGGACTAAACAACAATAGGCAGTACATCGTTTTCGCTTCGTCACTATTCAATATATGTGAGGAAGCACGCGGGGGTTCGTGAGGAGAGTATATGGAGCAGAAGCGAGCCGCCCGGCGGGCACATCAGGATACCTTGGATCAATACGGCCAAGAGAGAACGAAACTACGCCGGTGGCGGAAAGAGCGCGAGGAGGTGAGAAAATTAGCAAAGGTGAGCAAAGGAAAAGTAAGCTCGCTGAAACAATGAGAACGTGAGGTCCTAGACGCAAAAGTACAACACTCTCGCGCCTCATCCGGGAACGCAGATAAATATCATAATGAGATTAAACAAAATCCGCGACACAAACTCACCTTGCTAAAGGAATGAACTTATTTTCAGTTTATCTTTGACCTTTCGCGCAAACCCGAATGCTCGTTCCGGATGTTATGGAACATCGCGTTTTTTAAATGGTAGAATAATATCCTGGAGAATGTTGCAATTTGAAAGAGATAATGTATATACTATGGGTTAAAAAAATTGCATTTGATTTTTTTCGAAACTTGAAGCTTCTTGCAAAATCGAGAAAAAATCATTTTGTTGCGCTAATACCTAAATAAATTTTATAATGAAGAATCGAACACTCACATTGTACCATCATCTCACTCAATCATAGCATTGTCGATGTCATACAGCATTTGTCAACAGTAGCTGCGAGTGCTTGAGTAGCTCCCTCGGCCTGTTATCTCGAGAATAGATAGAAAGCCGAAGATCTGAATGAACAAAATGTCACGTAGGTCGTGATCGGGTGGCGCGAAAAAAAAAAGAGGAAGAAGACGAGCCAGTGGATGGTTGCGCATGCGTCACCGGGTATATGCGCTTGTATGACCGAAACGACGTAGAAGTATAGATTGCCGAAGCAAGCGCGGCACGGACTCAGTCCTCCAGTAAACTCCATCGAGGACTTGTTGATCCTGTGCGGAGTCTATCTTAGGTCGAGTGGTAGCCGATCCTGCCCGACCGAGCAAAGACGTTCTAGACGAGCTCAGGGTGCAAGAACGTATTGTAAGTCGCCTATTCCTGATTAAATTCAACAAGAGAAGGTGTCTTGCATATTTCAGATATTATCATATTGTTAGAAGTGTCAGACATTCGAAGTCTTTATACGCTTTTCCAGATTTGTTCTTGACGTTGAAAAGTCCTCGACGTATTTCATGGATAATTAAAGATATAATAGATTGATAGATAAATAGTTAAGATATAATAGAAAATTATAATTGTCTGAGATAAAGTTAAAATTAAAATAGAGTTCGGAAATGTTTGGATATCTACGCGACTGAATTAATTTGATAAAAGATGATTCAGGCCATTTAAAAACCTGAAATTTTGAATTAAATTAAATGAAATTTATAATTAAATTGACGGATTGCTATTTCATCTACGATCCATTTAAATGACACGCATAAACGCATAAGAATAATTACGAAAGTACATTTGCAAATGAAAAAGAGACAAGATCGGAGAAAGAAGAATTATTGATCGTATAGTCAAAGTTATTGCTGGTATTGACCCAACATGACTCGTATCATAAAACGAAGTTATCATAAATTTGCAATTAGTCCCTCCTCTGAATATGAAAGAATTTTGTTTCCCAATATTTTACAAGCAATTTCATATATTTAATTTTCCGCTTTATGATATACAGGGTGTCCCAAAAGTCCCAGACCGGTTGAATATTTCATAAATTATCCACTTTAGAAAGAAATGTTTCAGACAAAAGTTGTATGGCTTGAAGGGGGCAATCAGATAGTGGCAATGATTTGACATGGGAGAGTCATTTCAAAGTCACGTGAAGATTACCGTCAATTTCTTAAATGGAACTCCCTATTTTTATTACATATTCGTGTAGCTTATCTCGAGAGCTTTCCAAAACACTATAATTAAATATTTCTTCAGTACTTTTCGAGTTGAGGCTTGAAATCATTTCTTAATAATTTTACATAAACCGTAAAATATCTTGTAAAATATTCATTTTTCGATTATCTTACCTTAATAATTTTAAACATAGTTGTTTTTAAGAAAAAAATATGTAATTTGCAATTAACAATTACATATTTTTTTTTTTTAACAACTATGTGTTTTCTTTACACCAATTGATTTCTCTCATTATTTTGTACATAAAATTATTAAGGTAAAATAATCGAAAAATGAATATTTTACTAGATATTTTATGATTTATGCAAAATTAAGAAATGATTTCAAGCCTCATAACTCGAAAAGAAGAATAAAGAAATACTTTATTCAATAAAGAAATACTTTATTATAGTGTTTTGGAAAGCTCTCGAGATAAGCTATACGAATATGTAATAAAAAATAAAGGGTTCCATTTAAGAAATTGACGGTGATCTTTACATGACTCTCCCATGACAAATCATTGCCACTATCTGATGGCCCCCTTCAAGTCATATAACTTTTGTCTGAAACATTTCTTTCTAAAATGCATAGTTTATGAAATATTCGACCGATCCGGGACTTTTGGGACATCCTGTATATAATGTATTATTACAATTACGCATATATATTTACTAAATAATGTTACAGCGTTATTATCATGTTAAATATGTATATTGAACGAGTGTAATCGATATATTGTTCTCGTGTACCAAATACTAATTACTTAATTAACATTGCAGCGCAGAATTACATGCAACATATGGGCCGCAATGATTTTCCAACAGTAAATCGTGGTAAATAAATTCGAGTAATAATCAAGACATCGATGAATTATTTGAAGAAGTCTCTCTTATCGCTTTTATATTATGAAACCGCGTATTAGCGACCGCGAATAGATAAAAAGCGTTACAATCATCGACATCTGACATGATAAACGTGTAAAAAGGGGTTCGATGTTAACAGCTAGTCGCGTCTTATGGATCACTGCTTACAGCAAAAACATTCAGGGATAAACAGAAATAAAATATGTTCGTGAGAACATGAAGAAATGATCATGCAAGATTTATGCAATTAAAACGGTAACGAATGTTTTTCTCACTCGGTTTCACAAGTCGCATCTTTCTTCGTTCTTATTCTTAATCGATAGACCGATAATCGTAAATGCAATCATGTAGAATCTTTTAGATAAATATAACTTTAATAGACTCTTGCTAATCATGTTTCAAATTTAATAAATTATGTAATAAAAAGAAAATTCCTTTTTGTGCAAAATTAAGAAATAAAACTCCAAATATTACTCCTAATTTCCTCCTTATCAAATATTATGCAAAATAAACATTACACGTTTAAAAAGTGCAATTAAACAAATTTCCGAGAGAAATTCACTCCTCGTTTGGGATAATTCTAGTTAGAATGAGATATTTGCATAATAATGGGTAATATGCTAAAACTCGCTTTTTAATAACGTCTAGTTATCTGCTCCCTCTTTCAAAGATTTAACGATGATGAACACCTTCTCTTCCTCGAATGATTGCAGAGTGCCCGAAGATTAGGATATCTCCAACAATATGAGGGTATATGCGGCAATAACGCTAGTGCTCGTAGCAAACACGGCATATATCGGTGTCGAGGCATGGGGTGGCCTCTTCAACCGCTTTAGTCCTGAGATGCTCTCTAACCTCGGCTACGGCGGTCACGGGAGCTACATGAATCGTCCTGGGCTACTACAGGTAAAAAAAACGTAACTTTTTTTAAGGAAATTCGACCCGCGATTCTATATCTCGTTCTAAAGACACGTGAAATATGTTCCGTAAAATTTGTCCGTAAAGTTCTTTAAATTTTTATTTCCTTCAATTAAAATATGTTTAATAAATATTTGAAAAAATATAATATTTTCTGAACTTTAATCTATAACGTTTAAACTTCAAGTCTCCTCAGATATCTCCGGACCGATAAAAAAATGATCTGAAAGAAAAGATTTTTAGAAGATTTCTTATTTTTGACATTTTTAAATTATACAGGGTGTCCCAAAAGTCCCGGACCGGTCGAATATTTCATAAACTATGCACTTTAGAAAGAAATGTTTCAGACAAAAGTTGTATGGCTTGAAGGGGACCATCAGATAGTGGCAATGATTTGACATGGGAGAGTCATTTGAAAATCACGTGAAGATCGCCATCAATTTCTTAAATGGGACTCCCCATTTTTTATTAAATATTCTGGTAGCGCACGTCGAGAGCTTCCCAAAACATTATAATTAAGTTAGTTTCAATTGGTTTTCAATTGGTGTAAAGAAAAAACATAGTTGTTTTTAAGAAAAAAATATGTAATTTGCAATTAACAATTACATATTTTTTTTAAAACAACTATGTGTTTTCTTTACACCAATTGATTCTTCTCATTATTTTGTACATAAAAGTATTAAGGTAAGATAATCGAAAAATGAATATTTTACTAGATATTTTATGGTTTATGCAAAATTAAGAAATGATTTCAAGCCTCATAACTTGAAAAGTACTCAATGAAGAAATAAAATACTTATATACTTAAAAATAAATACTTTATTATAGTGTTTTGGAAAGCTCTCGAGATGAGCTACACGAATATGTAATAAAAAATAGGGGGTTCCATTTAAAAAATTGACAGTGATCTTTACATGACCTTCAAATGACTCTCCCATGTCAAATCATTGCCACTATCTGATGGCCCCCTTCAAGTCATACAACTTTTGTCTGAAACATTTCTTCCTAAAGTGCATAATTTATAAAATATTCGACCGATCCGGGACTTTTGGGACACCCTGTATATTTAGAGAAGAAACAGATTTTTTAGACATATTTTGAGAAAATCCTTTTAAGAAAAAAATCTCTTTTAGATTCCCTTTCGTCTTTTTTTAGAATTCGTTTGTACTTCTTAATATTTGATTTAATTAGCAACACGCAGTATGGGTCACGTACGATCAATATTTTATTTTCTATCCGCATGCACTTGCACTTGCACTAAACTTGCAAGAACTCCCCGGTGGCCCCGTTTATTTCTCATTTTTCTTCACTTGTGAATTAACCTCGAGATTGCAATCCGGAGATTGAATGGAATTACCTTCGCAGCGAAATTATTGCTACTATAAAAACTTTTACTGCGCTTTCAACTACGTGATAAATAAATAAAACTATAGTCGCTCCACTATATTCGAGAGCTTGATATCCGTATATCGCTTGATTTATATATATATATATAAAGATAATCTCTTTTGTCGCATAATGAGCAAGCCCGTACTAACCTATTCATTAATCAACATGATATTATTACATTCAAATTGATGTATAATTATCTTGCTATTAATGTGTAATTATTTGAACAGTGTGCAAAGTATCAAAGTTTATGTAAATAAATCAAAGTTTATGTAAATAAATTTGCGAACGAATCGGGTGCATTTATCATTTAATTCACATTTGACTTTTCTGTGGATGAAAAATTCATCACGTGATAAACATTGATTAGATGAAATTACAAATATGAATAAATAATATGACAGGAAATGATTGAAAATGAATAATATGATTGGAAATTGATGATTAAGGATGTTTTGTACCTATTTTCAATATTAACCTATTTAAATATTGAGAATTTAATGAAAATTGTACAAAATGTCCTTACATATGTTTAGAATCTTCAGTACAATTTTTAAATCAATTCACTAAACCGTTCACAAGTTATAAGGATTTTAATTTGCATGCAATTCGAATTAATGTGTTCTTATGGGAAACGTATAACCACGTCGATTCAAATGACAAAAATGACAAAAAACTTGAAAATAATATTCAGAATTAAAATTTGCAAAAGTTTAGATACAGAGGAAATATTTGATCAAATAATATTATACAAGTACTAACTGGTTAAAAAGATATTAAATATAATTCAATGAAGTTAGCCATGTATCTGTCACAAGGCGAAATTCTCAAAAGTTAATCATTTCAATTAACAAAATTCGGAATATTTCAGTAAAAACGCAATGAATATTTAAAAATACATCTCTGCACTGTAGCTAAAATCAAATTGTATATTCCACACAATTTCTCATATTCAAAATATACCAAAAGTGGATATTCGTCAATATTGATTTTCAGCTACTTTTTGCTGGAATTGTATATACCAAACATCCTTAAGAAAACAGAGGAATCAACGAAAAAAATGCTACTTTCTCAGATTACGATGAAACAGTTGAATGTTGCATATAAAATTTTTTATCACATTTCCGTGTTTAATTTTAATTTATAGAATTTTGATAAATATCGTATCAAGTTTCACTTTTATAACTGAATTTTTAAAATATTTTACGTTTAATAATTTTAATACAAGATGCATTAATACAGACTGAAATAAATTATTTTAATAAAATACACTAATACAGTTTAATAATACAATTTGATAATACAGTTTAATAAAGATTAAACAAATGTTTTTATCTTCTTGTTTTTAATCTTTATAATAAAAATGTATAATAAAATAAAATATATAATAAAATAAAGTATAAAATAAAATAAAATATATATATTAAGTGAATTATGAATAAAGAAAACATAAACAAATTATTTAATAGAAAATGCGATTTTAATATTTGCGGTTTTAAATAATATTTAGAAAATCGTGAAAAAAAATATATTTAAAATAAAGTAATCGCTTTCTTTCTTTTCAGGAAGGATATGATGGCATATATGGAGAGGGAGCAGAACCTACGGAAGAACCTTGCTATGAGAGGAAATGCATGTACAATGATCATTGTTGTCCAGGTTCCATTTGCATGAATTTCAATGGAGGTAAATAAAAACTCTGCTAATGAAAAATCGCGTAAAATAACTTGTGAAAAATTAATTCGATTTTCTAAAATAATTAAAAATAATAAAGACACCCATTATTTCTCATATTGTATTCCATATTATAATAAGGTAATGTAATTATGAGCATAATGTTTTAGTTACTGGAACATGCGTCTCCGATTTCGGCATGACACAAGGTGAGCTCTGCAGGCGGGATAGCGATTGCGAAACCGGCTTAATGTGCGCCGAGATGTCTGGACGTGAAACAAAATCGTGTCAACCGCCGACCACTTCAAATAAATTATACAGTGCGTTGATAAGCATAATTTATATTTGCGAGATATAAAAAAAATATAATTCTGCGCGAGATTATAAATACAATTCGTCAATAAATAATATATATTAATAATTAAATATATATAATTAAATATAAATATATTAATAATTAAATATATTAATATATATTTAAATAATATATATTAATAATAAATAAAATATATAATTTGTTACAGATGAAGAATGCGCCATGTCAAGCGAGTGCGACATCAGTCGTGGACTATGCTGTCAACTACAAAGGCGACACCGACAAGCTCCTAGAAAGGTAATGAAATATATCTATATCTATAGAGTTTTAAAAAATATTATTCAAAAAGTTCTCGACTTTTTCAACAGCTTTTCGAATCGTTAGCTTTCAAAAATATAGTTCTATTTTTGCGTAATCAATCTCTGATTTTCTCTGTGTATGTGTACGTAAGAAAAAAATAAATATTGCTTCACTAAAGTCTACTAAAAATAAATTTTTTAAAAATAAAATTAAAATTTTTTTTCATGCTCAAGTAATCTCTCCTGATAATTAAAAAATATTTCGGCAGGTTTGCTCGTACTTCAAGGACCCTCTGGTCTGCATCGGCCCGGTGGCGACGGATCAGATAAAGTCCGTGATCCAGTACACCTCCGGTGAGAAACGGATTACCGGACAGGGCAACCGTCTGTTTAAGCGGATGCCGTTCGCCTAAATACCCGCTCGTCGTACCTGGCAATACGCGACGAAGGTGAAGTATACAATGTAAGATAAACTACAAAAAAATCAAATCCTCCTTTAGTCGTTGTGAAGTCACCTAGGTTTAAGGTTTGTCGACTCGACATTATCTCGATCTCCTTCCTATAGTCCCAACTCTCCCCCACCAACGATGCATCGGGAAGTATAAGGGTAGTGTAAGAAACTCATGCGGCAAAAATAAAATTAAATATTATTATTAATAATATTATTATTAATAATATTATTATTATAAATATTATTCGGGGAGGTGTCACTTCGAGATTTTTCTTCTTTTTTTTTTTGAATATATAACGTAACTGAAAACACCTATAACACATATCATATTGACCCGTCTCGTAGGTCTCTCTAAGAATAAGAGACACGCTAGCATAGTTATGTTAAGAAAAAACGCGCTGATGAATAAGAGCGCCATATGACAAAGATGTTTCTTAATGATTTAGGGGTAAAGTATATAGGGGACGTTCGAGAGAAGTTCCATTAGACGATTTATCTACCGGTCTATCGGTTGAGCTTTCCTTTCGGATTGTAGTAAGAGATTAGTGGATCACTTAATTGTTCGTGATATAAATCGTACATGGTTATAGAGATAAGTATAATAAATGAGAATAAAGTGGAGAGGCGTGCACAAACGAAGAAGCGAAGAGTCCTCATTATCAGTCGCAGGGTCAGCATTGATTATTTTATTCTGTCAATCAACGATGTTCTTAATACGCTCTAATAGAATGTGTGTCGACAAAGTCCTCAGACAGCACACATGTCCAAAAGACATCTACAAGACGACTTAAAGACGTCTTAAATTCCTTTAGACATTTTTAAGACATCTTTTGGCCTTTTCGTGCTGTCGTGGGTCCACGTTTCGAGAATTTCGAGAGGTAATGATGTATGTATCTTCAACGATTGCAGATACAACGATGTTGTTGCATGGCAAGTGAGATTTTTCTCAATATAAGAAGTTCCAATGTCGACACTGCGAACGATAATGTCATTCAAGTTCTACGATGCATCGGATCTGTGTACTTTTTAACTGCATTTTCATACGTTTTTTTTTATGATACGTGTCACAAAGTTAGAATTTATTTCGGAATACACTTCAAAAATAAATTACACATATTAACAGAAATAATTTCCTCTGTGGAAATTATATATAACTTTAAAGTAATTTCTTTCTGTATCAAAAAAATAATTCAAAGAGTGAAAAAACATCATAAATTGAATTCCAAATTTTATAACGTTTTATGAATGTTTTCGTGAGAATTCTTTCGGAATATACTTCAAAAATAAATTACACATATTAACAGAAATAATTTCCTCTGTGGAAATTATATATAACTTTAAAGTAATTTCTTTCTGTATCAAAAAAATAATTCATAGAGTGAAAAAACATCATAAATTGAATTCCAAATTTTATAGCGTTTTATGAATGTTTTCGTGAGAATTCTTTCGAAATATACTTCAAAAATAAATTACACATATTAACAGAAATAATTTCCTCTGTGGAAATTATATATAATTTTAAAGTAATTTCTTTCTGTAAATAATTCATAGAGTGAAAAAACATCATAAATTGCATTCCAAATTTTAAAACTTTTTTCGTGAAAAATCTTTGAACTTTTGTGTCATTTCATGCGTAAAATATATTGTCATAAATATTTGACAGAATAAAAAGACGAGGAAAATGCAGCTAAAAGAAATAGAGGTATCAATGCAAGATTTAGATATTTTTAGTTGGTGATCGAAAGAAAGATCCCAATACGAGTCTGCGGATGCCAGCAGTTTTGCAGGACGTAATGAGAGAAACGCAATGGCGGATTTAAGGTTCAAATAAAAATAAATGTACACGATTAGAGAAACAATATTTCGAATAATATCTTTAATTACGGAAAGACATTGAAAGACGAGCATTTTAAATACATAAAGCACAGCCATAAATTAGCAGAACGATAGAAATTGAAGGTTTTTAAAGAGTTCGTAAAAAATCCCGTTACCTATAAATCCGCCATTGGATGTCCTGCGGACAATTCAAACGCACAGATCGCAAAGTATTTGTTCTTTTTCTTTCGTTCATTTTACGAACGATCGTCTAGCGAACGAAACGCGAAGTCGTTCCGACAGTCTCAATGACGGAAAAGTATTTTCTACAGGGGGAAGAGCTGAAAAAGGCGCAAAATATATTGTAATTCGGTCGATGTTTCGAGTTTACCCTTAAAAGACGTATTTAGACGTTTACTCGACTATGTCGGATACATTTATCCCTATTCTCCTCTCCAAAAAAAACTTCACATACACACACACACACACACACACACACACACACACACACACACATACTTTGTCGGTATGTATATGTATTCGTAACGTAAATCGTATCGTGGAGTTGCAAAACGAGACATTTTAAAATATAGGAGGATTACACTGATAAACGATACATATCAAAGAGGGAGAAGTTTTGCTTCGCTAGCTTATATTCAGAAATATCTAGTGTTAGATATATAAATATATATGATAAAAGAAAGAGAAATACGTTAACTCTTAGTAAAAATATAAGTGTGCATATTGTTCGTTTAAAAAAAAAAGAAAATCCCGAATGAATATTAAGAAAAGAAGAAGTTTATTAAATAGAAGATCGCGGAAATCGCTCTGTTCAGTATTAATCGCGGAAATCGCTCTATTGCGTAATCTTGTGGAAATCGCTCTCTATTAACTGTACTAATATTAATGAAATCGTAATACTAAATACATAATATATACATATATATAGTCTGTGGTTATGTGAAATATTACTCTGTGGAAATTCGTTATAATATTAATCGTTATAACGTCGTCGGAAAAAAGGTGTAATGTTAAATAATAATCGTTTGAAGGATCGATCGCACGATATTTTAAGTATAATCGTGGGAGACGCAGTGTTTTAAGCGTTCGCATACAACAACAATAGCAAATAACAATAACAACAATGCTCTCAGTATGCGTAAAGTACCTGTCATCTCTGTCTTATTATTAAAAAAAAAAGGAAAAACTCTCAGCAAATGCTCGCTTTTCACGCGACCGGTGGTGCTACTCGATCGCCAAGAAAGTCCCTCGAAGAGAATCTCTGATCGATATTATTAATTAATCATCTTACTAGAGTTCTCGAGTACTTCCCAAAAAACGTTAACCTACCTGTGTAAGGAAACTCAAAACATATCATGCGAAATGCCTAATGCATTTAAGAGAGTTCTAAATATGAATGTTAACTACGAGATATATATATATTATATATACATATTACATTATTGAAATTATATTTTTATCTTTGATCCATATGTAATCTCTAAGCTCTATATATTTACACAATATTCGTATATTTTCTCGAAGCGTATATACACACACACATACACACATCTGTTCATTATATCCCGTACAATGTAAAATGCTTGATAACGATCTTTTATCGATCTTTTTCTCCTCTAAAATTTTTGTCCTCTGAAATTACGAATATAAGATTATTTACAATTGTGAATTCATGATCGATTACATGTATAAAGTCGATTAATCAATTTTTTTATGTGTGCATGACATCTTATTTATCGTCACGATCTGTAAACATTTTTCAAGAAAATATTAATAATAATTAAACAAACTTTGAAAATTGTTGTTAATAATAAATTTTTATCTCTATCTAATTATGTGCAACACCATTTCAGTGTATTGTGTGTATAAGATCAATAAGAAATATTCTAAAAAGTATTTCTCAAATTTAATTTTTATTATTATTATTTTTGTATAAATATGAAACATTAATTCAAAATAAATATTGAGCCCATAATTATTTATGCAATATCTGTACATGTTTATGTATTGTATTATGTGTGTACGTATTATATTTCTTCTTTAGACGTAAAATAATATCGCGATTGATTGCAAATATTTTATTTATATATTACATATATATATATATATATATATATATATATATATTTATATTTTATTTCGTAAATATGTGTGTGTGCGCGTGCTATTATATAACTTTATATATACATATATATATACATATATATACATATATATTTTATCAAAAATCTCTGCTGTGAGAACATATCTTTTTTCTCTTAGTCGGGCTAAGGAAATGATTGAAATGTTATGAACTGCACACAAAAATTACATATCATAGCCTGTAAGAAAGTTTGCCTTGTAAGGAAGTTCGAACGCATGTTCGCAAAACACGGAACATGATGTGGTAACGAATAGATACATACATATGTACAAGCTATCACAGGTCTTAAGAGAAATTCGGCCACTTGGCCTTGAGTCGAAAGTACCTCTATCGTAAGAATTAATCCCAGCGTAAAAACTTTATGTGTATGACGTATATGTAAATGTATCGTTCAAAATTACAGTACTTAAAAAAAAAAAGAGTTCTAATAGCTAAATGTGAAATACATGATGGTGCATATAAAATAAACCGAATATATTTCTCTGTCTCACTCCTTTTAGCTATCAAGTGTTTTCTCCTCGAATACGTTCTCACGTATGTTCGATATTTGCGAGTTTATATTATTTTTAGTCCACAAAGAAATTGGCAATATTTTGTTAAAAATACATCTTTTTGCACTTACCATTTTGTTGTGTACTCTTTATGATGTTCGAGTAGACAATCAATCAGGCAAGAAATTCTATAAAAAGGAGGGAGATTAAATAAATTAGATTTACATAAATAAAAAATTAATTTAATTAAATCGAAAAACGTTTTCATCTATTTGTGATTTTAATATATATAATTACATTTTTTATATTTTTATTTTTCGTTTACTTTCTGTAAGAATTGAAATAATAATCTGATATTTGAAGAAAGAAATCGAAAAAATAAGAAAGAATTTAACAATCCTGTTTAGTTTGATCGAATCCATAACTTCATAAAACCCAATTTTCTCATATCAATTCTTTTAGATGCATCTCTCTGCTTTTTATAGAAGTTTATGAGTATGTAATATACCTTTTCCAGGTAGAACATGAAACTCATAATGACATCATTACGAGAAGAATCAGAACATCATTACGACGTCACTTAAAAGTCATTTTAGAAAAATCATAATGATCTCATTTGATATATTTTTGGCAATGTTTTGGTGACTTATTTTTGATATTAAACAATTCTAGCGAACTCTGTTGGAGAATATATATATACTTCGCGTATGAAATCTTACAAATCAATCATAATAATATCATTTTTTATATATATTATTTATATATATTTTTTATATATATTTTTTATATATATTTTTTATATATATTACGCAATTAAAAAACATTTTTATATATATTACACAATTACTTGTTTATTTAATTATTCATGTATATTTTAATTACATTTAAGCAACATAATCTTTTTAAAATTATATAATGCGATTATTGAACTTATGCAGGCAAGCTTCTAAAAATCTATCTAAAATATCTAAAATATATTTTTTATATTATTATTATAAATATATTATTATTATATTATTAATATATTATAATATATTATAAATATAAATTAATAAATAAATATTTATCACATCATTTATATACCTTTTTGCTATTATTTAAATATTCTTTAGGAAAAGAGAAAGAATATGTGTTTATGATTTTAATATCCTATTTATAATCTGCGTAACATTTTTTACAAATATTTATAGTCTTCTAAAATAAACAAAAATATCTAGATAATTATCTAGATTATCGCAATAATTATCTCATCTTTCATCTAGATTAAGTAAAAACAAAATCATATTTATCTCATCTAAGATAAATTTACGGATTTTTATCTTTATCTTTATCTAGATAATTTTGAAATTATCTACAGCAAACACTGGTCATGTTTAACTCATTTTTTAAATCATTTTTGTTTAGGTAACTTTTAAGTAATAAATAAAATCATCATGATGACGTCATAATGATATCATTATGAGTTTCATGTTCTACCTGGGCTAACTTCATTCTATCGATTTTCGATCAAAGATCTGATTTTTCGCGCTTTACTTGAACTACTCGCAATATATGTGCTAAAATTAGAAGTTTGAGACAAATTTGTTAATAACTATAAAAATATTATATTTATCTATTTTTTTTTTATACTTGTAATTTAATTTTTGATTCAACATTTTCAAATTAATCTCTTCGCGCCTCGAACGGAAATGATAAGGTCATTAGTGGCGCCACCTACCATTAATCTTATTACGTAACATTTTTCCTTGTGGATAAAAATCCGTATTTTTTATAAGCTGCAGATGTAACATGTGTATCTATCATATATTGAGATAATATGAATGTTTTTTCCTTGTAATAACGCACAAGGTGCGATCACGTTTCATGAGATTACAAATGCTTTTTGAATTTTTTTGATATATCGAACATAATTTTTTGAAAAAAAGTTACAAATAAAACAATATTTTTTTCTTATGTTTAATAATGTGACAATTATATTTCCGAGCAAATACTTCAAAACTTATCGATTGTTGAAGCTTCATAGTCCGAAATGATGACCCTACGTTTGTTTGACAATCAGGTAAGATTGCACACGCAGAAATTATTTTTACTCAGAAGATTATTACTATGATTGTTTTATGTTACGCATGACATGATTATACATTATATCCCCAAGAACTGTTAAATTGTATATTATTATTTTATCTTTTAGGATTATTCGACGTTAGATGCTATACCAAACATATGTATGGAGAATTGCGAGATAGGGAATTACGACTATTTGGAAAAGTGCATCGATAATCTTGAAAATAAAGATTCTGGGATCAGTTCATCAGCCATACCCACAAATGCCACTGACATTGATTTACAAGACAACTTGGATGATGTTAATTTGAATAACATTGATTTTCATTTCATGAAAATTGAAAACTTACTCTTGCAAAATGCTGAGGAATCTAAACCTTGTGCAAAGAGCAAAGAAATAAAACAAGAAAAATCATCGGAAGTTAATATTTCATGCTCGATTAAAAATTTTGACACAGTGAATCTAAATTGCAATACTTTTTCATGTAATCTAAGCAAAGAATCAGATGTAACAACTATTAACAAGAATGAATCTGATACATTTAACAAAGATGTAACAATTCAGTGTTCAGAAAAAAGGCCAATAATAGAGAATTTTAATTATTCTACCAAGCTTCACAAAAAAAATAATAAGCATATAAATTCTAATGTAAATGAAGGTAACAATTGTATAAATCAAAATGTCATATCAAAGTTAAAACATGGAATTAGAGTTGATAATCTTTCCCTAAAACCATCGGATAGAAATGAACAAGTTCAAAAGTGTGAACAATGTTTAATGACATTTAGATATAAGAGACACTTGGATCGTCACTTGGAAGGTCATCAGAAAAATAATTGTTCTCATTGTGATGAGAAATTTGCTAGACGGAAGCATCTGGAGGTTCACTTATTTCGTGTGCACGGAGAACGAGTGGTCAGACATGCTTATTTGTGCGATGTGTGTCCCAAAAGTTTTCCTAAACGTATTCTTTTAAATCGCCATAGAGCAAAACATAGCTATCAAAATGGTAAAGTCTGTTCTGAATGTGGAGAAATGCTAAATGCAGATATAGATAAAAAAGAGCACGAGGAAAATCACTGTAAAAAGAGACAATTTAAATGTCAACAATGTTTGCAAACGTTCAGTATCAAACAGACATATTTGTCTCATATTCAAAATCACAATAATTATAAATGTCCAAATTGTAATGTCAGCTTTGCGTCAAAAAAAAAGGCACGCGAGCATTTTAAGGCAGTTCATGTGCCAAAATTAAACAAGTCAGAATCGGCAAATAATAGTGGTAAATACAGGCGGGTGTATCAATCATCCGTGCCAGCCGAATATCTCAAAAACCGAGAACGGACAGACAAAAATCTTTCCTACAAAAGTTGTAGGGTTTCGAGTAACGCATTACATAGTAATATTAATATGACCTTGAATAGCGTTGTCAAGGTCACGTAAAGATCACCTTCAATTTCTTAAATGGAATCTCCCATTTTTCATTACATATTCTTGTAGCTGACCTCGAGAGCTTTCCAAAATGCTATAATATTTTTTTATTAAGTATTTTTCGAGTTATGAGGTTTGAAATAATTTCTTAATTTTACATAAACCGTAATATATCTAGTAAAATATTCATTTTTCGATTATCTTGCCTTAATACTTTTATGTACAAAAATGAGAGAAATCAATTGATGTAAAAAAAACACATAGTTGTTTCAAAGAAAAAATATGTAATTGTTAATTGCAAATTACATATTTTTTCTTTAAAATAACTATGTTTTCTTTACACCAATTGATTTCTCACATTATTTTATGCATAAAAGTATTAAGGTAAAATAATCGAAAAATGAATATTTTACTAGATATTTTATGATTTATATAGAATTAAGAAATTATTCAAGCTTCATAACTCGGAAAATACTCAACGAAAAAATATTTTATTATAGTGTTTTGGAAAACTCTCGAAATAAGCTACAAGGATATGAAAAAGGTAATGAAAAATGGGGGATTCCATTTAAGAAATTGAAGGTGATTTTTACGTGATCTTGACAACGCTATTCAAGGTCATACTAATATTACTATGTAATGCGTTACTCAAAACCCTACAACTTTTGTAGGAAACATTTTTGTCTACCATTCTCGGTTTTTGAGATATTCGGCTGGCACGGGTGGTCTGATACATCCTGTATATCAAAAAATTTTCTAACGTTAAAATAAAAAATCTGTCTCTTTTCTCTTATCATTTATCATCTAATAATTTTATTGTTGTAGGTCCATATTTTTGTGACAAATGCAGACATACATTTATCAAGAAGGATGACTATTCTCGGCACCTGGAATCTACATTACATCTAAATAAAATTAACAGGGACACCCCCATACGAGCCATATTTTCGTGTGTTATCTGTTTGAAAAAATTATTCACGCAAAGAGCCTTGGATCAACACATCAGGCGTATTCATAAGGGCGAAAAGCGATTCGTATGCAATATATATGGATGCACATTTCAATGTGCTAGAAGGACAGATTTGGATAGACACCAACAACTGCACGTAGAAGAGCGAAACATCGTGTGCGAACATTGCGGCAAGACATTCACCAGCATCAGTATTCTTAAGGATCATGTACTTTATGTTCATAGCAAAGAGCGACAGTTTATTTGCGAGGTGTGCGGTAAAGCATTCAAAAGAAACAGTTTACTTAAGAGGCATAAATTGTCACACGAACAACATCGCCCGTTTGTCTGTATGCAATGCAACACCGCATTTAAACGCTCGCATCATCTCACTCGTCACATGGAATCTTGTCACAAAATTACACTAGAAAAAAAGAAAAAGGTAAATACTTTTTCAAATATAAATGTTTTTCAAATATAATAATCTCACTTAATATATCAAATATAGGGTGTGCCAAAAGTCTGGATACACCTAAATATCTCACAAACGGTGCATTTTAGAAAAAAATGTTTCAGGCAAAAGTTGTTTGGTTTCGAGAGGGCCCATAAGATGGTACCATTGGTTTGACCTTGAAGAGTCATTTGAAAGTCACGTGAATGTCACCTCAATTTTTTTAAATGGCACCCTCTATTTTTTATTACATATTCTTGTAGCTGACCTCGAGAGCTTTCCAAAACACTATAATAAAATGTTCTTTCGTTGAGTATTTTTCGAGTTATGAGGCTTGAATAATTTCTTAATTCTACATAAATCAAAATATCTAGTAAAATATTCATTTTTCGATTATTTTATCTTAATACTTTTATGCATAAAATAATATGAGAAATCGATTGGTGTAAAGAAAACAAATAATTATTTTTAAGAAAAAATACATAATTTGCAATTAACAATTACATATTTTTTTCTTTGAAACAACTATGTGTTTTTTTTTACACTAATTGATTTTTCTCATTATTTTATACATAAAAGTATTAAGGCAAGATAATCGAAAAATGAATATTTTACTAGATAGATATATTACGGTTTATGTAAAATTAAGAAATGATTTCAAGCTCATAACTCAAAAAGTACTCAATGAAAAAATATTTTATTATAGTGTTTTGGAAAGCTCTCGAGGTCAGCTACAAGAATATGTAATAAAAAATAGGGGGTGCCATTTAAAAAAATTGATGTGACCTTCACGTGACCTTCAAAGGACTCTTCAAGGTTAAACCGATGGTATCATCTTATGGCCCCCTCGAAACCAAACAACTTCTGCCTGAAACATTTTTTTCTAAAATGCACCGTTTGTGAGATATTTACATGTATCCAGACTTTTGGCGTACCCTGTATATCTAATACAATTATGATTATGTACACAGGTAGTAAAACTCATGAAAACGGAAGATGGTCATCTTGTGCCAATGCCGGAAAAATTAAACAAGGACTGTAATAAAATGAAAACTGAAAAAGAGTGTGAATCAATTGCAGAGAACAAGAAGAAAGATTGCTCAATTACAAATATAGATGAACAAGTTGTAAATGTTGATTCACCATTGAAAATACGGCCATTGTCAAATTCTGAAGAAAACTCTGAATGCTCAAGTTTATCGACAGAACTTACGAATTTATCCGTTATCGATTCCATTCCGCAGGTTCTTTCATTAGTAGATGTAAATACAGGACAAGTGCTTACTGTGGAAGTCGCCAATCCGGAATTTTTATCTACCAACGAGTTAATTGATCAATTTGGAACAAATTGCAGTGAAATATTAAATTTACCGGATTATCAAGATATAGAATTTCACAATCTTTTAAATACCGATCAAACGTATTGCACAAACATATCGGAAGATAATACAAATTATTCGGAAATATCGTTAGAAAATATCGAAGGTTCGTTCTCGCTTATAAACAATAATGGTAAGATGGAAACAACAGAAAGTTATTTAATAAACGAATTTTCACCGTTTCTTAATATTTAAAGATTTGAAGAATCAAAGAATATGTATACTTTAAATATAAAGTTTGCATTTGCTCATATTTCAGGTATATATTAAATACTAATACAAAAATATTATTACTTTTTTATTGTTAACATGTTAAGGATGTTATTAAATTTTATAAAATATAATATATTTTTTATGTCACAAGTTTATTTAATCTAACATTACATAGGAAATCTCGTTTTTGAAGATCTACGAACATATCTATTCTCTGAAACAAAATAGAAAAGATTTCACTTACTACCTCATACATGAAATAAGAAAATCTCTTAATTCTATTTTTAAAGTTGTCATTATGTTATACATATGTATAAATTTAATTTTAAATGTGTATAAGATATGTTTTTCTTTTTCATATTTTATAAAAGCGAAAATGTATAGATGTAATATATATGTGTGTACATATGACATTATATATTTTTTATTTAATTTTATAGTATTAAATGGTTATTTATATGAGATTATTTTCAAAATATATAAAAAAGAAAATATATCAATATGAAATTTAATTCTCAATTTTTTAATATATAAATAACATATATAAATTTCATATGTATAATTTATTTATTCGAGCTAAAAATTGATTTGAAAAAATATATAGAATAAAAATTATATAAAAATAACTAGTCTAATTTTGTACATTAAAATATGAGTGGAGATTGTGTAAAGAAATTGAAAAAGTTTTATTCAGCTATTCAGCTTTGCTGTGTGAATTAGGATTAAAAGAAATATATATATATATACATACACATAGAACTGTATATAATATAACAATGGAACTGTATATAAAACTATATCATTTATATTTTTCTTCTAATAACATGTTAACATTTTGTAAATTTTAATCATGTATTACAAAGAAAACTGCATTTTGTAAACTTTAATCATGTATTATAAAATCGTAATATATACAGTATTATTGTATTTCTATTTAACTATGTATCACAAGCACCTTAGAAATCACCTCGCCTAATTATTAAATATTTACAATGTAAGAAATGTAAATTGTCTTAATAAATGATATATATAATCAAAGGTCAAATATTTTTTGCATTTTCATTATTTATTAAATATGCTTATATTAGGTATATAATATTTTATATATGTACATATGTTATAGTCAAAAATATTTAGAAAGAATACATATAATTTTACAGACTAAATATTTTATTTCCTTAAATAAACAAAAAGCTCATCATTTTTCACCATATATTACTTGTGTAATTTGTCTTTATTAATTTTCATCGCTTATTATTCATAATTTTAATTAAATAAAATTTTCAAATTACAAAAAGTTGATACTTATAAAAAGTAAATATGATACTATATAGTGCCAACTCCCACTTTATTTTTTAAACATAAAGAATTTAATAATATTTCATTACTGATTTCTTTATTTGTACCTTTTTTTCATGAAATAAATTTGTGAACAAATATGCTAACAGCAGCAACAGACGCTGCCCCAACTAATGTCCAAAAAATTCCCTTAGTAAACTTTTTTTTATCATCTGGTTTCACATTCTTTGATGAATTTTTAGTATCTTCAACTACACCTAACATTTTACGATATAAGTGCTTTTCTTTTTTTGCATCCTTCGACAGTTTATCTTTCAAAGTTATTAATTCTGTAGTACATATTTTCATTTCTGGATTTAATCTTTGCATTTCTGTGAAGATTGCGTAAGCTTTTGCATATTCCCCTTTGAGTCTCAATATTGTTCCTACAATACACATATATTGAATATATTACAATATACATAGATTTAAATTTATTTATGTAAAATATAATTTTTGCACTACCTTTCCTAAATAATGCTTTGACATTTTGTGGTTGACATCTCAAAACATGTTCCACATTTTCTAAAGCTGCATCATAGGCTTCTGTTTTAATCAATGCAGCTGCTAAATTATTGTGTACTTTTATGCGATCCTCTAGTAAAATTTGTAACTCAGCATCGCTAAATGAGTCTTCCTCCTCATTTTGATTTGTATTACTTTTTGCTGATGACAAATATTCTAACGCTCTCCGATAACATTGTATTGCAAAAGGCAACTCCATTCGAACAAACCACCAATTTCCGCGTTCACGTTTTTTATTGCTTTAGAAAAATAAATTTAATCATTTACAAAAAAAAAGTTAAGTAAAACATCGAATTTTGTCCGTAAAGTTTTTAATCCAATGTAAATCCAATGTACTTTTATCATATAATGTTATAAGCAAATTATTACCTTATTTCTCTTCTTTGACTAATACTTAATGTTTCTATCTCAGGCTCTAACTCTACTGCTTTCAATTCAACCATATATGTAATAGTGGCATCAGGTGGTATAGGTTTTTTTCCTTGCTTTCCATAAGCAAATCTAGGATCAACTATGATTTCAGCAACTTCATCTACATCCATCAATGCAATTGCTAAGTCTAATCCCTGCAATTTAAATAGTATTAATATTGTTACAAATTAAATATTAACAAATATAAACAAATATTAACAAATAAAAATTAACAAATTAAATATTATATTCAATTAAAATTAAAAATTAAAAATTATTAAATTAAATATTAACATTAAATATTAATTATAAATATAATTAAATATTAAATATTATAATATATATAATACCTGTATCACTTCCATATCTCCCAATTGTATCACAAGATTTTCATATTCTTCTACTATGTTACTATCCTCAAGTTTTCCAGTAATGTTTAACGTACATATTTCACCTCTGTTTGGTCGTGTTCCATCTTTACCTTTTTTTATGATTTTCTTTTTCAATTGACCGTTACCCAATATATCTACCCATTCGTCCACAAGATGATCATTTAAAGAAGCTTTTGTCATCGGATCCTCAGTATCAATATTAAAATTTAATTCCTCACGAATAAAATCAGCCTGTGTTCCTCCTTGTTGCATACTCTCGTCCATCTTAAACAAAAATATTTTATTTTAATTATTTATTTACTTATTATATTTAATTATTTATTTTAATTATTATATTTATATTTTAATTATTTATTTTTATTTTAATTATTAAAAATCCTACTTATTATAGCCATAAATTAGAATTTAATTAAACTTAACAGAAAAACGATTCACCATTTCTTGCTTGAGATATTATAATCCAATATAATTGTAAGTCTTGATAATATACAGTTAAAATTTTTCCCAATTATAATGGATTTTTTTAATAGTCTTGATACATATAAAGCATAAAATATATAACGCATTGTAAATAAATTATCCAAACATTGTAAATATACAAAAACTGCATATAATTTGTACAATCTTCTATAAATAATTTCTGGAATAATTTATATTAGCTTCTATAGAATTATGTGATATGATGAACTTAATTTATTCAATGATCGTTTTAATTATTTTTGATTTATAGGTTATTTAAAATTCTGAATATATACTCGATACTTTCTAGGCTTTACATTGAAAATAAATATTGTAGAAGAAAAGATTACTTCTTGTTTATTACGTTAAGTTTTATGCAAAGGTAACGAATACGATGATGAATAAGCAATAATGCAAAGATGTTATTTAATGCGTTCACAGAGCGATTAGATGGATTTAAATCGTACTTTATGAAATATAATTGACAATAGGATAAAAATCGTACCTCCTTCTGTGCGAATTTATCAACGGACATTGGAAACGCGATTTGTCACGCAAGATTGAAAATGATAAAGAATGAAACTGAACAAGACTAAATCACTCAAGAAGTCAGGACTCAAGAAACTACTGGAAAGTTACACTGGAAGACATTGAATCTCGCGCACGCGTAGAAATTGCTTGAATTTCAGAACTAATTTAAGAATTTTAATATTTAAATTTTTTTCATTTTAATTTTAAATCTTCACAATCTGACCTTTAGATTTTTTTAAATTTGTCGAGAGAGGTAATAATAATAATTGGCGATTATCTTGTAAAATTATACGCTAATTTTTTCCTGTTTAATAAATCAAAAAAGAATTGAAAAATTATTTTATGCAGAAAAGAAATTTATCAGAACTTTTTATCAGATGAAAAAAATTGAGATATTAATTTATAATATATTATTAAATATTTTGAAATTCTGTTGGATTTTATTCCAAATAAAGTTCACTAAAATTTAAAAAAAATTAATAGCATTTGTGAAAATTAAAATATGTGCTCGACTCTCATAAAGATCTCATCTCAACATATTATCAATATTATCTCATAAGACAATCGATTATCCCGTCTATCGATAATTTTCAAGAGATTTGAACGCCAGATTTATTGGTAAGATTAAATCGACAGAAAAATTTGACTCAAATTTCAAATATCAAAAACCAATACTAGATTTAACAGTCGTTTAAAAAGATCCAGATTAACGAGACACGCGCAAATGTCGGATTATAATTTCTTTTCAAGCAGAAGAGGAATTTATCAGAACTTTTTATCAGATGAAAAAAATTGAGATATTAATTTAGAATATATTATTAAATATTTTAAAATTTTGTTGCATTTTATTCCAAAAAAAGTTCATCAAAATTAAAAAAAAATTAATAGCATTTATGAAAATTAAAATATCAGAACTTTTTATCAGATGAAAATTGAGATATTAATTTATAATATATTATTAAATATTTTACTTTAAAATTCTGATATATTTAACAGTCGTTCGAAAAGATCCAGATTAACGCGCAAATGGATTATAATTTCTTTTCAAGCAGAAAAGGAATTTATCAGAACTTTTTATCAGATGAAAAAAAATTGAGATATTAATTTATAATATATTATTAAATATTTTGAAATTCTGTTGGATTTTATTCCAAATAAAGTTCACCAAAATTTAAAAAAAATTAATAGCATTTGTGAAAATTAAAATATGTGTTCGACTCTCATAAAGATCTCATCTCAACATTATTATCAATATTATCTCATAAGACAATCGATTATCGCGTCTATCGATAATTTTCAAGAGATTTGAACGCCAGATTTATTGATAAGATTAAATCGACAGAAAAGTTTGACTCAAATTTCAAATATCAAAAACCAATACTGCTAGATTTAACAGTCGTTTAAAAAGATCCAGATTAACGAGACACGCGCAAATGTCGGATTATAATTTCTTTTCAAGCAGAAGAGGAATTTATCAGAACTTTTTATCAGATGAAAAAAATTGAGATATTAATTTAGAATATATTACTAAATATTTTAAAATTTTGTTGCATTTTATTCCAAAAAAAGTTCATCAAAATTTAAAAAAAATTAATAGCATTTATGAAAATTAAAATATCAGAACTTTTTATCAGATGAAAATTGAGATATTAATTTATAATATATTATTAAATATTTTACTTTAAAATTCTGATATTTAACAGTCGTTCGAAAAGATCCAGATTAACGCGCAAATGGATTATAATTTCTTTTCAAGCAGAAAAGGAATTTATCAGAACTTTTTATCAGATGAAAAAAATTGAGATATTAATTTATAATATATTATTAAATATTTTGAAATTCTGTTGGATTTTATTCCAAATAAAAAAAAATTAATAGCATTTATAAAAATTAAAATATGTGCTCGACTCTCATAAAGATCTCATCCTTACAAATTTTTTTACCCCCATGGACTCCGGTCATGCTCCTTTCACTGTACCAATGAAACCGACCAATCGGGTGCTCCCACATTTCACAAGTCCACGTCCGCGCATCTCGATTTCGTATCCGATAGCGGTCCCGGCTCTGACGGACAGGCCGCCACAAAGGATCAGTGATCAAGGGGTCTTTGTTCGCGCGGTTTGACACATCATGAAACTGCTGCTGCTTCTGCTGGGCTTGGTAGCCGCGGTTTCCTGCGGGAACGGGCCGAAAGTCACCGACAAGGTAAGGGATTCCGAAAGTGTAATCTTCGAAACAACTCGTGTAATTTCGTGAAAATACTCAGAACAATGAATACGTGGCATGTTTGATTCTTTATCTCGGGTTTGCACAGATGGAAAGTCTTGGAACCTGACAATGCCTCTTCTCTCGAGACTTGTCAAGCAACTTGTCGATTAACATTGATAAGCCAAATTGAATTTTTAGGTATGGTTCGACATCAAAATCGGCGACGCCGATGTGGGAAGAATTGAAATCGGTCTCTTTGGTAAAACCGTCCCGAAGACGGTCAAGAATTTCGTGGAACTCGCCAAGAAACCAAAGGGTGAGGGATACAAAGGCAGCTTATTCCACAGAGTAATTAAAGATTTCATGATCCAAGGAGGAGACTTTACGAGGGGAGATGGAACTGGAGGTGCAGTATACTTCCCTGTTTTATTTATTATTTAGTTTAATTGATTAAATTATTGCATTTGTTGTATGACAAATTTTTTAAGTGTGTTTGATCAGTTACAAGATAGAAAATAGAGATTCAAGGAATTTTTATCCTGCAGCCAATTCAACATGCTTAAGGATGTTTTGTGTACAATCCCAGCAAAAAGTAGCTGAAAATCAATATTGACAAATATATCCACTTTTGGTGTATTTTGAGTAAGAAATTGGATGGAATATTACAATTTGATTTTAGCTACAGTGCAGAGATATATTTTTTAATATTTATTGTGTTTTTACTGAAATATTCCGAATTTTGTTAATCGAAATAATTAACTTTTGGCAGAGAATTTTGCCTTGTGACAGATATATGACTAACTTCATTGAATTATATTTAATATCTTTTTAACCAGTTAGTACTTGTATAATATTATTTGATTAAATATTTCCTCTGTATCTAAATTTTTGCAAATTTTAAACAAATTCTGAATATTATTTCCACGTGTTTTTGTCATTTGAATCGACGTGGTTATACGTTACCCATAAGAACAAATGTTAATTCGGTGCAAATTAAAATTCTTAAAACTTGTGAATGCTTTACTCAGGTAGAACATGAAACTCATAATGACATCATTATGACGTCATCATGATTTTATTTATCACTTAGAAGTTACCTAAACAAAAATGATTAAAAAATAATTGTTAAAGATAACAAAAAGAATAATAAATTTTTAAGTTCAATAATCGCGTTATATAATTTTAAAAAGATTATGTTGCTTAAATATAATTAAAATATACATGAATAATTAAATAAACAAGTAATTGCGTAAAGTATATAAATATGATATTATTATGATTGATTTGCAAGATTTCATACGTAAAGTATATATATTCTTGAACAGAGTTCGTTAGAATTGTTTAATATCAAAAATAAGTCACCAAAACATTGCCAAGAGTATATCAAATGAGATCATTATGATATCATTATTTTTCTAAAATGACTTTTAGGTGATGTCATTATGAGTTTCACGTTCTATCTGGGATAGTGAATCGATTTAAAAATTGTACTGAAAATTCTAAACATATGTAAGAACATTCTGTACAATTTTCATTAAATTCTCAATATTTTGAAAGTAGGTACAAAACATTCTTAATTGATTAAGTTATTGCATTTGTTGTATGACAAATTTTGATCAGCTACAAAATAGAAAATAGAGATTCAAGGAATTTGTATCCTGCAGCCAATTCAACATGCTTAAAAAATTTCTTGTCCGACAAATGTAATATAATCTTTAGTATACATATATCTTATATACACATATCTAACTGAGTGTTTGTATTGATTTGTGTTATTCATCAGGTCATGAGTATTTATATTGATTTGTGTTATTCATTAGGTCGCAGTATCTATGGAGAGCGTTTTGCAGACGAAAACTTCAAACTGAAGCACTATGGTGCTGGATGGTTATCTATGGCCAATGCTGGCAAAGATACTAACGGATCTCAATTCTTTATCACAGTTAAGCAAACACCATGGCTTGATGGTAAACATGTTGTTTTTGGTAAAATAATCAAAGGAATGGTATGTAAAAATATAAAGTACATCTATGCATTATGATAATCTGTCAAAATATAATTTCTCACTTATTCATGGAATTATATTCTTATATTACAGAGTATAGTACGTAAAATTGAGCAAACAAGCACAGATCCGAGAGACAGGCCACAGAAGGATATTGTTATTGCTGACTGTGGTGCAGAGATTATAGACGAGCCATTTAGTGTATCTAAAGAGGATGCTACCGATTAAATGTCAGTGTTCATTAATAGATCAGACACTATTATTTATGGTCAGTCTGATTTTATACAAAACGATTTCTTTAAAATTATGATCTCTATCTTCGTTAATCGGCTTTTTTTTTGAAAGTATGAACAATGGCATACAATTTCGATCTCTCTGTTGTGATGTTAACCTGTTTAACAACAATCAATTGATTTAGCAATAGAAGATTCCATATCAACAGTAATCGTAAAAAATAATACAGCATTTTTTTTTTTAATAATCAAAATATTAAAGTGATCGGTATATTGTAGAGTAATTTGTCAGAAATAATTATTTCTATTCCAATTGTTATAGCTATACTTACATTGCACAACAAATTTTATACATATGTAAGATTTTCTACATTCACGAATAAATATAAGTTGTTTGAAGTATATGTATTATATTTTGTTTTCACATAAATTTATTTTATACTCCATAATATTAATCCTATATAGACATACGTTTACTTAGAAAGTACGGTTTCGGATACGTGGGATCGACGTGACATTTTATTGTTTGAAATCCCTTTCTAAAGGAAAGGAATGTTATCGATATAAGGCTCGAAGTATTCTTGCCGTGATGCTGATTGACTATTATGCTTGTGTGCTGATTGCTTCATTCATTATTTTTCTCAGCTGTTAATCAGCGAAAAAAAGATATATTTTTTCAGAGTATTATAATAATATTTTATTACATAATAGAAAGAAGTAAATAGCGCGTGCTTTGTAATGTTTTAGGGTATACAAAATTTTCTGCTCGAGAAGTCAGATTAAAGCACATACATGCGCATATACAGGGTGTCCCAGACCACCTGTACACCCTATTTAAAATGAAAATAAATGGCTTTTATCAAAAATCCCAAACAATTTTTAAATAAATCGGGTACGCTCTATCAAATGATGATATTTTCAACTTTTGATTCCGAAATACGCTTTTCGAATCGGAAGTTGAATTTTTTAGGGGAACATGGTACTTTTTATTACAGATTCGAATTGTACGTGAAAAAATAAGAAACTTTTGTATTAAATGTTTTTTCTGAAAGTGCCTCTTAATCTTAAAATTGAAGTTTATTATTTCATCACAATTACTTTCAAGATCAATTTTAAGATTGACAGAGACACTTTTAGAAAAAACGTTTGATACAAAAGTTTCTTATTTTTTCACGTACAATTCGAATCTATAATAAAGTGTCATGTTCCCCTAAAAAAAATTCAACTTCCGATCCGGATGGCGTATTTCCGGTCGGAATCAAAAGTTGAAAATATCACCATTCGATAGAGCGTACCCAATTTACTTAAAAATTGTTCGCGATTTTTGATAAGTCATTTATTTTCATTTTTGAGACACCCTGTATATGGGTCTGTTCTTTTCAGCTATACTGCTGCACTAGTGCAATAAGTTAGAAAGAGACAAACATACTTTCTTTCACTCTAACTAATTGCACTAGTGCAGCAGTGCAGCTGAAAAGAACAGACCCTATGTATACAAACATGACATATTCCCATCTGCATATGCCCATTGACATTTGAATATTGAGAGATCAATGCGCATGCTTGAGCTTGAGAATGCACTGGCCGTCATTCAAACGTTTCTTTAGACTTTCTCAATTTTATATCGAACAATTAAAATAAAATATGTTGTCAAGGAGACAAATACATTCTATGTATAAATGGATTAAAAGGCGAAATGGCAAATTTTCACAGCGATTTCTTTCATCTAATACTGAAACAGAAGCAAAAGTACAGTGAGTAATTAGGTTATGAAAAATATTTACATGTGCAGATGTAAATAATACTTACATATGTTGCTGCTCCCAATAAATAAATAAATAATTAATTAAATAATTTATATATAATTAATATATAATTAATAAAATAATTTATATATAATTAATTAATTAAATTTATATATAAATAATTAATTAAATAATTTATATAAATAAATATATATATATATATATATATATATATATCACATTTAGTTTGAGAAATATATTATACTCTGATACATGCATAAAATATTCTAATTGATTCATTAATCTTATTCTCTCTGACAATTTCAGGAAGAAATGGAGATCCATCGTGGGCTTGGAAATTCATGCTCAGATTGCGACAGAGTCAAAGTTATTTTCTAGCGCATCCACGAATTTTGTCAATCCCATCAACTCGTGTGTCTCATTTTTCGATTGCGCCACACCAGGAACGCTACCTGTAAGTTATGGATAATCAGTAAAAATCGCCTAAATTATTGCGATATGTATTAATTATTGTTGCAGATACAAATGTGTTGCAGGTATTGAACAGGAAATGCGTGGAAATGGCAGTGCTGACAAGCTTAGCGTTATCATGCCGATTGAATGAGACCTCTCTGTTTGAGAGAAAACACTACTTTTATGCAGATCTACCTGTAAATATCGTACGATTCGGTACTTTCTTTTATATCTTACATTGGCATGTTTAATATCATGTAATTATTTAGGCAGGATTTCAAATCACTCAACAACGACAACCTATTGCTGTCGATGGTGAAATTAAATTCCATGTGTTCACTCCAGGAATACACAAGTCACCGTATTTGAAATCTTCTAAAATCAAGCAAATTCAATTGGAACAAGACAGTGGCAAGAGCTTGCACGATGAAAATACAGCAAAGTATTAATTAAATTAATTATATATACAAAGTGTCCCAAAAGTCCCGGATCGGTCGAATATTTCATAAACTATGTACTTTAGAAAGAAATGTTTCAGACAAAAGTTGTATGGCTTAAAGGGGACCATCAGATAGTGGCAATGATTTGACATGGGAGAGTCATTTGAAAGTCACGTGAAGATCACCGTCAATTTCTTAAATGGAACTCCCTATTTTTTATTACATATTCGTGTAGCTTATCTCGAGAGCTTTCCAAAACACTAAAATAAAGTATTTCTTCATTGAGTACTTTTCGAGTTATGAGGCTTGAAATAATTTCGTAATTTTACATAAACCGTAAAATATCTTGTAAAATATTCATTTTTCGATTATCAAATCATTGCCATTATCTGATGGCCCCCTTCAAGCTATACAACTTTTGTCTGAAACATTTCTTTCTAAAGTGCATAGTTTATGAAATATTCGACCGGTCCGGGACTTTTGGGACACTCTGTATATTTTTTTATTTTAGAAAATGAAAAAAATTGTAGTATTCTAAATGATTTAATATTTTTGTAGAAGCTTAATTGATCTTAATCGTGCTGGAATTCCATTGATGGAATTTGTATTTGAACCAGATTTGATTGATGGCGAAGAAGCAGCTGCGCTTGTTAAGGAGCTTACGCTTATATTACAGTTATTGGGTGTCTGTAGTGGCAGAATGGAAGGTCATTTTTAAAATTATTTGGCTTTTGAGTTGATATATTTGTAGGTTCAATATATCACACTTTATTATTCTTACAAATTATAGAAGGAGCACTTCGTATCGATGCTAATGTTTCTGTAAGTAATCGAGACAACGATTTGGGTGTTCGAACGGAAATAAAAAATATCGGAAGTGTGCGTGCTGTTGCTGCCGCTGTTAAGTATGAAATAAATAGGCAAATTTCTATCCTTGAAGCCGGCAATAAAATATTTAACGAGACACGCGCATGGAACATGGTAAACAAGACAACTATTCCCATGCGTGAAAAGGAAGAGAAAGAAGTAATGTATCATTTTTTTATGTTTTCAACAGATTGTTCTGGTTTTGAAGTTATTATGAAAAACATTTACAGGATTATAGATTTATGCCTGAAACAAACTTGCCACCTTTACGTATACATGTCAGAGAAGATTTACCGAATGAAAACAATTTAGTCGATGCTGTAATATTAAAAAAACAATTGCCTAAATTGCCGGAACAGATACGTGAGAGATTAAAGAATGTTCTTCAGATATCTCCTGAAATAATTATAGCTCTAATGGTAGGTTTCAGTGCACTACAATCAAATAAATATGTACAAAAGATGTTTTTAATATTTTGTATTTTTTTAGAGTGACTTGATATTGCTACAATTATTTGATAAAATAATAAAAAAAGATGGCAATCGTGATCCAACATTGGTTGCAAAGTTTCTTGTCAGGGACCTGTTGAATTTTCTTAATAAAAACAAACTTACAATTGAATTTTGGTAAGAAATTTTCATTTTACTTTAATTATATTTCTCATTGTATAAAATGCTCATCTAACAAATTCTTAGCATACCACATGCAGATTTTATTGGTCAATTAACTGATTTATTACAAAACAAAACAGTTAATTTAATAATAGCGAACAAGATTTTGTACGAAATAATATCTGATACAAAGAAGTCCCCAAAAGAGGTATAATTTCATATTTCTTTCATATAAAAAAAAAATAATGTGCGAATTTCTTGTTAAATTTATGTGATTGTTTTTTTTTTTTTTATTTCTTATATGTAGATTGTCGAAGAACATAATTGGTTCTTGATATCAGATGAAGAAGAATTAGAAAAAATGTGTTTAGAAATTATTGAGAAAAATCCGAAAATTGTATCAGGATATAAAAAAGGCAAGAAAAAATTATTTATTGCACTAATGGGACAAATGGCGAAAATCACTAACCAACGTGCAGATATGGCTCTTGTTGCAAACATTATGGAAAGATTATTAAAATCATAATACATGTAGATTATATAAGATTGAGCAGATGTATAGAATTAGTTTCTATAAAGAAATATATTGTAAATGTAAAATATAAAATATATATTTGAGAATAAATAAAATTATAAAATAAAATATGTAAATGTTTTATTACTTTATTAAAAGTTACTTACCTTTCAGTATATATATGATCAGTAATATATATGATCAGTAATATATATGATGTAGTTGCTTAATCATATGTGATTCTTATATATAAATATTCAAAAGACATGTTACAATATGTATAAAACATGTATAGAAATTTTATTTTATTATGATGTGACTTAAAAGCTAATAAAATAAAACTAAGATTCATATGTTGTGTAAGTTATGTATTAAATATTTACACAAATATTATTTTCTAATAAACTTCATTACGAAATAACTACATTGAATCATCCTTTTTTTTACAATTGTTTACAATAATATCATTTAAAAAAACATGCCAACTGTCAGTTTACACATTCCATAATCCAATATTTATAAATTCGTTTTTATCCAGAGTGTATATTGAACAATCATTTTTTTTATTAATGCTATAAGAAAATAATAGGTAACAGCATTTCATACATTAGACAAATAGTTAAAAATAATAACACAGATTCTACCACATCAACAGCATTCGAACTCAAGTTTTTTTGTCATCAACAGCATTCGAACTCAAGTTTTTTTACAGCCACAGCTCTAACATATAGTAATTTTAGCACTTTAAGGAGATTAAAAAAAATCCCAATGTGTCTTAAGTATATTTTACATGTATATCTGTGATATTATAAGAAAATGTATTAATATTACAGAGTAAAATTAAAAACATTTATTCTCCCGTACATGCATCAAATTTCTGCTTATACTGCAAAAATGGCAATGATGGAAGGATTTATAAATTGCAGTCTTCAGAGAAAGGCCACTTGAGTAGCAAGATCATGTTCTTTGTGACTCCATTCTTCTTTACTAGCTGTATAATTTAACCAGGCGAAACAGAAATATCGTTTATTGCTTTTCTTTTAATGTAAATGGACTCGTTTTACTGTGTTTATTTGTCTGCAGTCAGAGTATTTCAGAGACTTGCTCCGTAAGTAAAAATTTTTTCTTTCAATCATTAAAATGCCGCATTGTCATCACCATTGTCTATTACATATTTACATAAAAATATCCTTAATAAAGAAACTCAACATTGATAACGTGATTTGTTAAAAAAAGAAAGCTGTAAAAAATCAACATTTTTTCTTCTCTCTAGGAAGTCAAATATAAAGTAAATCTGGATTTCTTCTTTTTTTTTCTTTACTACCAAACATCGAATTGATTTTAGTGGATTATGAAAAATTTATCTTTCTATATATAAGACAATAAAAAATAATTCCGCAAAGTAAAATTTCTTTCTCTAAGTCTTTTACAAAATCATTCACAGTCTAAGAATAAGAGTACTATCTTTTTTTCGCCTTTGGCACAGCCATGCGATTAATAATTTGTTCTCATCATCGGAATAAGTTAAATTACTAGCACAAGGATAAATTCATCGATAGCGTGATGTGCGTTTGTAAGAATACTAGATAATAATGCTGCGATAATTAAAGCAATTCATTTCGATATACAAATTAATAACATAGAATTAACAATTTAAAATTTCATTGCGATGTGTAGTCGAGACTACAAGATTTATTTGGACAATTTGCTGATTACTCTGATCAAGGCACCATTTTCATCTTTTAGCCTCTGATTTTCGCATTTTAGTTGGTCCATCACCTAGAAAGAAAAATGTCACACTAATTCTCATGTGCTAAACGAAAACATAACAGAGGAGTTACATTATACAGAGGAGTACAAAGAGAAATGATGCCGTTATAGACGGAGTAATAAGTGCTCACAAAAAACAACAGGAAGATAAACGGAAAAAGAGAGAGGCACTCACAAATATTACTGCAACCAAAAGTCATTAAAGTATACAGAGGGTCCCAAAAGTCCCGGACTGGTCGAATATTTCATAAACTATGCATTTTCAGAAAGAAATGTTTCAGACAAAAGTTGTATGGCTTGAAGGGGGCCATCAGATAGTGGCAATGATTTGACACGGGAGAGTCATTTGAAAGTCACGTGAAGATCACCGTCAATTTCTTAAATGGAACTCCCTATTTTTTATTACATATTCGTGTAGCTTATCTCGAGAGCTTTCCAAAACACTTTAATAAAGTAAGTTTCTTCATTAAGTACTTTTTAAGTTATGAGGCTTCAAATCATTTCTTAATTTTACATAAACCGTAAAATATCTTGTAAAATATTCATTTTTCGATTATCTTACCTTAATACTTTTATATACAAAATAATGAGAGGAATTAATTGGTGTAAAGAAAAAACATAGTTGTTTTTAAGAAAAAAATATGTAATTTGCAATTAACAATTACATATTTTTTTAAAAACAACTATGTGTTTTCTTTACACCAATTGATCCCTCTCATTATTTTGTACATAAAAGTATTAAGGTAAGATAATCGAAAAATGAATATTTTACTAGATATTTTATGGTTTATGCAAAATTAAGAAATGATTTCAAGCCTCATAACTCGAAAAGTACTCAATGAAGAAATACTTTATTATAGTGTTTTGAAAAGCTCTCGAGATAAGCTACACGAATATGTAATAAAAAATAGGGAGTTCCATTTAAGAAATTGAAGGTGACCTTTACGTCACCTTCAAATGACTCTCCAAGATCAAATCATTGCCACTATCTGATGGCCCACTTTAAGCCATACAACTTTTGTCTGAAATATTTCTTTCTAAAGTGTATAGTTTATGAAATATTCGACCGGTCCGGAACTTTTGGGACACTCTGTATATTCGGGTATATTGTATACTAGCAGAAATTAATATATGTGTTCAGATAAAGAAACGAAAAAATAATCGAATGAACCGAGCAAGTAACGTTTCATCAATTTATGATGTTCGTACTACATTTGACAGCAACATCGTAGATTCTTTATTTCTTTTGATTATAATTGAATATTGCATTTGTATACACAAATCTTCTCTTTATAATTATATATTTATAGATTTTTCACTATTGTTCATTACTAAATTCTCTTCATAATTATTTACAAAATTACAGAAACCTGACACAAACTTAAACTTAAAAGTAATAAATCTTCATATGTGTAGATCTTACACAATAAATATTTATATCTGTGCTTGGAGGACAATAATCTCCTTAGGCTCGTATACAATCTAAGTGAAGCTTAGTTATAGAATTAAATTTAACACTGTTTAGAAAGATATGCATAGGTTTAATCAATAATTTGATTTCAGGAGCATTTTATAAAAATATTAAAAGAGCGTATTAAATGTGTGTGTTATCGACTATGACTGATTTACCACATACTTTCCTTTCGAGCACTTTTAGAACACTACAAAATAATAATTGTTGATTATGAAAGCTTTCTAATGCATACCATGTAATAATGATGAATATGTAACATTATGTACATAAAAATTAAAGTAAGATTAATGCCAATCTCAATATATGGATTGGCCATTTTACAAAGTAGATCTATGTCAATAAGATGCGATAAAAATGCAACGATTTAACATTTAACATGCTTTCTGAGAAATAAAGAAAGATAGATAGAGGAGTAAAAATCTAAGTTAATAAATGTGTAGTACATGTTGATTTTAACGTATGTCGAACATATTTCGGGAACTGCCACACAATTACGATTAAGATGAATGAATGAAAAAAAAAAAGGAATAATCAGTTGCAAAGTCATGACTTTGTTTTTGATGTGTAACACGTGCCAGAGATGATTATCGATGCTTGGTGATGACGCATTCAGTTTACAAATGTTATACTGCATGTTGGATGGTGGTTTTATTGATGAAGGTAAAATTTCTCCTAAAGAGTTATAAAATTACGGAATTCTATATTCATTCCTATGCATCCTTAATATATGACAGACTGCGTTCTTCTGTTTCTTGTTAAGACTTATGCAATGATTTTTTTTTAGTAAATATATTATTAAGTCGCGTCTATAACATGCATCACACAAACAGTCGCGAATAATTCATTATAATTGCCACGGTTTGAAATTTTTTACAGCAATCTTAAATAATCGTACACGTGTATAATGTTATACATATATAATCGCTCTCTCTCGCGTTAAGATTCGCGTTGATTTTGCAAAGATGGAAGTGCTATTAGTATCACACTAGCAGTGTTTGCTGGTATCTAGATAAAATTATCTAGATAATTATCTAGATAAAGAAATGGATCATCTTTATCTTTATCTTAGATAAAAAATATATGTCATCTTATCTAAAAATTGTCTAAGATGACGTTTTTATTATGAAAAAGAATTTTCCAGGCAAGCTTCTAAAAATCTATCTAAAATATATAAAATATATTTTTTATTTGGAAAATAATATTACAAATATACTTTATCTTGTACTTGTTTTACTTAAATTTGCGCAATGCATTAATGTATATTTTATAAAAATGATATACGTATTGTTACATAATGATTATTATATTATTAATATATTATAAATATATTATAAATATAAATTAATAAATAAATATTTATTATATCATTTATATACCTTTTTGTCATTATTCAAATATTCTTTAGAAAAAGAGAAAGAATATGTGTTTATGATTTTAATATCCCATTTATAATCTGCGTCACATTTTTTACAAATATTTATAGTCTTATAAAATAAACAAAAATATCTAGATAATTATCTAGATTATCGCAATAATCATCTCATCTTTCATCCAGATTAAGTAAAAGCAAAATCATCTTTATCTCATCTGAGATAAATTTACGGATTTTTATCTTTATCTTTATCTAGATAATTTTGAAATTATCTACAGCAAACACTGCACACTAGTAAAAGGATGCGCGATCGTATAATGTTCATTATGATATTCGGGATGAAATGTATGTATTATTAAAAGGACTGAAGTCTCTCCTTTACAAAAGTATAAGCTGCTAGTGTCGTTTAATTAAAGATTGATTAACGATTGCTTTGGAATGCACTTTATAAAGCTGAATTATATAATAAGTAAATGAGTAGCATCGTTCTTGTTGTTTTAATACTGGCGGTCGAGGAACACGAAATTTTAATCAATCATTCGATTAATTAATTAATTAATTAATTAATAATGCTATACGTGAGACACGATGTCTATCGTTAACGCAGATGCTGTCATTGTGTTTTTTACCTATTTAGTATTGGTGAGTTTGGATACGACACGGGTAAGTGCCCGATTTTCGGCTTTCAATCTCTCATTTTCAGCTTTGAGTTTTTGCAATTGCTGTAAACAGTTAAACAATTAGCCTAAAACCCCGCCATTTTTTATTTATTTATTTTTTTGTTTTCCTTTTAGTCTCAAAATAGCCCCCAAAAACATACAACTGACGCTTCGTTAAAACAGATAAGTAAAACCGCGTGCAATTCCCCGCTAAACTACGCTAGAAATTCTGAGAGAAGCGAAACACAGAGGAAGAGATATACAGGGTGTCCTATTTTAAAGGACCCACTCAAATATTTCAGAAACACTGCGTTAAATCAAAAAATGTTTCAAACAAAAGTTGTGTGGCTTCAAGGGGGCTATAAGATGGTGACAATGATGTGACCTTGGAAAATCATTTGAAGGTCATATGAAGATCACCGTCAATTTCTTAAATGGAAACCCCATTTTTATTGGAATTCTTGTAGCTGACATCGAGAGTTTTCCAAAACACTAATTAAATGTTTTTTCATTAAGTACTTTTCGAGTTATAAGGCTTGAAATAATATCTTAATTTTACATAAACCATAAAATATCTAGTAAAATATTCATTTTTCGATTATCTTACCTTAATACTTTTATGTACAAAATAATGAGAGGAATCAATTGAAGTAAAGAAAAAAACATAGTTGTTTTGAAGAAAAAATATGTAATTGTTAATTGCAAATTACATATTTCTTCTTCGAAACAACTATGTTTTTTCTTTACACCAATTGATTCCTCTCATTATTTTGTACATAAAAGTATTAAGATAATCGAAAAATGAATATTTTACTAGATATTTTATGATTTATGTAAAATTAAGATATTATTTCAAGCCTTATAACTCGAAAAGTACTCAATGAAGAAATACTTTATTATAGTGTTTTGGAAAGCTCTTGATGTCAGCTACAAGAATACCAAATAAAAAATGGGGGTTTCCATTTAAGATTTTAAAGTTGACCTTCATATGACCTTCAAATGATTTTCCAAGGTCAAATCATTGTCACCATCTTATGACCCTCTTGAAGCCACACAACTTTTGTTTGAAACATTTTGCGATTTAACGCAGTATTTCTGAGATATTTGAGTGGGTCCTTTAAAATGGGACACCCAGTATAAACGAGCGAACAGAAATGATTATTTCCCGATTGAAAAATCAATCAAGTAGACTAATCTGAGTAGAAAATAAGATAAGAGAGTAAAGCGCCTTGAATAAAAATGATAGGTAAGGAAAAGCATACAAAATAGATGCACCGAAGCAATCGGAATTTTTACAAAAAGGATTATCTATGTTTTCTTGTCGCTACTAGTCGTAGCAATACAACAAAAAGAGATGACGGGTGTATGACTAACTAAAAAAAGGAAAAAAATCTAGAGAACAAAATCTAAAATTGTGAGTATACAGATATACATTGAGATGTATATTCGTACACAGAGATAAAATCACAGAAAATTGTGGTCCAGCCTCGTAATTATTTAATTCAACGTATGAAAGCGTCTTTGTTCCATTTGCTATCACATAAATAAGAATTGTTGAAAAATTGAAGGAATTAATTACGTGAAATCCGAGCTTACCTTTAATTCTTCTTCCATTTCCGAAAGTTTTCTTTCCATTGCTCGCCTTTCTCTCTTTTCTGCCTCAGAGAGAATTACTTTGTTTTGGTTGCTTTGCGCTTTCTCCAATAAACTTCTAACTTCCTTCAATTGTTCATCGGAACGCTTCAATTTGTCCTTTAACCTTTCGTTCTCGACCTGAGATTCCTCATACAATTTCTTATAGTCTAATTCGCCATTTTCGGAATTATTGGATTTTAATCTGATCGGCGTTGATGACGCTTCTGATGATAATGAAGATATTGAACCTAATCTATTAGTCCTCACAGAAGAACGATCGTTTCCACTCTAAAACAGATATAATATTAAGTGTCATTAATTTTTGTGAAATGCATTATTGTCTAAATTCCCTTAAAAAAAATTCTGATGAATTCTGGAATATTAGCACTGTCGAGAATATTACAAATATTTGTAAGGATATTTCAAAAGGTCAGCAAATATATCTCTAGCAGATTCTTCAAAAGTTTGATTATGCAGGATGTTTCAGACCACCCACTTAAAAATTAAAGAAGTGGTTATTTAAAAACAGTAAAAACATTTTCTTTATAAATCGAATGCGCACTATCGAATGGTGATATTTTCAACTTCTGGTTCCGGCCGGAAATAGGCGATTCAGAACAGAAGTGCATTTTTTTAAATGGAACCCTCTATTTTTCATTGCATATTCTTGTAGCTTACCTCGAGAGCTTTCCAAAACACTATAATAAATTATTTTTCCATGAAATACTTTTCGAGTTGTGAGGCTTGATATCATTTCTTAATTTTATATAAACCATAAAATATCTTGTAAAATATTCATTTTTCGATTATCTTATTTTAATACTTTTATGCACAAAATAATGAGAGAAAATTGGTGTAAAGAAAACATACAGTTGTTTTTAAGAAAAAATATGTAATTTGCAATTAATAATTCCAGTTGTGTAATTCCAGTAGTGTTTTGGAAAGCTCTCGAGATAAGCTACAAGAATATGTAATGAAAAATAGAAGGTCCATTTAAAAAAATGCACTTCCGGTCTGAATCGCCTATTTCCGGCCGGAACCAGAAGTTGAACATATCACCATTCGATAGAGCGCATTCGATTTATAAAGAAAATGTTTTTACTGTTTTTAAATAACCACTTCTCTAGTTTTTAAATGGGTGGTAAGGGTGGTCTGAAACACCCTACATAAATCATTTTTTAAAAATTATGTTTTAAGAAAAATCGCTTACAGCGTATCCTTCGGAACTAGTTAGACTAGTTAGACTGGAACTCCTGGATCTGATATTTAAACTCGGTTTTATTTTAGATCTGCTAAAACTCTCTGTTTTTTGCGCGTGTTGACGAACGTTCAAGTTGGGCGTTACGTTTAAATAATTGTAACTGGGAGAAGGACTCAAATTTAAGGAATTTACGGCTGCGTGAGAGGGTAAAGTCACACCACCGTATCCCGTATTCGTTCCACCATACGTAGTGTAGAGGTTTTGATATGAATTCGTATTGTTCGTCGATTTCACATACGGACTTATACGGAATAGATCGCTATTCTTTCCGCTTTTGTTCAAGAAACTCGACCCGGTGTATAAATTGGGATTTTTCGCGCTCAACAAACTCGGGTTGTACGTTAAATTATTCTGATTTAGCGAAAGCAATCCACCGATTCGTGACCTGTTTCCATAAATTGATTTCCCATTTGTTGACGCTTGAGCTCTCAAGCCCGCAGCTGTTGTTGGCTTAGTCTGTGCTCCCTTTCTGTACGAAGACATGGTTTACGTCACGTGCAAAGCTATTACGAGCCGTTACAGCATCGGCAATTTTTTTTTCTTTTTTCTTTTTTTTTTTTACAAAATTCCTCACTCAACTTCTACACTTTATTCGTACATTAACGGTTGCTGAAAATTGTTATCACAGCCTACGCGATACCACAATAGCGAAAGCTTTATAATTTCTAGAGCAACGCACATCAAGTACTGCGGAGAACAGATGATGGACTGACGGAGATTGGGCAGGAGAACCCAAGACATCTCTCTCTCAGGCAGTTTACTTTAAAGCATTACTACTATGCGCTATTTTTGGAATGCACGCGTAGACACACACACACAAATATCAAGGTTTCGGAGAATAAATGCAGCCTGTATCGCAGTTTAAACACATTTTAACACAAAACTCATAGAAATATATAAAAATTTCAATTCATCAATGTATCAAGTACATATGATATATTGTATATCTAATTTTGTACTAGAGAGAAGTAAGATCAAGAGAATCGGAAAACATGAGAATGAGTATTATAGAGAGATTTCGTAACATTAGCTCCCGATATATAAGTTTTATATATAGACAGTGTTTGCTGGTATCTAAATAAAATTATCTAGATAAAGAAATGGATCATCTTTATCTTTAACTAGATGAAGAAATACAAAGTATCTTTATCTTTATCTTAGGTAAAAAATATATGTCATCTCATCTAAAAATTGTCTAAGATGACGTTTTCATTATGCAAAAGTTTTCCAGGCAAGCTTTTAAAAATCTATCTAAAATATCTAAAATATATTTTTTATTTGGAAAATAATATTACAAATATACTTTATCTTGTACTTGTTTTACTTAAATTTGTGCAATGCATTAATGTATTTTATAAAAATGATACATGTATTGTTACACATTGATTATTATATTATAAATATATTATAAATATAAATATATTATAATTATAAATTAATAAATAAATATTTATCATATCATTTATATACTTTTTTGTTATTATTTAAATATTCTTTAGGAAAAGAGAAAGAATATGTGTTTATGATTTTAATATCCCATTTATAATCTGCGTCATATTTTTTACAAATATTTATAGTCTTATAAAATAAACAAAAATATCTGGATAATTATCTAGATTATCGCAATAATCATCTCATCTTTCATCTAGATTAAGTAAAAGCAAAATCATCTTTATCTCATCTAAGATAAATTTACGGATTTTTATCTTTATCTTTATCTAGATAATTTTGAAATTATCTACAGCAACACTGTATATAAAAGTGTTGATGATTTGTTTATTATGGATAAAAGATTGACTGACGTTTAGCAGTGTTCATGAGCAGTAAACGTATACGATCCTAAATGTCAAAGCGTCAAATTGTATTCCGGGCACATTGATAGAATACTTTTAGACACGGTCGGGCCATGTTCACGATCATCTTTTTTTACAATTCTTCAATTGCCGATCATCTTTCCGAATGAAGTTTTACCATTTCCTGCTAAAATCTATTCGATAATTTTAAATTTAAAAAAGAACACAAGAGAAATATTTATTTAAAAAGTGAATAAAATTATGTGTTGACGTGTGTTTCACGATTATTTATATATAAATTGTTAATTGCATATTTTCTTTTAAAAACAACTATGTTTTTTCTTTACACCAATTGATTCTTCTTATTATTTTGTACATAAAAATATGAAGGTAAGATAATCAAAAAATGAATATTTTACTAGATATTTTATGGTTTAAAATTAAGAAATTATTTCAAGCCTCATAACTCTAAAAGTACTCAATGAAGAAATACTTAATTATAGTGTTTTGGAAAGTTCTCGAGATAAGCTACACGAATATGCAATAAAAAATAGGTGGTTCCATTAAAAAAATTGAAGGTGATCTTCACGTGACTTTCAAACAACTTTTCAAAGTCAAGCCAATGACACCATCTTATGGTCTGCTTCAAGCCATACAACTTTTGTCTGAAACATTTCTTTCTGAAGTGTATAGTTTATGAAATATTCAACCGTGAACTTTTGATAAGCACTGTATATACCTATATTTTTTTTTCATATAGAATATTGAACACATAAATGACAGAACAAATAAAGATTATTGAATAATCGAGAATATACAAAGAGGTTTTTATTGAACTATTTTATCAAGAATATGCGAAATAGAAGTTATTCTTCCAAGAAGCTAAAAATAACACCAAGCTCCGGTAGCCTACTAAAGTCATTTATATCTGGTGAATGAAAAAGTTACACTGGAACTTTGTGCGAGAACGAGCTGTCTTTCAAAATTACAAAAATATATTTAATATTGGACATATTGAATATTGGAGAAAGAGAGAACATTTGTTCTTTTCTTGTTATTTGCATCATTTTGTAGAAATGGCAGAATAGTTATGACACAATCGTCCGACCTGTCCAACAATCGAAAGCTACAGAAACTTATCGAGGCCAAAATGAGATGATGCCTCATCATTCGTACACTTCCCTCCCCCTCTTTCCTTATGTTTCTCTCGCGTCAGAAAACTGCGCGTTATCCAATTTTGGTTTCTTGGCACATGTCTAGTAAATCCGTGACAACAGACTCGTAAATTGAAATTCGGACAGACACTTTGGCGTCAAAAGGATTTAGTTAGTTCAAAAAAAATAAAGATGGTCGCGAAAATGGGGAAACGATATATTTTGGATCAACGGTGGAATTCGTCCATCATGCAGCGATCAGCTTTATTATTCGCGCAATATAATTTTTCTTTATTATTTTGAACTAACTTATTTCAATTTTAAGCAGTGCTTTATATACTTCTAACGATAATGCTTTAATAAAATAAAGTTGACACATTATGTAATAGAAATTGCAAGACTTTGAAGTAGAAAAAGATGAATTTACTTACTTCATTGTGATTGATCTTGGAATCATCACAGTCACCGCCAGCAATTACATCTTGTTTCTCCGGATCGATTTCCTATAAAAGATAAAATATTGTTTTAGATATATTTTTAAACATATTTATTTATATATATAATTTCTACAGAATAATTTTCATTACATATGATTAGCTTTCAGCTAATTTTTGTCATTTTAAATCTATGTTATTTTTTTTCAAATATACAGGATGTTTCAGACCACCCGTATCACCCATTTAAAAATTAGAGAAGTGATTATTTCAAAAAAGTAAAAACATTTTCTTTATAAGTCGGGTGTGCTCTCAAAATATGTAATTTGCAATTAACAATTCCATATTTTTTCTTAAAAACAAGTGTATGTTTTCATTACACCAATTGATTCCTCTCATTATTTTGTACATAAAAGTATTAAGGTAAGATAATCGAAAAATGAATATTTTACAAGATATTTTATGGTTTATGTAAAATTAAGAAATGATTTCAAACCTCATAACTTGAAAAGTACTTCATGGAAAAATAATTTATTATAGTGTTTTGGAAAGCTCTCGAGGTAAGCTACAAGAATATGCAATGAAAAATAGGTTTCATTTAAAAGAATGCACTTCCGGTCTGAATCGCCTATTTCCGGCCGGAACTAGAAATTGAAAATATCACCATTCGATAGAGCGCACCCGATTTATAAAGAAAATGTTTTTACTTTTTTGAAATAATCACTTCTCTAATTTTTAAATAAGTGGTCTGAAACACCCTGTATAATTCTTTCTTATTTTCTCCTGTGAATTAGAACATTTTTAAGGGAAGATTAATATAACTTTTTTAGATAACTTCAACTGAAATTGTTACTAACATCCATATCCACGTGGACTACACCCGTCGACCTTCTTTTAGGCCTACGTCTCCTTTGTATAACTGCCTGTGTAGCTTGTGCATTTCTACTATCATTTTCCTTATCTTGTTCTATAACATAACACAATTTCGATCTTTTATATAAATGATCGTCAATGCTGCACAAACTAACTCTATATTTTCATGAAATATTGTAAATAAGTTATAAAAAACAAGTAGTATAAAAGTATAAAAAACAAGTTTTATATTGTATAAATTATTCTATAGATCCTTACCCTTGTCATCAGATTGCTTTAATGATCTCCTAAGGGGTAAAGTAATTGTGGTTTCTGTACTACTGGTAGCAATAGTTTCTACAGGCGCTGATGATGGTCTAGGTATACCAGTTCCACCAGACGGTCTTCTCATGTAGGCCGATGTATTATCGGTAGCAGGTTTATTATTAGCGTCTTCTAACTGAAACTATACAATGAATTACAATATACAGGGTGTCCCAAAAGTCCCAGCCTGGTTGAATATTTCATAAACTATGCACTTTAGAAAGAAATGTTTCAGACAAAAGTTATATGGCTTGAAGGGGCCATTAGATAGTAGCAATGATTTGACATGGGAGAGTCATTTGAAAGTCACGTGAAGATCACCGTCAATTTCTTAAATGAAATCCCCTATTTTTTATTACATATTCGTGTAGCATATCTCGAGAGCTTTCCAAAACACTATAATTAAATATTTCTTCATTGAGTACTTTTCGAGTTATAAGGCTTCAAATCATTTCTTAATTTTACATAAACCGTAAAATATCTGTAAAATATTCATTTTTCGATTATCTTACCTCAATAATTTTATGTACAAAATAATGAGAGGAATCAATTGGTGTAAAGAAAAAACAGTTGTTTTTAAGAAAAAAATATGTAATTTGCAATTAACAATTACATATTTTTTTAAAAACAACTATGTGTTTTCTTTACACCAATTGATTCCTCTCATTATTTTGTACATAAAGGCATTAAGATAAGATAATCGAAAAATGAATATTTTATTAGATATTTTATAGTTTATGCAAAATTAAGAAATTTCAAGCCTCATAACTCGAAAAGTACTCAATGAAGAAATACTTAATTATAGTGTTTTGGAAAGCTCTCGAAATAAGCTACACGAATATGTAATAAATAGGGGGTTCCATTTAAGAAATTGACGGTGATCTTCACGTGACTTTCAAATGACTCTCCCATGTCAAATCATTGCCACTATCTGATGGCCTTCTTCAAGCCATACAACTTTTGTCTGAAACATTTCTTTCTAAAGTACATAGTTTATGAAATATTCGACCGGTCCGGGACTTTTGGGACACTCTGTATGTTATTATGTGTTTTGATTTATACAATGATATTTATGATGCTTCGTTTCTATTGTTGTGATTGAAGTTTCATCACATTTTACATCTTGTAACGCATTGCATGGCGTAGCACCGACTATAACGGATAATCGCGTGAATAAATATAAATAAATAATAATTTCGTAAGAAAATACCGCACAGACCTTGCTCCCATTGTCTACCCTTAATCTCCAAGATGGTCGTCTTTCAGGCAAATTAGATTCTTCTATTTTATTCGCAGTAGTCACGGTAGCAGTAGTTGAGGTTGCAGTTGTTATTGTAGCTGTGATCGAAGCTGTATTGCTGACAGTAGTTGTAGGCTGTATTATTTAAAAAAAAAATGAATAAATGTATCGACTTCGTAATGCATCGTCTGGACTTTATTTAATCGTCCTATTGCATTATATTTGTATATAAGAATATAATATATAATAAAAAATAAAATATAATATGTACTTTCAATTTTAAACAACACAGGTACTTCGTGAAGGCCATGGAATAATATATTAGATCGTCGTTCGTTTATTATACACATTAATACAATTCAATAAAAAATAACTTTGAAACCTAAGAAAGAGGAAAATCATTTGCTTAGCAGATTTTTGATGCTGAATAGAATTCCGGTCTTCAAATCGTGATGTGATAGAACAATTTAAAAGCCAAAATTATAATCATCATACAAAACTACGAGAAGTAATCTCCTTTCTTTGGTTTAAAAAAAAATCATTTTTTCTCGAGTGTAATTAATATGCCGCATTACGTTTTAATATTCACTTTTTATCAACATTCTCATAAAAAGAGGGCGTTTTTCTCAACACTATCATACACTGCGAATGAAAAGAATTTTTTCAAACGGTTCACTTCGTGCGATTAGTCATTCTTTAATCAATTGATAAGACAATCCGTATGAGATAAAAATATCGATATGATCTTTACCTGCGTGGATGGTGTTCCTGCCGACGATTCGTTGTTCTGTTGCTTCTTCTTGACTAATTGTTCCGCGCTCTTGATCTCGTCTAACGTCACACCTTGAGTTGATCTTCTAGTTTCTCTCACTCTCTTCGCGTGGGCTTTCCTTTGGGTTTCACTTTCCTCATCACGTACCGGTGGAACGAAGGATCTGTATACACAATAAGATATACACAATAATACATATGAGATGAAAAAATATCTGCGAGTTTACAAATTGCAACAAAAGATATACAATGTATCATCAGGTCGGTTTTATCTGTGCAATGTAACAAACTTTTAGTAAGCATTATGTTCAATGCAATTTGTAAGCAATATTAAAAATTTCACAGAAAACAGCAAAAATATATCCTTGTAAATGTATATATCCCTGTAAAATATAATTAATACATCTTCTTTGTGTGTTCCAGATGTATCTATGGTGTCATTAAGAAATCATTCATTTTTCCTGCAGTAGAATATATTAATTTTTCGATTGATTAAAATATTAAAAAAGTAGATATGTAATGTTTAATGCTCGTATATAATAAAAAATTGTTTCAATTAATAATTTTCCACAGAATATCAATTGGACTTTTGTGTCACAGTGAACTGATGCAAGTATCACAGTGTTTACAAATTTATATATTTAACAATACAAAAATCAAATAAAATGTATTAATATGTAGCAAAGTGTGTCCATTTATCGACTATGATTGTCTAACATTTTGGTAATTGGTAAATTCAAATGTGTGATTGCTTGTGAATGAGACAACTATCACAAAATTCAAATATAAAACGATTAATGTGCAAATAAAAAGAATAATCACACTGCAAAAGCAAAATTTCATGCTACTGCCAGCAAATTAACGTAAATTACACGTAAACATTTGAAGATATATATATGCAAAAGTCATATTTCAGGAGGATCTTCCGAGCAGAGTGAGTACCCACTTGAAGAAATTCTTGAAGATGTTTCCTGGACTTAGTTTGCTCCCGCCTGGTGTAGTGGGAGTTCCAGGAGCAGATGTTACTGCATTATTTGTATTTGATACAACTGTAGATGCAGCTTCCATTGGTTGAACACTATCCAGCCACATTCATATTATATAATGTACATTGTAAAATGTAAAAATATACATGTCAATTATGTGCATGTAATAATGTATTCTGATATTGTAAATAAGTGTTTAGGATACTCTTACGCGGCTTGGAAATATGAAATTTTATATAATATCAATTATGTGGCAAAAACTATATATTTGAAATCCTTATAATTTAAAGACATATCGATCATTCCGAAATTTAAAGAATTATGGAATCTTTCATCTTGTATATAAAAAAATGGAAGTCAAATGTGAAAGTATTGAAAAAAAATCCACTATATTTACCAAACACTCTTAGCAATATTGCAGACAAATAATTAAACATAATTTTATCACAAAATATTTTACACAGTTCATAAAGTACCGCAATCCATTTATAATTTCTTGTAAAATAAATTAAGTGATATAAGATCAAGTTTTAGAGATTTATAGAAATATACATTTCTATATATATGTATACATATATCTAATAAAAATTTATTTACCTGCGAATTTGATTGACTGGAATAGGACTTGTTGTTGTGGTGGCAGTGGTAGTTGTTGTGATGGATGACAATAAACTCGAGGCCAATGTTTTAGATGCGGATGTTGGTGAAAGTGTATTGCTTCCTTGTGGCAGTCTTGACAATTCCAAATTTAATTTCACGTCTTTTTTTCTAGAGTGTCAGAATAAAATAAATAATTAAAAAGAAATAATATATAATAATAAATTATATTAAATATGTAATAATACATAATAAAATATTAATGGTAGCATACATTTTAATGACAGACATATTGTTGTATATTATCAGTAAATATATTAAAATTCACAGAAGCACATACTAAAAATAAAAATATCTTACTTATTCATGTTTTCGTGACTAAGAATAAAATAATTTTTATAAAAAAATGTCTGAAAATGTCTGAAAAAATGTCTCTTTTATAAAAAATTTTGAATGTTCTTTGATAAATATATATTTTTTAAAATTTACTTCTCAAAAAGACGTAAATATATCGAGTTTTAAATTTCTGAATTTGTCATATTTATTTTAATCATGACAGAGTTATAAGTGTAATATTAAAGAAAATTGCTCCTATTAAACTTATATATATATATATATATATATATATATATATATATATATATAAGTTTTTATAAAATTGTTCAAAAATTGTTAAGAGTTAAGATTTCCATCAAAATTATTGTTTTAAATTAAAGCATTTTAAAGTTTCAAGCTCAAAGATAGCAAGCCACATTAAAAGCCCATTCCATACATAATGTATAAAACAAATATTAAAACCACATCTTTTATAGATTTACACACATTTTCGAATAATACAAATAATATAATATGCATTGCAATGCTCTACATATTATACAAGATAATTGTATTGAACAATTTGATATGTAGAATTAATACAATTGCAGTTTGTATTGTAAAAATTAAAGCTGTATACACATCGATTAGAAGCAAGCGGCATATACCTGTGTGTTTCGCGTAGAGATGCAGAACGAGTCGTAGCATTGGTGTGAGTAGTAGCAGCTGCATTGCAGCGATGGAGCGTAGGACACGAGAACGCCTTGATGCGAGCACGTAATGCCAAATACTGCTCATAAAACCTGCATCACATGCATTACCGTGCCATGCATATTTCTACGTTAATTTTCATGGGTATAGGGACATACATTACAAAGAGACACTAAGTTTGCAATTAAGATGCCAGACACATGGAATATGCGTATAATACAATATCTTAGTTGGAACGTAGCACAGCTGTTAATAGCATTATATACAGAGTGTCCCAAAAGTCCCGGACCGGTCGAATATTTCATAAACTATGCACTTTAGAAAGAAATGTTTCAAACAAAAGTTGTATGGCTTGAAGGAGGCCATCAGATCTTGTCACGTACCGTTTCTTTGGTATAGATCATTGCTTCTTATTTGTTTGTGGATTTTCTTTTATTATGAGTGCCTGTTGCTCTTTTAGATTTTCAAGAGCTTTGAGGATGTCTGCATTAGCAATATCAAAAGCAGTTTGGGACCCTAAAAGATAGTGGCAATGATTTGACATGAGAGAGTCATTTGAAAGTCACGTGAAGATCACCGTCAATTTCTTAAATGGAACTCCCTATTTTTTACATATTCGCGTGTAGCTTATCTCGAGAGCTTTCCAAAACACTATAATTAAGTATTTCTTCATTCAGTACTTTTCGAGTTATGAGGCTTCAAATCATTTCTTAATTTTACATAAACCGTAAAATATCTTGTAAAATATTCATTTTTCGATTATCTTATCTTAATAATTTTATGTACAAAATAATGAGAGGAATTAATTGGTGTAAAGAAAAAACATAGTTGTTTTTAAGAAAAAAATATGTAATTTGCAATTAACAATTACATATTTTTTTAAAAACAACTATGTGTTTTCTTTACATCAATTGATTCCTCTCATTATTTTGTACATAAAAGTATTAAGGTAAGATAATCGAAAAATGAATATTTTACTAGATATTTTATGGTTTATGCAAAATTAAGAAATGATTTCAAGCCTCATAACTCGAAAAGTACTCAATGAAGAAATACTTAATTATAGTGTTTTGGAAAGCTCTCGAGATAAGTTACACGAATATGTAATAAAAAATAGGGAGTTCCATTTAAGAAATTAACGGTGATATTCACGTGACTTTCAAATGACTCTTCCATGTCAAATCATTGCCACTATCTGATAGCCCCCTTCAAGCCATACAACTTTTGTTTGAAACATTTCTTTCTAAAATGCATAATTTATGAAGTATTCGACCGGTCTGGGACTTTTGAGACACTCTGTATGTTGATTTTATTAATAAAAAAAAAGAAAAAAAAAAAAGAAAAGAAAACACTCAATATTTCTACAAATATAAAGCTGTAGACATGTGTAATTTTAAATAATGATAATGATAATGATAATGATAATGATAATGATAATAATAATAATAATAATAATAATAATAATAATAATAATAATAATAGTAATAATAATAATAATAATGACGCGCTAAACAAAGGACATAATTACACACTCACTTTTCGTCTGTTTCAAAACTATGTGTTCTTCTTAACACCACATCGGGCTCTCCGCTAATTTTATTTGGTACTGGTGTTATCTTAATGTTGTTATCCTTATCCTTATCTTCGAGTTCTAAAAAGTGACACCCACATAAGATTATTAGAGAAACTCAACTTAAAGGTTAAAAGAAATGTAATTAAAATATATTCAATGAACTTACTTGTAGAATTAGTAGTTTCAGTACTTTGCATTTTATTTCGAAAGGAACCTGAACGTCTCCAAGATGGTACAACACCTTCTTCATTATCCTCAGTCTGTTGTTTTGGTGGCAATATTGGAGCCTTGCAAGACATAACACGAGTAAAAAAAATTATTTAAAAGAACACAAAATTAACGATTTGCTAATAAAAACAATTAACATTTTACCTGATTAGGAACTTTATTAGTTTCGACCGGAGATATTGGACTATGGAGTGCATTTTCATCCTTGTTTACTCTATTTTTCTTTTCTGCAAAACAATTGATTAAAAATTATTACACTACTAATTTTGAAAGGAAGAAATATTTGAAGTCTCTGACTCTGTGACACAATAACTAAAATCCAATATTTCGTTTAAAATATTCTGATATAAAAATATCTGAATATACATGCAATATATAATAGTAAGCAATATAGTTTGTATTTTATATAAAGAAAAAAGAAAACGGTCTTACAGATCAAACTTACCATCATCTGTAAGACATGTCACATGGTTAGACTTATCAGATTGATTGGAGAAAGTGGAAGAGTGTGATTCTGAGCTAGTCTCAGATTCACCTTCACCATCACTCTCTTCCATGTGTGTTTCACGTGTTGCTTCTGTCCATGCAGCAAATGTTATAAGAAATACAGATTACAGTTAACAGTATATAAAGATTAGATTCGCAAAATTGGACAATAGCAGATATATAGAAATTTGTGTGAAAATAGTTTGCAAACATTATTCTCTTTTCCCTTTTCTCAGAAAAACATGGAAGTTGCAAAGTAGATAGTTATTAATGTAATCATTTCTTAAAAAAAAAAAAAAAAAAAAAAAAACGTGCGGATTAGATCGTATGTCGCAATATAATGCAAACAAGAACTTACCAACATCGCTGTTTGTACTAGTGCTGGAATCTTCTTTGTCAGATTGAATCTCCAATTCAACCTTCTTAACTTTATTTGGTGTTTCTTCTTCAAAGATCTCTGCAGATTCTTGTACCATTACTGCATTATCAGCACTCGTTGAAACGCTAATAATAAATTAATACTAATAATAAATTAAAATAAAAGATTGATGCCTTATATTACATTATTACAATTATCTTGTCACGTACCGTTTCTTTGGTATAGATGATTGCTTCTTATTATTTGTTTGTGGATTTTCTTTTATTATGAGTACCTGTTGCTCTTTTAGATTTTCAAGAGCTTTGAGGATGTCTGCATCAGCAACATCAAAAGCAGTTTGGCCCTAAAAGCAAGATATTAATAAGAAAAATATATTGTATTTAAAAAAAAAACATTTGTATCATGCATCGTAAACAGCCTAAATTAATCTTTAAGTTAGATTAGCCTAGGACTAACTAGGATCAATCTAGAATCAATATAAATATTTTCACTTAAACTAATCTATACTATACGTATTGTAAATGTTTATTCTCTTACGGCGTAATTTTTTATATCCATATCACAGCCATTCTCAACAAGAAGTTTGCAAGTTTCCAATTGACCCCAATGAGCCGCACCATGTAAAGGCGTCCATCCATCAAAGTCCTGTGCATCAACATTGCATCGAGCTTGTAGTAATATGCTGCACAGAAGTATTAAAAGAGTTCAATAAAAAAAACTAGATTTCACATAGAATTTCATATACAAATCTGTTATTATATAAAAAAGCTAAAATTTTTTAAAATAACTTTTTAAAATAATGTTTTGTTACATTACATACATTATATTTTTAATATGAAAAGTACACTTTCTTTACCTTCCTTTAGTTAATATATTACATTATATAATTTTTTAATTATATGATGATAAAGGTATAACATCTCTTACTGCATGACTTTGATGTAGCCTTTGGCAGCAGCAACGTGAAGTGCAGTAGCTCCTGATCTAGGATGTACAGAATCCTTGCCTGGTGCACCTGACCGCCAAGCTTTTGCGTCGTTCAGCATTGATTGTTCTTCTTCACTTCTAGCTTGATCACAATCGATGCCTATAAAATTAAATTTATTAATTAACAATTTATATTCAACAATTACTTTTAATCTTCTAATCTAATGTTTTAAAAGTATATTTATGATGAATTTTGGTCAACAAATTAAGCTGTATGTTATGAAAAAAAAAACGCTTTTGATATCAACACTTTGGAAAATATCTCCTATCAAATATTTCTATTTGAATAATTAATATTTGCATATGCAAAATATGAATAAATCATATATAAATAGGCATTGCCTAGAAACTATTTCAGTATTGTATATAAAATTATATCAACATTATGAAAAGAGGTCAATGAAAGAAGGAAGCTTTGCCAATATGCGATATTTGCTACGTCTGAACGCGCAAAATTTTAGCCGAATACTGACATGAATTTTAGATATGTGTTTAGTATTTCAGTTTATCAATATACATGCATGATACAGAGTTTTTGTCTAAAGTGTTAGAAATAGATAGAAAGAGGAAAGAGTTAAGTTAATTTTTTGCCACTTATATAATTAGATTACTCGCTTAAATTATCGCAATACGGATATTTCGGGACTACGATATATATATATACTATGATTTCCAGCTACGATTTTCCTCGGAGATCTATAATTAAAAGTTTTACGCAGTAGGCCTCATAGACATCTTGCAAATATACATATATAAATACAAACCTGCTTTATTTATATGCTGTTGGAGCATGTCTTCCATCTCGTCGCTTTCTGCAATATCCAACGCCAGTTCACCATCGTTGTTAACTGCTGCCAGATTACATCCTTGTTCTATTAAGTATCTGTAAAAAAAAACATACATAATTTTTCATTTATTATAATAAATATGATAAATATGATGATTGGAATCTTGAATATTTTTACAATATATAGAAAATATATATTAAATATATATATTAAATATATATTAAAATATATATTAAATATATACAGGGTGTCCCAAAAGTCCCGGACCGGTCAAATATTTCATAAACTATGCACTTTAGAAAGAAATGTTTCAGACAAAAGTTGTATGGCTTGAAGGAGGCCATCAGATAGTCGCAATGATTTGACATGGGAGAGTCATTTGAAAGTCACGTGAAGATCACCGTCAATTTCTTAAATGGAACCCCCTATTTTTTATTACATTCATATAGCTTATCTCGAGAGCTTCCCAAAACACTATAATAAAGTATTTCTTCATTGAATACTTTTCGAGTTATGAGGCTTGAAATCATTTCTTAATTTTGCATAAACCATAAAATATCTAGTAAAATATTCATTTCTCGATTATCTTACCTTAATACTTTTATGTAGAAAATAAAAAAAGAAAACACATAATTGTTTTAAAAAAAATATGTAATTGTTAATTGCAAATTACATATTTTTTTCTTAAAAACAACTATGTTTTTTCTTTACACCAATTGATTCCTCTCATTATTTTGTGCATAAAATTATTAAGATAAGATAATCGAAAAATGAATATTTTACTAGATATTTTATGGTTTATGCAAAATTAAGAAATGATTTCAAACCTTATATCTCGAAAAGTACTCAATGAAGAAATACTTTATTATAGTGTTTTGGAAAGCTCTCGAGATAAGCTACACGAATATGTAATAAAAAATAGGGAGTTCCATTTAAGAAATTAACGATGATTTTCACGTGACTTTCAAATGACTCTCCCATGTCAAATCATTGCCACTATCTGATGGCCTTCTTCAAGCCATACAACTTTTGTCTGAAACATTTCTTTCTAAAGTGCATAGTTTATGAAATATTCGACCGGTCCGGGATTTTTGGGACACTCTGTATATTAAAATATATATTAAATATATCTCCTTTTTTATAATTGTGTAAAAATTTCAACTCACTTGGCAATGGATATGAATCCACAAGATGCCGTAGCGTGTAAGGGTGTCCATCCTTCATTATCTCCACGATTGATATCCGCTCCTTGCTCCACCAAAAATTCCACCATGTCCAAGTCATCATCGATGCAGGCCTATTACACATAACAATTACAATATAATGCAAATATAAGAAGAATACGATATTATGCGCTGATTGTACATCAATATGGATAGGTACACGAGTCAGACGAGAAGGATGAAAGGCGTGCGCGATTGGCAAGATGTATTTCGAGATCCCGGCATCGGGACTGCCGATTTTGCTCGGTCTGGTCGCGATCCAAGCTTTGAATCGACGTTATGTTACAAATACACTGTTAGATTTTCCATACATTATTACCTTTTTAATGGCAAACATTACATAATTTCATAGTAATATATGATATGGAATGTTTTGCCACAAGATCTGTGATAAATTTAAACCACATAAAATTTTCTCATAAAAAGATCAAAGATCAATCCTTTCAATATAGTTGTCTGAATATATAAAATCATGGAATAATTTAGAGATAATAATATAAAGAAATATATTTATTACAAAAATACATTTAATTGCAATCTTTTTGTTATCGTTTTAATTAAGTGATCTTTTTGTCACAGATTAAATGCGAATAGCAAATATATTTTCGTGGAATTATTCGCATCAATGTACGCAAATTCCTCTAGTTTTCGATATATTTCGGAGGTAAAAAAAAAAGTAGGCACATATTACAACACATTGCTAGACACACAGGATTTAAACTGAACACAGATGCTGCAGCCTGCGACTTCTAACAGAGAGCTATAAATAGCATTTGATGCCTGATGTATTTTCACATTCTATTTTCGCAAATCCATGAAATGCCTTAACTTCCTCCTTACTTAAATAACGATCATAAATATTTCATCTTATGGAAAATATCGTTCCATCGAATAAGACTCGAGTAACTCCTGATTGCTATTACTATCACATACAAACACACACACACACACACACACATTTATGTATGTATGCATGTATATATTGAATAATATATTTTTAATACCATTTACCAATTTCATTCATTTACAATTATAATTTCAGAATAAACCTTGAAAAGAAAAGCTTGAAAACATAAAAATTATTCAATATATATACTGTTATATATATTCATCGCCATACACATTTATTATATTAAATATTTTTCAGTTGTTTTTCTGAAATCGTTACAATTGTTAATCAATCGAGTTGGAAAATAGGATATAAAAATATACTTAAAAAATATATATGTAAAACGGATTTAATGGAAATTGGACGGATTTAATGAAAATTTATAAATAATATTAAAATAATAATATAATTTTTAAAAATTTATAAATAATTTTAAAATAATAATATAATTTTTTTAAAATTATTTTATAAATAAATATATATGTAAAACGGATTTAATGGAAATTGGACGGATTTAATGAAAATTTATAAATAATATTAAAATAATAATATAATTTTTAAAAATTCATAAATAATTTTAAAATAATAATATAATTTTTTAAAAATTATTTTATAAATAATTTTAAAAAGATTATATTATTATTTTAAAATCTCCCCAAAAAATTTTCTTATTGATACAATTGCTTCTCGACTTATGATATGATTATTCTTTCTGCATTAAAAATTCTTCGATCTTCTCATTTAATGTATATCCTCATTAATTACCTAGATACTGTAATAACCGTTACGGCATGTATGTACAAGCTGTCCCGGATTGCCCAGTTGTGCCAGCTTTTAGAAACACCCAGAAATAGGCTGCTCATAAAAGCTTACTACTCGCGAAAAAAATCGTTGCCAGTGTGACAAGGAAATAGCTCTATACAGTGCGTTGTCAATCAGAGAAGTCCATTAAAATTACAAATTCTTTATTTAAAAATCAATATATAAAATTAATTTTTTTATAAAATATACTCCTGGACAAAATTAGCGCATAATTTTTTTTTACTTTTTCTTTAAAATTTAAATATCAGCTTTTAAAGAAAAAATGAAAAAAAAATTATGAGTTACTTTTATCCAGGAGTATAGTTGAGTATAAAATTAATAGACAGAGACTTCATTTATGAATTTAGATCTTTAGTTTGTTAAAATTTTTTAATTAAACTTTAATTAAATATATCCATTGTATATAGTTATTCAATAATAAAACAATTAGGATTTATTTTCTTTATGTTTTGAAGCCAAACTGGGAAATAATTCGATAATTGGCCTAATTAAAAGAATTCCGAGATAATTAAAAACTTTCAAATTATTAAATAAATGTAAAGTTATTTATAAATTATTAATAACTTAACCAAGTGTTACATACACAATTTGTACAACAGGCATTCAGAGTAATATCAAATATGTTGGGCTTGGCAATTATTTTATACTCCAACATATAAGTGAAGAATACATTAACATGAATGTATAACACATATGATAAAAATTTTCAATCATTGGAACACTTCATTGAGAAAAAACAAATTATGATTTACAATAAACAAGCATATAAATAATAAAATTATATAATAAAATTGTAACAAAAATTGTAGTAAAATTATATAATAAAATTGTAATAAAAATCATACAATAATATTAAATAATTATGAACCATAGAATTAACTTTTTAATTTAAAAATTTACTCAAGAATCTACAAGTTATTTTGTTGGATAATTTGAAAATGCAAAGACATATTTTCTAAAGAATTCACATGATATATCTCTTAATTAAGTAGACTTTTAGAAAATGAAAAGATATTTCTTCATATAAAACTTAATTAATTTTGTTTTAAATATAGTTACGCTTAAAATTTCATTATTTACTCTCATGATTTCACAGTAAACAGTTTTTTTATATTTAAAATAAAATGACTTGAATGAATTTTAACATTTTCAGGATTTAGTGTCAAAATTTTAATATATAAATTAATATATATTAAATATATAAATTAATAAATATTAATAAAATATACAGAATGTCCCAAAACTCATAATCAATCTTTCAAAGACAGATTCTTGGGATCATTTGGAGACGATTTTTCCTCAGCGAAAATGTCGATGAAGGCCATCATTTTTTTGCATGTTCCCAATTTTTGTCATCATATATCTTTGCAATTAAGCCTTAAATTAAAACTCAACTAAAGTAAACTCTATTTAAAATTAATCGAAGAATGTGGTTTTGTTAATATTTTATTTCTACAAAGCTTAATTTACGAAAAACCCCTTTTTTCCAATCACTTATAATTCGAAAATTATTAGTGCCTCAACATTTTCATTGAAGAAAAATCGTCTTCAGATGATCCCAGGAATCTGTCTTTGAAAGATTGATTATGAGTTTTGGGACACCCTGTATAAATTTATATATATAGCTTAAATGTATGAATAAACCATTTACAAGAAATTTGAATTTTTTTTAGGTAAACAACATGAATGACAATTCCTACATAATAATATTGCATTTTGAAATTAAACACAAACTCAATTAATAAATATTAAATTATACAGCTTAAGCATGAGAAAACACGGTGAAAGAGGAGCAAAATATTTTCCTTCTGATATTCCGATTGCATGGATACTTTCGAGAGAGAATCACAATAACGTGTCAAAATATCTATAACAGTAAGGTTAACGCTTTCGTTACATAAGATATTATTCCTCGAAGTAGCCTCTTCGCTAATATCCGTCAACAATAATTAATCGAAAGTGGCAATAGACATCGTTTGCCATCAACGTGATGATTTCATCTCGATCCTAAACAGAGCCACTTCTTCTTGTCAAAAATCCTTCTCGTCAACAATCTTATCGGTTTGAAACAATACTCTGATTAGACAGCTGGAGCTCGTAGCCATCTTGGAGTCCCATTCTCGCGCTCGAGAGAAAGAGAGAGAGAGAGAGAGAGAGAGAGAGAGAGAGAGAGAGAGAGAGAAGAGGACGACGATAAGAAAGGAACCCAGACAGCATACATGTCTAAAAGACGACTTAAAGACGTCTTAAAGTCCTTTAGACATCTTTAAGACATCTTTTCGTCTGGGAGGACGCGTCCGGGCGCGAACTGTCAAGCGCGACTCCCCCCCCCCTTACCTGATGCAGCGCGGTGAGGCCGTCGACGTTCCCGGTGTTGATGTCCGCCCCCTTCTGCAGCAGGCGCACGACCTCCTCCTTGTCGCTGGCGGCGCACGCCGCCAGGAACACGCAGTCGGCGGAGAACTTGATCTTGCGCGCGACCTGGCGCGGCTGCGCGGGCTCGCGGTTCGTCTCGGACTGTTCCCAGCGCTTGAGCTGCTCGGCGCGCTTGAACAGGGCCGAGCTGGAACGCGTCTCGAGAGACATCGCCCCGACGACGGCGACGACGACGACGTCGAAGAGAGCACGACGCGCTCGGCCGCACTCCTCTTCCCCCTCCTCCTCCCAAAGGCAGAGCAGCGGCGGCGGCGGCGGCGGCGCTGGACGGCTCTATAATCGCCTCTTCTCTCGTCGCGCGCGCCGCGGGCTTCGCTCCGTCCCCCCCTCCCCCCGCTCCGCCTCCTCCTCCGGCGCCTCCTCCTCTTCTTCTTCTCGCTTGGCGCACGCGCGCGATCGCGCACACATGCAAACGGACACGACACGCACACGGTCACTCGCTCATTTACTCGCACGTCCTTCCTTCCACCCTATCTCCGTCTTCCTTCGCTTCCGGCGATCTTATCTGTCTGAATCGAATCTCTTCTCGAGTGACTATGATGATGATGATGGCGATTACACCGTGTTAATATGTACGCACGCACGCACTCGCGTTTTCACTGCACGTGAAACAGGCGTTTCCCCGGAGCCTGATTCCGTATATACTAGGGAAGAGCGGGTAAGAATCGAGACGAGGGTTCGCGGGGTTTCACGGAGCCGGAGGGAGCGGTCGCGATCGGTCGTACACCTCCTCCTCTGGCTCCTCTGCCGGATCATTTAACGGAACGGGTAGACTCGCGAATCTCTCCCCGCTATTCCTGGCCGCTCCTCTTTCGCGCTCCACGCCGAACGAGCAGATCTAAGCTCCGAGAGACGAGAATCTCGAGGCTCGGCGTCGATGCCGATCGGCGCGACGTCTCGCGGAAGCGAGCGAAAGACGGTGGCGTGTTCCTTTCCTCGTCGGATCGGTGCTTCGCAATTGGTGGACGATCATTCGTTGAGAATATGAGGATACAGGGTGTCACTTAAGTGGCGCCCATTTATTTAGCGATATTCCTCGTGGAAAACTGAATCGAAAATCGTCTTGAACTATTTTTTTCTATAATGCTTAAGGCCGGGTTTACAATAGATAATTTAAGCCCCCTAAGCCTTAAGAAATTGACCAATCACAGTCGAGTATGAAGAGTATTCTCTTCATACTCGACTGTGATTGGTCAATTTCTTAAGGCTTAGATCTTAAATTGTCTATTGTAGACCCGGCCTAAAGCGGCGTCTACAATAAGATTTTAAGGAAACTTAAAGCGTAAGGGCCTATCCAGACAAAAGGCCGCAGCACACACTTTTGCATAAGCGCATAACCATAAGCATAAAAAAATTGATTGGTTCATTTTCTTATGCATATACTTGGGGACCAATCAATTTCCTTATGCTTATGGTTATGTGCTTATGCAAGAGTGCTGCGGCCTTTAGGACCTATCCAGACAAACTTGCATAGGTGCATATGCATAACATAAGATCATATCATAGACCTTACAGATATGGACTGGCAATTGCCTATAGTTTCTGTAGAGAAGCAGTGTCCGGAGGAGGTTAGAGAGAGAAACATACTTTTTAGTACTTCTCTTTCTACAAGTGTCCGAAAGTATGCATTGCACTTGTAGAAAGAGAAGTACCAAAAAGTATGTTTCTCTCTCTAACCTCCTCCGGACACAGTCTGATACGTATTGCCAGTCCATACTTATAAGGTCTATGGATCAAATGGACCAATGAGCATCGAGTATTATGTTATGTAAGTCAATATAGCGATTTAATACTCGATGCTCATTGGTCCATATGGTCTTATGTTATGCATATGCACCTATGCAAGTTTAGGCCGCAACACACACTTTTGCATAAGCGCATAACCAGAAGCATAAGGAAATTGATTGGTCCCCAAGTATATGCATAAGAAAATGAACCAATCAATTTTCTTATGCTTATGGTTATGCGCTTATGCAAAAGTGTGTGCTGCGGCCTTTACACGTCATCTACAATGGCAGTAGGATCAATGGATTAAAGCAGTAACTTAAAGAATTGACCAATCAACATTCAAGCATTAAAAGAATACTCGACTGTGATTGGTCAATTTATTGAGTTACAGCTTTAATTCATTAATCCTACTGCCATTGTAAACGATGCTTTAAGAAATTGATCAATCACAGTCATGCGGCGTCTACAATGAGATTTTAAGGAGATTTAAGGCGTAAGACTTAAGAAATTTACCAATAACAGTCAAGTATTAAGAGAATATTCGATTGTGATTCATTAATTTCTTAAGTCTTACGCCTTAAGTCTCCTTAAAATCTCAATGTAGACGACGCTTTAAAAAAAATTTCGACAGAGAAGCTAAAGGTCGGTGCTTATTGGTGCAACTTTACTCAATAATTATCGTTTTATTAAGCAGTTACACCCTGTATATATTATACAGGGTGACCCATTTTAACTTAGGCAGCCAAATAACTCGAAAACCAAGTCCGAGAGAGAAAAATGTTTCAGACAAAAGTTGTATGGTTTCAAGGGGGACATAAGATGGTACCATTGGTTTGACCTTGAAGAGTTATTTGAAGGTCACATGAAGGTCACCTTCAATTTCTTAAATGGAACCTACATTTTCTCTTTACATATTCTTGTAGCTTATCTCGAGAGCTTTCCAAAACACTATAATAAAATATTTTTCCCTCAAGTATTTATCGAGTTATGAGGCTTCAAATCATTTCTTAATTTTACATAAATCATAAAATATCTTGTAAAATATTCATTTTTCGATTATCTTATATTACTACTTTTATGTACAAAATAATGAGAGGAATCAATTGGTGTAAAGAAAACACATAGTTGTTTCTAAGAAAAAATATGTAATTTGCAATTAACAATTACATATTTTTTCTTAAAAACAACTGTATGTTTCCTTTACACCAATTGATTCCTCTCATTATTTTGTACATAAAAGTATTAAGGTAAGATAATCGAAAAATGAATATTTTACTAGATATTTTATGATTTATGTAAAATTAAGAAATGATTTCAAGCCTTATAACTCAAAAAGTACTTAACGAAAAGGTACTTAATTATAGTGTTTTGGAAAGCTCTCGAGATAAGCTACAAGAATATGTAAAGAGAAAATGTAGATTCTATTTAAGAAATTGAAGGTGACCTTCATGTGACCTTCAATTAACTCTTCAAGGTCAAACCAATGGTACCATCTTATGTCCACCTTGAAACCATACAACTTTTGTCTGAAACATTTTTCTCTCTCGGACTTGGTTTTCGAGTTATTTGGCTGCCTAAGTTAAAATGGGTCACCCTGTATATGTATTATATATATTATATATAGGGTGTTCCAGACTTGACGAATCAACCGTTAATAGTAAATTCCTGAGATCATTTGGAAGCGAAAATCTTAATACCAAAATGTTGATGAAGATGTAGTTTCAGCGCTATAAAAGACTAAAGAACCAATCGACGCTTTACGTTCTCCTGTGCTCAGGGACATAGCGCATCAAGGGGATTGCGTACAATAAGATAATGGGTCTGTTCTTTTCAGCTGCACTGCTGCACTAGTGCAATTAGTTAGAGTGAAAGAAAGTATGTTTATCTCTTTCTAACTTATTGCACTAGTGCAGCAGTACAGCTGAAAAGAACAGACCCAATATCGATATCGATAGAGGGATCAATATAAAATAAAAAAATAGAATTCTACAGTGAGCGCGATTATGTTTTCGATGCGACAGTAATCAGTTTGAATATTTTTATAAAGTCTCCCTCAACTTATTAGAATTTTCGTCTCCAAATAATCTCAGGAATCTACCATTAACAGCTGATTGGTTAAGTCTGGGACACTCATATACAGGGTGTCTCATTTTAAATTGATATTTCTCGAAAACCGCCCTCCTATTAATAAATGTTTCGAGCAAAGATTTTATGATTTTGAAGGAATAGGATAAGATAATGCCACTGAATAAATATCAATGATTATTTTAAAGTTATTTCATTTTTTAAAAATAAAATCCTAATTTGTCTACATAAATCACTCCTCATAATCTACGTAAAAATTATAGGATAACCAAAAATTATTTAGGACACTATAAATAGGACACTATGGCCGGAATTCATAGTCCGATCTTATATTTAAGATTGTCTTAGGCCGGTATTCATAGTCCGATCTTATATTTGAGATCGTCTTAAGTTCGAGCTTAAAATACTACGCAGCTATTTGATTGGTTGAATGAGGTCTTAAGTCAACCTCCAAGCAGACTTAAGACGATCTTAAATATAAGATCGGACTATGAATACCGGCCTTAAGCTCTTATTCCACCAATCAATGGCTGCATTGTAGCTATTTAATTGGTTGAATGAGTTCTTAAGATGATCTTCAATATAAGACCGGACTATGAATACCGGCCTATGACCGGTATTCATAGGCCAGTATTCATAGTCCGATCTTATATTTAAGTCTTAAGTCCGCTTGGAGGTTGACTTAAGACCTCATTCAACCAATCAAATAGCTGCGTAGCATTTCAAGCTCGAACTTAAAGGTGGAATTTCATTGACGCTAAAAAGTAGCGTCAACCATTGGTTGAACAAAGAAGTAAGTAGTTGCTTCTTTGTTCAACCAATTGTTGACGCTACTTTTTAGCGTCAATGAAATTGCACCTTAAGACGATCTCAAATATAAGATCGGACTATGAATACCGGCCATAGTCCGGTCTTACATTTAAGATCATCTTAAGAACTCATTCCACCAATCAATAGCTGCATTGTAGTTATTTGATTGGTGGAATGAGTTCTTAAAGGCCCGTCTACAATGGCAGTATCAGTAGGTCGTAGCAGTTGTAAACGAAATGAACTAAATCCATTTCCTACGGCTACGATGTATGTTCTACGGCGAACGCGCAATCAGAATTAAAAACGCAGAATTCTTCCGTGACTGCGTATGCGCAACCGCCGTAGAACTCACGAAATCCGTAGGAAATGGATATGGTTCATTTTGCTTACAACTGCTACGACCTACTGATACTGCCATTGTAGACGGGCCTTAAGATGATCTTAAATATAAGACCGGACTATGAATACCGGCCTATATATATATCTATATAATTTGCTGTTGGCAATGAAAGAAGGTGACACTAGAATCCCACTAGACGATAGAAAGTATGGAGCCAAGTGGCACTCTCGTCCCTAGTAGAGAACCTCTAGGAGAGAGAATGGACAACTGATCAAGCTTTTTCATGATTGGCTGGCAGAAAATGTATCAATTTTAGCTATTGCGACGCCAATGCAAAATATGATGACACACAAATAGGACACACATGACACACATATATTAACCTATTTGTGTGTATCATATTTTGCATTGGCGTCGCAATAGCTAAAATTGATACATTTTCTGCCAGCCAATCATGAAAAAGCTTGATCACATGTCACATGATCAGTTGTCCATTCTCTCTCCTAGAGGTTCTCTAGTCCCTAGAAAACAAATTCTTTTATTGGATATTAAAGCTCATCTGCGATGAACTCATATGAATCGTCCATTACGCCGCGTCTTTTTTTCTCATTAAAGGATCGTCTCGAACGACATGTGTAATTTATGGCGCGCGGTGCACTTCCTATTTTTTTCCCCTTCGTGCTTTTTCACCACCATGAAATCATTTTCATTTTCACGCGAATCATCATCGATTGAGGGTTAATGGTAGCAATTCCCGTTGTCGAGCCTCAGCCAAGGGATAAGTCGTCGACGTAACTCGATTTTCGCGTCCGATCGAACGAGATGGATACCGAGCATATTCTGAAGAATGACATCGGACGATGTTTGAAATTAATATTATCGGGAAACGACGTGGCCATCAACGACGGCTGGCTGAAGCTGAAGAACCTGCGGGACAATCGGGAGTTCGGTCAACTGATCGACTGCGAGGATACGCTCAGGGATACCCTCAGGGGTCACGTACGCAACGTGTCGGAGGTGCCCAAGATCCTGACGTGGATGTCGTCATACGTAATCGAGAAACGTTTCAACGTCAATCCGATCTCCAACGACGTTGCCCTGCTCCTGCGAAATACGGACATCGGTGACATGTCGCGACTGACCGAGCTCCTCAACACATTGGCGGATAACCGAGTGTACCTGCCAAGATCAGCGAATCACGCCAAGCTCTGCGAAGCTATAGTCATGAGTCTGTCTTCCTTCCAAATGCCCTTGGAGGCGAAAAAAATTTTAGATTTCTATGACAACACTAGCAAGATTCAGCACTTTCTCAAAATACTATGCTCCAACACAAAGAACGGGGAGCGTGACATCCTAATATTTACCTGTCTCCAAACCCTATACAATATCATCTCGGACACAGACAGAAAGCAGGAGCCAGGTCCAGGTCTTGCCGCTATATTGCAGTTGGTGGAGTCCTCCGTTATTCCGCAGGCAGTAGATTGGATTCTGTCCCAATCGCATTCCGATCAGCAGTTGGTCCAGGCCCTAAAAGTTTTGTGCAATTGGCTCCCGCAATGGCGTGAGGATCGCCTCAGTGTTTGGATAATGGAATTTATACACGGTTTGGAAAAACAGCACAAATATTCCACTCTTCTGGAGCTCACAGAATCTTCGGTAGATATAGTAATGTTAATGTGCAAGGTGTTGCTGATACCGATAATACGCCAGAATGCTTCCAATATTATATTTTACATTTTAAAAAGGCAAAGCTCATTATTGGTTATTCAAAATATAGTTAGAAGAATACCAGCATTGATAAAGGATTTGATGAAGGAGGAATCGGATTCCAGTAAGGAATGTATACAAAATTTAGTTGATATTATGAAAGTATATAGCAAAAGATTTTCGACATGTATATCAACATGTGGAAGTACCGAGAATTATTCTTACCCTGTATTACCGCGGTTGCAAGTTGTAACAGAGCTTTACAGGGAACCGGTGTGGATAGACGAAACAAAGGAGTTTGAACCAATTGTGGAATCGGAAAGACCATTATCTGGAAAAGTTGGACTTTCCAATCTTGGGAACACTTGCTACATGAACAGTGTGCTGCAAGCCTTATTAATGACCAGACAATTTTGCCAGGAAGTACTGAATTATCATCCTTTGAATGAGGCAGGAAAAACGCCTTTGCTGGAGAAACTGCAAAATTTGTTTGCATTATTGTTATATTCTAAGAGAATATGCTTGGCACCTACTGAAGTGTTACGAGCTTCGCGACCTACATATTTTTTGCCTGGACAGCAACAAGACAGTTCAGAATTCCTCTGGTTAATATATTATCTTTCTGCTTTTATTTTTTTCTATTCGTTAATATAATATGTGGTTAGAGCAAAATTTTATTTGCTATCTCTGTATGCGCAACAGCGAATAAAAATTTACAAGTTATCACTAAATATAATTTTTAAATATGAAATAATAATTTTTAAATATGAAATTTTTAAATATGAAATATAATAATATAATATAATTATATAATATAATTTAAACATAATTTTTAAATATGAAATATAATAGTATAATATAATAATATAATATAATTTTTAAATATAATAATTTTTAAATATAATATAATTTTTAAATATGAAATAATTTTTAAATATGAAATTTTTAAATATGAAATATAATATAATATAATTATATAATATAATTTAAATATAATTTTTAAATACGAAATATAATATAATATAATAATATAATATAATTTTTAAATATGAAATAATTTTTAAATAAATTTTTAATTATGAAATTTTTAAATATGTTAAATATATTAATAAATTTTTTTTTCCTTTTGCAGTCATCTGTTGGATGTTTTGCATGAACAAGAAAAATCTGCCAATATAAACTGTGGAGGAAGTGACACAGCAACTCTTAAATGTAAAATTGAGAAACAAGAAGACAATGTAATATTGCCGACAGAATCAACGAAAAGTATCATTAAGCGTTGGACAACCGAAGAAGATCTAACGGAAGGTTTGGCATTGCAACGGAAAACACAATCATTAGCGGACTTTACGCGAGGTGATAATTTTATTTTTATATACAAATCAAATAGATTACGTTTTATACACATAAATTCTTCCAATTTTTCTGTTTATATTGCTACATTTTATATTTTTTAATATATATTTAATATATATTTAATATATATTTAATATATATTTAATATATATTTAATTATATTTTTTAATATATATTTAATACTTTTTTATATTTCTTTTATATTTTTTTATATAATTTAAATATCTGTTTATACAGGGTGTTTCAGACCATCTGTACCACCCATTTAAAAACTTGAGAAGTGGTTATTTCAAAAAAGTAAAAACATTTTCTTTATAAATCGGGTGCGCTCTATCGAATCGTGATATTTTCAACTTCTAGTTCCGGCCGGAAATAGGCGATTCAGACCGGAAGTGCATTTTTTTAAATGGAACCCTCTATTTTTCATTACATATTCTTGTAGCTTATCTCGAGAGCTTTCCAAAACACTATAATAAAATATTTTTTCATTGAGTACTTTTCGAATTATGAGGCTTGATATCATTTCTTAATTTTACATAAAACCATAAAATAGCGGTCGAATATTTCATAAACTATGCACTTTAGAAAGAAATGTTTCAGACAAAAGTTGGCTTGAAGGAGGCCATCAGACAGTAGCAATGATTTGACATGGGAGAGTCATTTGAAAATCACGTGAAGATCACCGTCAATTTCTTAAATGGAACTCCCTATTTTTTATTACATATTCGTGTAGCTTATCTCGAGAGCTTTCCAAAACACTATAATAAAGTATTTCTTCATTGAGTACTTTTCGAGTTATGAGGCTTGAAATCATTTCTTAATTTTGCATAAACCATAAAATATCTAGTAAAATATTCATTTTTCGATTGTCTTATCTTAATAATTTTATGTACAAAATAATGAGAGGAATCAATTGGTGTAAAGAAAACACATAGTTGTTTTAAAAAAAAATATGTAATTGTTAATTGCAAATTACATATTTTTTTCTTAAAAGCAACTATGTTTTTAAGAAAATAATTGATTTACACCAATTGATTCCTCTCATTATTTTGTACATAAAAGTGTTAAGATAAGATAATTGAAAAATAGTAAGATAATTGAAAAAAAAGTATTAAGGTAAGATAAGAAAAATGAATATTTTATAGTTTATGCAAAATTAAGAAATGATTTCAAGCCTCATAACTCGAAAAGTACTCAATGAAGAAATACTTAATTATAGTGTTTTGGAAAGCTCTCGAGGTAAGCTACAAGAATATACAATGAGAAATAGGGGGTTCCATTTAAAAAAATGCACTTCCTGAATCGCCTATTTCCGGTCGGAACCAGAAGTTGAAAATATCATCATTCGATAGAGCGCACGCGATTTATAAAGAAAATGTTTTTACTTTTTTGAAATAACCACTTTTCTCATTTTTAAATGGTTGGCCTGAAACACCCTGTATTTTATGTTTATAGTGCTATTTTTATTTGACTTGAATATTTTGAATATTTTTGTAACAGGTGAAGAGCTAGGACAGCGGCTCAGCGATTCTCATTCAGATTCGACAGACAGCGGTATACAATCCGTAGGTGGTGAAGAGACAGGCGCTTATACATCGCTTGTACACAGAGTATTGGGTGGGGAGTGTCAGATCACATACCAATGCGCACAATGTGACACTAGTTCTCGCAACACGGACAAATTTCGCGATCTGCAATTGTGCTTTCCCGAAGAAATACAAGAGAATCAGGAAGTTTCTGTTCAGGACCTCATCAACTATTATCTCACGCCGGAAAAGTTAACGGGAGAGAACAAGTATCGATGCGACAAATGTACGAAATTGTGCGACGCACAGAGAATCATTACAATTCTGCAGGCACCCGCGCACTTAGTTCTTACGTTAAAACATTTCCGATATGATTTTGACACGCGATTGAGGACGAAACTTCGGCATAAAGTGACATACAACGATACTATACGGCTACCGGTATCGGCAATACCGTGTACCGCAGCCGAGACGTATCATTTGTACGCCGCTGTCGTACATTCTGGTTATAGCATGGATTACGGGCACTATTTCACATACGCCTGTGATTCCAAGCAAAATTGGTACAAATTTAACGATAGTTTTGTATCCCAGACCACGTTCGAGGACTTCAAAAGCTTGAAACCACCCGACACACCTTATATATTGTTTTATGAAAAATCAGGAATCCACGACGGGATCTACGAAGATGACAAACCCGAATTATCAACTCTGAGCAAAGGTATACAGGAACTGATAGCGAATGATACTACGGATTACATAGAGGAGCTGAGACGGCGAGCGACAGCGTCACAACGTAGCCAACTTCCAACAAGATCCTTGAGGCAACATAATAATTCCGATGATGATAATCCGCCACCTAGTAGCTGTCGCGGTGCAATCGACGTCCCGGCGAACCGTTTTCTTTATTAAACGAGATAATATATTATATGAGAAAATGGCGAAGGTCTTGCCAATCGCATCAACAGCTCTGTTCTAACAATAAGTATTTTATATATGTGTAGATAAAAGAATTACAATCATCACAAAGTAATCTTAGCATATTATGGTTCTACACCATATCGTATCGCTATGGAAAACTTTTATAAGAATTGATATTAGTTCGCATTTTACATCTACAAAGTGAAATATACATCACTGTACATGTTCATCACACTAGTGTAACTCAATGATAGCTGTACAAAAAAAGTTATAGCAGCTGTACGCGATAGAATACAAGGTGCAATTATCATCCAGAGGTTGAATCTGTGCAAATGAATTTGTATGTAGATAAAATATAAATCGATACACATGAGAATAATATTTATACGAACACAGGCAGATACATTTATGTATACATGAAAGATAAGTAAGCATCCCAAACAGCACACATGTCCAAACGACATCTAAAAAATGACTTAAAGATGTCTTAAAGTCCTTTAGACATTTTTAAGACATCTTTTGGCCTTTTTGTGCTGTCTGGAATTAAGGCTATTACAAATTAATGTTTCTATTTTCCAATCGCTAATAATGTATATAAAAAAAGATGTGTTCATTTATATTTTTAAACTGTATTTTTAAATTTATGTGTTGTCTAATAATTTTTAAATTTATTTGTTATGCAGTGATTTTTAAATTTGTTACTAAAGAAAATATCCCATATATTCTCCAACACATCTTAAACTTTCTTCTTGTTCTCCATATTGTTTTTTTCATAAACTTATCTTTATGTTAAGTGTGCGCGCGCGCGTATATTTGTATATATGTGTGTGTGTGCATTATTAAATTATAGTCTCCTGAATGCAATTACCCTCGGCAAATATTGACGTTTTCGATACAATTAAAATTTTATTACATATACTGAATATCACTGTATTAATTCTTGTATCACATATGCTCAGTGCAACATTATATATATCACTTTTTAGTAGTAAATTTTGAAGATATATTTATATTTGTTTTGCTAATACAATTAATTTTTTGTTACATTTTATAGAATGTTATTTTCAAATAGCAGTTGTGTTCTATTGAAAAAACTTATATGATGGAAAAATAAGACAAGCTGCTTTTCTTTTTCTTCTCTTTTTTTCCAAGGCAACTTTTCATTTGAATTCTTTTTTCAGATTAGGAATATTAATCAAAAATGTTATTAAGGGTGAGCAAATAAAAAACAAGTGCCTCACTCTATATATACAGAATGTTACAAAATTCTATTGAAAATAATAGTTTTTTTTTCGATGCGTATATTTTTTTTTAAATAAATATAGTATCTTTGACACAATTTATATCGAGATAGAATTTTGTAACACACTCTGCATATGAGTTATAAAAGTGAATTCCTGTCGATAGATATAAGTGATTAAATAGTTACTATAGAATATTGTTGATGTTAATAAATTTCATCATCGTGACATCATCGTTAACTAAAAAAATGGATAATTATTGCAAATTTTATAATACTATGTCATGTGAATTTTACCATTTAGAACTTTAATATTTATTAAAGGGTATCTAAGGAGTCTGAAAAGTGCTTATGTAAGGTTACCAGGACTTGTTAAAAAAAATATTAAGAGAAAATGAGAAATACGACTTAATCGGCTGTGGTTTTTTGTACATTTGCTGTTTTATTACAAACGCAGAATGAGAGAAAGAGAAAAAAACAGTATTTAATAAATACAAGACTATCCGATATAACACTGTTATAATTGTTATATTTTGTTTGTGCTTATGAGCTTACTGAATGCACTTAGCTGTAAAAATGTAATTTAAAGTAAAATTATAATATAACCGAGTATATGCGTATATAACCATGTGCGTCTTTTTATAATATAATAATAATGCAATGTTTGTTTAAATATGCCACACATTGTGCTTTTATTTATTGACGCAGTATTCACTTTCAAAGTTATATTTTTTTTCAATTAATAAAGAGTATATTTTTTTGTAATGTAACAATTGTATTTATACTAGTGTTTATAAAGTTTAGCGCTCAAAATTAAAAAACTAAGAGAACAAATTTATTGTCATTATGTATTGAATATTTTGAATATTTTATTTTAATTATGGAGAGAGAAATATTATACATATAAATATATATTTCAAAAACATCATAAATCTGTGACAATTTTATATTATCAAATTGATAAAATATTAATTTGTTTTATCTTTGTATTCACATTAAAATGAAAATTTTGCGAAATGTTTAATTTCATTTATAATCTTATAACTTATATCTTATAACTTATAATATTATATAGCTTTTATTAATATTGTAATATTAATAATGAAGATAATGTTAAATGTAATATTGGGATAGTAAAATTATACATTTTAAATGATCTCCATTTATCGTCAACATCAATTAGAATTAAATGTACAATATTTATTACCATTTTTGTGTAAAGTATCACTCATATTGAGAGATTAATATAATTCTTTGTATCTCGATTATAATAAATTTACTATCATTAAACATTACAAAAAAATTTATATTGTGTTGGCATTCTACTGTTGTTAATTTGTTTTATGAGCCTTATAGTGGTAATTTTTTTGCAATATACAAAAATAGGATGCATCATAATTTGAATTTTTTCTTGATAATACAAGAAAAAAAAGTTTCAATTAAAAAAATTTCAAACTAATAATAAGATTTCGTTTTTATTCTGCAATATAACATATCATGAATTATATATTTATATAATAAAAATATAATAAAAAAGATACATTTACATATTTAATGTTTGCAATAATATAATCATTCACAAGATAAAATATTTAGTCTCACATATTATGACTCATATTCTGAATTTTCTTTTATTGATAAGTGTTTTAAAAAGTGCTTTTAAAAGTGGCTTGTAGTCAATTAGAAAGCTTATAAGCCTCTTTTAGAAGTACCTAAGATTGTAAAAAAGGTCTTAAATCTGTATTCCGTTAGATAACACGAAACTTATATAAAAATTGTTGAATGCTTCAGATGAAACTGATATGACGTTATTATCTAAATCGTTTAAACAATCTTTGTCTAGAATTTCAATAGTTATTTGTCCAAAGCTCATCTTACAGCTCTCTGATATCAGTAATTCTGTAAGAGAAAAATTAAGAAATCTTTTAAAGTCATGTAGGTATTTTTCTTCATATCTTGATGAAAGCACCGATATTCGACACTTGAGTCAATTGAGTATTTTTACTCGAATCGTGCAAGACGATTTCTCATGTGTCGAGGAGCTTTTAGATTTTGTCTCATTACATGATACAACAACGGGTCTTGATATTTTTTTGGCAGTTGAAGACTTGCTGAAAAAATTTGATGTAGATTTTAATAAATGTTCTTCGATTATGACGGATGGCGCGAAAGCTACACTGTAAAAAATTTTTGTGTAAATTTACAACTATTATAGTGGGTAATATTGAGACCAACTATTAAAGGTGTATATTTACATACATTAGTAAATTTACATTTCATAGATGAAATTATTATCTTAATTGGTAAGTAAGCATCTTGTACTACACAGTAAAAAATTTTGTGTTAAATTTAACATATTTCACATGTCCCAATTTATTCACTCTAATTTTAATGTTAATTTAATAGAAGGCAAGTATGTAAATAAATAACACAAGTAATATGTTTAAAAATTAACACAAAAGTGTAACATTTAAACTTTACCTGGAAATAAAGTTTATGTTAAATGAACATATTTATAATGTTAAATTTAATTAAAAGAAAATGTTATTCTTACATTTTTATAATAAATAACAGAAGAGATATATTGATTTAACATATGGAAACTGTTATAGATAGAAAAATAACACAACTTATCTGTTCATTTTAACATATAACATATTTCATCAAAAATTCGTGCATTTACATATTAATTGTGTTGTTTTAACTCTTAGAAACGGTGAATATTAACGCAAAAATGTCAAAATAACGCAACGATAATATGTTACATTAACATAAGAGTATGTTAAAAATTTAACACAAAAATTTTTACACGAGAAAATTTTAACAGAAATACAAAATATTTTTTACCATACTTCGAGAATCCTCTTACAGCATCAATCGAAAAACAGCATCTTGATTTACAAGATGAATTATGTAATTTACAAAGTGATATTTCTCTGAAAACGGTTAAAAAAATTGGTGTTGAATTTAATAAAATCATCCTATCCCAAGCTTCGCGATTTCGGACTCCGAATTTATTCTACAAGGTAAAAAACATTTTGTATTTCTGTTAACATTTTCTCGTGTAAAAATTTTTATGTTAAATTTTTAACATACTCTTATATTAATGTAACATATTATCATTGTGTTATTTTGACATTTCTGCGTTGAATTAATATTCACGATTTCTAAGAGTTAACACAACACAATTAATATTTAAATGCACGAATTTTTTATGAATTATGTTATATATTAAAATGAACAGATAAGTTGTGTTATTTTTCTCTCTATAATAGTTTCCATGTGTTAAATCGACATATCTCTTCTGTTATTTATCATAAAAATGTAAGAATAACATTTTCTTTTAATTAAATTTAACATTATAAATATGTTCATTTAACATAAACTTTATTTCCAGGTAAAGTTTAAGTATTACACTTTCGTGTTAATTTTTAAACATATTACTTGTGTTATTTATTTACATACTTGCCTTCTGTTTAATTAACATTAACATTAGAGTGAATAAATTGGGACATGTGAAATATGTTAAAATTAACACAATATTTTTTTACTGTGCATGGGTGACGTGGAAAGCTATTATCATTCGCTCATTCCTGCAGCCTACGAGCACCGAGCGGCTCGTAGACTTTGCGCGAGGTAAAGGGAGACGCTCTAGGCGGAGTCAGGTGAAAATCGGCCGAAATGTGCAGATCTTGCCGAGCTCTGTCTTGTTAGATCATTTAATATTCGCATGCGGAGGCGATTGTATTGTAAAGATGAAGAAGCTATATCTTGCTGCCATAGCGGGTACGTAATGTACATGCGTTCATTGAGATAAACATGAAAATAAAAATATTTCGGTACATTTACATATTCATACATTATTACTTTATAATTACATATATAAATGTTTACAATAATTATAAATGTTTACAATAATTTAAATCCCTTTTTTATTAAATTTTTTTAAATAACTATGCTTGAAGCTGAATATGTATTATACATATGTAACTGTCATTGTCACGTGAACGTCAAATTAAATATTTTTATATAAATTTTAATGTCAATAATATTCGGTGATTCTGCAACAATTAGTTTCTATTGCTTTGTTTGAAATCCATATAAGATTTGATGCTATGTTAATATAACTATATCACACGTATATTTAATTTAATTTATATTTTTTCAATCTTTTTAATAAATATTTATTCTTTATAATTTTATAACTTATATTTAATTATTATACATTTTGTTTTATGCATTTTGTTGTTATCCTAATAATTATTTGTTAAGTTATTATTATTACATGTTTGCATTATATTTTCCATAACGGAATATATAAATTCTTTTACATATATTTATTTAGAATATCTATCTGCAATTTCTATTACATTATTTTTTAAAATTATGTTTATCTATTCGAAATGTTATTTTATCTGGAAGGAAATCTGGGCATGCTGTCAGTTGGCCAATTTTTTGGTTGGTCGTCGCCATCTTTGCCTGTATTGATGCAAGGGAAGGATGAAAAATATTCTATGCATCTGACTCCGGAAGAAGCCTCTTGGGTGGCATCTTTACTTACATTCGGTTCAGCTGCAGGTACCATTATTTGTGCAGTCATTGTGAATAACTTCGGTAGAAAAAATACTATGTTATTTACTGCTCTGCCTTCGATAATCAGCTGGTTGATGATAGCTTTTGCAACATCTTCGAAAGTAAGTATCCTAGAAAAAAATATCAGTATTTACACCTTGAGATTCAAAATTATTAATTAATGAAATTTTGATTATAGTTTCAGTCTTTATTGTTTTAAGTTCGAGAAATGCACATCTTTGTGACGCTTATCAATGTAATGTTAATACTTATCCTTGTTTTCCTTGAAATTGTTTGAATATAACACACAATATACACATCGATTCTAGATTAAATTTCAAATTCTATTCCATTTTACTTTATACAAACAAATTTCTAGTCTATATAGATCTTATAAGTAAGAGTAATAAGATTTATCTATAAAACCTTCTTTCCTCCTCAGCATACAAAATTTTATTAAATGAACTTAATTACTTTAAATAAATTACTTTAAATAAACTTAATTACTTTAAATAAACTTAATAAATTTATTAATTACTTTAAATAAACTTAATTACTTTAAATTTTATTAAATGAACTTAATTAAATGATTTCTATTCCATGAACACATTGAAATTAAAGTGTTTACAAATTGTTACCTAAAAAATATTATATCATTAAATTGTCATAGAATAATTATTTGTTGACATCTAAAACAAAAATGAAAGATTTATTTTGTACCTATTATTTTGTACCATTATGCATATATTATATCCGAAATTTAATATTCAATAATTGCAAATACAAAGAGAGCTAAACATATTTTAAACAGTATATAATTATATATTTTTCAGAAATTTTTGAATATATTTCTTCAAATTTATTTGTTACTTATATAACGCTTTAGCATATTTAAATTTAAATGTTAAATTTCCATTTATCGTGACACATGATGCGTATAATTAATGAAATCCTAAGTATCTTAGTGCCTCATTAAAAACTTAATTAAGGCTATGATAACATCCATAATATGTTATCAGCAGTTTAATGATTGTGTAAACTCTTGATTATCTGAGAGATTGATTATCTGAAAATGACGAAAAGACACAAGAACATTGCTAATTCCGCATATCTCATATATATATAGGGTGTCCCATTTTAATCCATCCAATCGAATATCTCGAAAACCAAGCTTGAAAGAGAAAAATGTTTCAGACAAAAGTTGTATGGTTTCAAGGGGGCCATAAGATGGTATCATTGGTTTGACCTTGAAGAGTCATTTGAAGATCACACAAAGGTCACTTCAATTTTTTTAAATGGAACACCCTATATATTTTTATATATTCTTGTAGCTCATCTCGAGATCTTTCCAAAACACTATAATAAAGTATTTCTTCATTGAATACTTTTCGAGTTATGAGGCTTGAAATAATTTCTTAATTTTACATAAACCATAAAATATCTAGTAAAATATTCATTTTTCGATTATCTTACCTTAATACTTTTATGTACAAAATAATGAGAGGAATCAATTGATGTAAAGAAAACATACAGTTGTTTTTAAGAAAAAATATGGAATTTGCAATTAACAATTCCATATTTTTTGTTAAAAACAACTGTATGTTTTCTTTACACCAATTGATACCTCTCATTATTTTGTATATAAAAGTATTAAGGTAAGATAATCGAAAAATGAATATTTTACTAGATATTTTATGGTTTATGTAAAATTAAGAAATTATTTCAAGTCTCATAACTTGAAAAGTGCTCGATGAAGAAATACTTTATTATAGTACTTTGGAAAGCTCTCGAGATGAGCTACAAGAATATGCTAAAATATATAGGGTGTTCCATTTAAAAAAATTGAAGTGACCTTTGTGTGATCTTGAAATGACTTTTCAAGGTCAAACCAATGATACCATCTTATGGCCCCCTTGAAACCATACAACTTTTGTCTGAAACATTTTTCTCTCTCGGACTTGGTTTTCGGGATATTCGACTGGATGGATTAAAATGGGACACCCTGTATATATATATATATATATATATATATATATATATATATACATACATACATATGTGTGTGTGTATATACAGAGTGTCCCAAAAGTCCCGGACCGGTCGAATATTTCATAAACTATGCACTTTAGAAAGAAATGTTTCAGACAAAAGTTTCAACAAAAGTTGTATGGCTTAAAGGGGGCCATTAGATAGTGGCAATGATTTGAGAGTCATTTGAAGATGACGTAAAGGTCACCTTCAATTTCTTAAATGGAACTCCCTATTTTTAATTACATATTCGTGTAGTTTATCTCGAGAGCTTTCCAAAACACTATAATAAAGTATTTCTTCTTTGAGTACTTTTCGAGTTATGAGGCTGGAAATCATTTCTTAATTTTGCATAAACCATAAAATATCTAGAAAAATATTCATTTTTCGATTATCTTATCTTAATAATTTTATATACAAAATAATGAGAGGAATCAATTGGTGTAAAGAAAACACATAGTTGTTTAAAAAAAAATATGTAATTGTTAATTGCAAATTACATATTTTTTTCTTAAAAACAACTATGTTTTTTCTTTACACCAATTGATTCCTTTCATTATTTTATACATAAAATTATTAAGGTAAGATAATCGAAAAATGAATGTTTCACAAGATATTTTACGGTTTATGTAAAATTAAGAAATGATTTCAAGCCTCATAACTCGAAAAGTACTCAATGAAGAAATACTTTATTACAGTGTTTTGGAAAGCTCTCGAGATAAGCTACACGAATATGTAATAAAAAATAGAGAGTTTCATTTAAGAAATTGACGGTGATCTTCATGTGACTTTCAAATAACTTTCCATGTCAAATCATTGCCACTATCTGATGGCCTTCTTCAAGTCATACAACTTTTGTCTGAAACATTTCTTTCTAAAGTGCATAGTTTATGAAATATTCGACCGGTCCGGGACTTTTGGGACACCGTGTATATATATAATATTGTAGATATTTTATTTAAATATTTGTAAATTGATTATTTAACTACTTTATCTCGCTACGTATAAACAATTTGGAGCGATCAAGCTCTTTAATTTATTTTTTTCTTTGTTTTACAGGAACTATACATATCAAGATTTATATCTGGTTTGGCTACAGGCATCGCTTATACAGCCACGCCGATGTATTTGGGTGAAATTTCACCACCACACATCCGCGGTAATTTAACATCCATGTTAACAGTCGCTACGAAAATCGGCATTTTACTAGAGTTTGTGATAGGTTCATATTTGTCGATACAAAATCTCACCTTCGTGTCTTTGGTTGCACCGTGTCTATTTATGCTTGTTTTCATCTGGCTACCGGAATCTCCATACTATTTGATGCATCGTAAAGCCAAACAGAAAGCCATAAATTCTCTCGTTCAATTGAGAGGCAAAGAGGACGTTTACAAAGAGGCATGTAATATCGAGCGGTTTGTGAAAACCAATTTAGATGATCAAACAGTTTTTCGAGAACTTTTATGCGTGCCAGGAAATCGCAAGTGAGATGTTAAATTTTCATTTATCATCACACATGATCATTAATGAATCGATAAAAAATGTTTGAAAATATCTTTTCTGTTACAATGAATCTTGCACATAATGTGTAATTTTGTACAAATCTATTCTTTTCTCTATGTATTAGGTGTATGCACAAGTTTTAGTCTTTTGTTTTATTTGTTCATCATAAAATACAGTGCCTATGAATCAATCTGGGAAATATTTTCCCTCATTTTCTATAACTTCCTACCACCTTCCGGGCAATTTTCCGATTCCTTCGCGAAAGAAAGATATCGATTCGGAAGCAATGAATTTTTGAAGTTGTTCTGCAAATTCTTCTTGTGTTTGACATTCAACAACGTTTCCCAATTATTAGCTTCAAGCTTTCGTGGCGTTCCAGAACACGGACGATTAGGGTTGCACGAGACACCAAGATTAGTCTTGATATTGTCTTGTCTTATCTTGAATTCAAGACAAGATCAAGACAAGATTTTTAATTAGTTATCAAGACAATACCAAGACTAAGACTGTCAAGATTATTAGTCTTGTCATGATTATTGGTTCTCAAAAAAACTAAAATATTTATATTTGTAAATGAAAAAAAATCACTATATACGAATTTAAAAAAATTTTATTCAATAAAAACATTTATATTATTAAATTTAAAAACATTTAATATTAATACAATATAACATTTTTATAAATTAGAAATCAAACTCGCAAATTTTAGATATTAAAGAATATTTCACCCAGGAATTGATGCACATTAGTGCTTTTAAAGATTTACTTTGTAATCTAGTTCTATTTTTTGACATAGTCAGAGTTCCTATTGAGAACAGTCTTTCTACTGGCACGGACGAGGCAGTTGAACTTAAAATGTCTCGAGCCATTTTTGACAATGTGGAATAAATATGAACCTGATTTTTTTATCACTCCAAAATATTTATATCTGCACGTTCCCTTGGAGCCTGTAAATAGTTATTAATTTCTGTTTTCCATGAAATAGTAAATGTTTTTTTATGTAAATAGACAGCATTTATATCGATTACATAGTAATAATTATAATTAAAATATAATAAAATAGTAATAATTATTTCAAATTATATCACAAAAATTATGTTAAATATTATTTAAATAATTTTTTAATATTAGATAAAAAATTGTTAATAAAATCGAGACAAGCCAATACAAGACGAGATTTTCGCTACCAATATTCACTCAAGACCAAGACAAGATTTAAATTTTTGAAAATTTTCAATACCAATACAATATTTTTACGAATATTGTCTTGTCTTGGGTCTTGTGCAATTCTACGGACGATCACGCGGAAAATCATCGTCTTTAAAGCGATGAAACTAATATTTGCACGTATTGTGGGACATAATGTTTTCTCCAAGAATAGAGCAAATGGATTTACATGCTTGAACAGCCTTTTTTTCCTTGCTGGAATTCATATCGAATGCAGTGTCAAATATAAAGTTTTTCGTCATTCATTATATCAACTGTTATTTTTAAAGTTATGTACACCATTAAATAATAACAAATGATGATTTAGAAAGTTCAATATCAGCCTTACAAAAATACAAACCGGCGGGGAAATATTTCAATTAAAAATAATTGTATTAGGGGGCTAAAAATTAAAAACTAAAACTTTTGCATACACCTAATAAAATAATTATATTTCCTAATAGTATAATAATTTTCGAAAATATTTTCTATTCGATTGATTTTTGACCTTATAGTAATTTAAAATTACAATACAATACGATAGAATAGTAGAGCTATTATTTCAGCCAAATTTGATCAATAAACTTGATTTTACAGAGCTCTAATAACAATATTGTGCGTGGGCATAACTCAGCAAATGAGCGGCTCCCAAGCAATGCTGCAGTATGCTCAAATGATCTTTGATGAGATAAATGCCGATCTGGAGGGCAAGTACTTGACTATGATATTGGGCGTCGTACAAATGATATTTACGATCATCTGTATGTTCATCACTGATCACAGCGGTAGAAGGTCACTGCTGATAATCTCCTGCATTGGTACAGCATGCTCGACTGCTATGGTTGCGACGTATTTCAATCTACAATACAATCATGTAAATACCAACAATATTACTTGGTTGCCCGCTACAGGTGTCATCGTATTCACAATCATGTATTCCTTGGGCCTGGCTTCGCTACCGTTCACTTTACTCAGCGAACTATTTCCTACAAATGTGAAGGCACTTGGCAGCACGATTGTTTTAATAGCAATAAATTTGATAGCTTTTGTCGTTACAACATCATATTTGATCATTGCCGATATTGCTGGCATACATGTACCGTTTTGGATATTCACTGCGTTCAGTTTCGCGGGTGCTTTATTCACATTCTTTTATCTACCTGAAACCAAGGGCAAGACATTCGAGCAGATACAAGAACAATTGCAAGGTTTATCGAAGCAGTGAGAATCGAAGATACTCTCTAAAAGTGAATCAGTGTATTATCACTGAAAAACAGTAGATAGTCACTGATTACAGCACTGTAAATCAGTGATATTTTATTGAAAGAATCAGTTAATAATTTTGACTGTTTCAATCAGTAATATTTCTCAATATCAGTAATATTTCTTTCGTTATTATCAGTAATATTAAACTATAATTCATCTCTCTATCTATTTCATATAAAATTAAAAATTTTATTTATATTTACTAAATATTTATTATGTTAAAAATTTTATTTTATTTATATTACATGCATATTGAACTTGTTATTTTAAATAGATAACGAATAAATAATTTTCATTAAGTCGCCAGACATTTATTTGTCCGACTTATAAATCGATCGATTTAATATCTGAAGCTTCTCTATTGAGCTTGTATCAGAAATTAAATCGAAGTAATGCTTCTAATTTTAAATATCGCTCTTTGCAAACTTTATATAATTCTTATAACTAAAATTAAATACGAGAGAGATAGCGATTGTAGCGGTAAATGAACGAACTAGCGATTACTGGTTTTACAATAAAATTTACTGATTTTACAGTGAATTTTATTTTAACTGACCATAATCAGTGAGATATAAGATAAAATAACAAAAAAATAAGCGTTTTCACTGAAGATCAGTAAAATACTCATTAATTATCAGTGAAATCTTATTTTACTGTTTAAATTAGTGATATTTTCACTGATTCACTTTTAGAGAGTATGTTTTTTGAATGAATAGTTTTCTTAAGGAGTATTCTAGTCTAGAGAGTCGGAAAAATCGATTTTTCTTCTTTGCATATTTTGCAAGTATTTAATATGGAAAATATATCTGCAAAAAGATTTAGCCCAATTCATAAAATTGACAAAGTTATAGATTTTGTATGGAGCGATTTTTGGTGTGCATTCAGTGCTGGAATCACACGGCTCACAATATAGCATTGTATCGCATTTATATTTCGATTAGTGAATTGCTGAAAGATTGTTTAAGAGTAAAAACACAAAATAACAATGAAAATTTTTTGAATTCATGTGATTTGAACCTTTACTCCAAAACACTTTCATTCTAGAGCAAAGATTGTTGAAATAGCAACTTTTCTGATAATTATTATCTTCAATAAAAGATTTATGGCAATTTTGAAAGTTATAAACTTAGCGGAAGTGATTATTAGCCAGAAAGCGGAAATGTACGCAAATTTTTGGACCGAAGCTCATATCATCTGCTCGGAATGACGTTCAACTGACTTCATCAGAGACGAAAGAATAAGTCGCAGAAAAGAGAGAGCAGCTCAGCAGAACTTTCATGAATAGAAGGAAGATCCTTTGTATGGCTCTGGATTAGCTGATTGATTGTAAGTAAAATTATCTCTATGTAATTAGTACGAAAATGTTGAAACGTATTTTTCTAGAAAATCACGTTTTTCAAATTGACTCACATGATATCTCAAAAACCAGTTGATCAATTGAGTCGATCTTATACACACATCTTCAGGATATGTGTGACTATAGCTCCTACCAAAATCAAGTCAAAATATTTTTTTAAATGTTTACAGCCATTTAATGAAGGAAAAAGATGGAAAAAATCGAAACTTCATTTTTTAAATGACGTCATTTTTTAAATTTTCAATATTTTTTTTTTCATTTTAGTACTTACGATAACCAAATTCATATTAATTAAGAATCTTTTTAGATTTTTTTGTTTCAGATAAGCAGAACAGCCGGAATCGTGCGAGCTGTGGGCCAACTTTTTTTTTCATGAGTTCATTCAATGTTTTATGCGCTTATTAATAATTATTTTTTAATACAAAAATTTTAAAACATATTTTAGTGGGTAAATATATAGGAAAAATCCTTGTCCCCCCCAGAAAACTTATACTTCTTTTTTTTAAATTCGCAAAAATAGCATAGAAATCCGGCTTCTAGACTAGAATATTTCTTAAGTGATTCATTGAAAAATATATATTTCGAAATTAAACTTATGTCGGACTCACCACGTTAATTGCGTTTAAAAAGATAAGTCATAAATAGGATATATGCAGAATAAGAATTGAAAAACTATCAAAACTGTCATATTCTGAATAAAGAAAAAAGTCAAATAAGAATTCCTTTATTCTCTTTCGAAAGAATACCCTACCTACGAAAACTTTTACAGTGTAATTATTATTGTGTTTTTATATAATAATATTTTGTATTTCCTAAGCGACAATTATAACTTTGATTTAAGTTTTTTTGTTAATTTCAGTTTCTAATATATATTTATAGAGTAGGTGCATTTCAATAGTTTTTAAATAAATTTGGACTTTAATTGTTTCGAATGCATACTCTTCGATATATTATAATCATCATCCTAATGATGATATTAGAGCACACTGTGAAGAAGAATTTAGATTAATCAAATGTGTTATATCATCAAATGTGTGTGTAATTTTTCAATTTCGTATTTTAATAGTATTTTTGATCTTCATATATTTTATTCCTCGCTCTTCACATGTATGTTATTTTTTAAAATACTATTTTAAAATTTTTATTATCAAAATTCAATCTTTTGTCTACAAATCCATTTTCTTTTTTATTTATTCATCTCAATATTCATCAAAATGGTCAATATAAAGTATAAAGGACTTATTGTTACTTTGGATATTACAGAGTTTGTCCAGGATTTTTTCTCCAGATATTATTATTATTAAAATCGAAGTAATTTTCTGTATTAATTATAAGACATTTTCTATTATAAAGCATTACGAAACAATTAATTGCTTGCATTAGTATTCTGCTTTTATTAATATATTATGAATTTATTATTATTCTTTGATTTATATACTAATAAATTCTTAATAATAGAAAGACGTATTATGATATGAACTTTATTTTAATAATGTAATGTTACGTCCAGATCCTGAATTGGATGGGCTGTATGGAAGTATGTAATTTACTTACCTTGTGACACACTTTATTCGGGTGTGTGTATGGATCGGATCGAGCGAATGTGAAGGACCTAATATAGGTCAGCGACCGAAGGTCTCTTTAACTCTGTGTTTTTAGACCTATTCGCTCGGTGGTCCCTTTTCGGTAAAGGAACTTAATTCTTTTTACGCAGGACAGGACCTAGTACGATCTTGGGATTCAGGGGAGAGAGCGGAGTTAAATATTATACATTAAATTAAATTGAATATTACACATTAAATTAAAAATACATATATTATTTAAAAAGATAAAGAAAGAAAATATATGCAAAAATATATATTAGCGCTTATAACTATGTGTGAGTGGGTATCTGTGTGTATATATTATATATTTTCGCGAGTGTTACAATGATTCGGAGGTCATCAATCAGAATACAAAGGGGGGAATTACGTTAAGAATTAGATTTGTTACAATATATATAATTAATAAAATATAAGAAATAAGACAAAAATAAAAAATTGAATGTGTAATAAAAGTATGAATAACGCTTATTTATTAAAGGAAGTATAGAATTCGTCGCTTGCGCATATGTTATAATTAGAATTAAAATTTTCTAAATTCGCTGAAACACAGGTCTAAATTAAAATATAATAATAAAATTAAATAATAATTAAAATATAATAATAAAATTAAGATTAGAGATTCGCCAAGTCTAAGTTCAAAAATTATTCATCTATTTCAATGGTTTTTCTAAAAAGTAGTGATAATATAAAGGAAAATGATATAAAAAGGAAATAATAATAATAATAATATAAAGGAGATGGAAAATTAAAGGAAAATGAAAGAGAGAAAAGGAAAAAAAATAGAAATGGAGAGTTAAATATATATATGAGGAAAGATCGAAACGAGATATAAAGATGGAAAATTATAATAAATTCTCGTTGAATAAATCAGAAAGAGCAATTAAGGGGGGAAACCACATTAGACAGTTCAAAAAAATTGATTTTTTTTATTGCATAAATCGTTAGTATAACTATTCAAGATTATGTTCCCAAAAATTTTATTTCAAAATAAAATTCGAAGTCCTTCCTATGCTATGAGTATAAAAGGGAGTGCTCCTCAGTTCACTGCTGCTTCAACGCACAGCAGATAGAATGGAGCGACCGCTCAGGTAGTCCCTTACTTACTTACTTGGCTCAATACACATGTACTATATGAGATATTAGAAGGGAAGGGAGGTATTTTTTCAAGTGTTTTTGTTTGTAAATGCTCACTATAGAGGGCTTGTGTAGAAGCGTCGGCATTATTTCGAATATATTTCGGTAGAAGTTAGGCTAGATCGTCGGTTAACATCAGTTTAGTTTTGGCCATCCAAGCGTGTGTTGAAAGTTACAAGAGAAATATGTCTTCCTATCCAAAAGGTGACCGTTCTAGCACTTATCGAGTTAGTAGACCACGTAAGAGATCATTCCATGGAAATCAGCATTTTAACAAAGGGACAAGTTTCACCGAAGATGAAAGTGCTAGCGCAAAAAAACTGCAGAGTGCTACCAGTGAGAATGTAATTGTGAATCCCTTGTTTTGTTATCGTTTTATAGAATTTTTCACCGTGTTCACAGCATTGTCGAACATTCTAATTTGTCGAAGTTGCAAGCAGAATGTGAAATTTGAAGAGACTGGAATTCGGGGCCTCGGTTTCAAAATTGTCGTACAATGTAACTTTGGGTCGAGACAAATCAATTCAGGTCCTTTAACCAATACTGGATATGAGATAAATCGTAGGATTGTGTTTGTCATGCGATTCGGGCGTTGGCAGACAAGGATTGAATTTATTCTGCAACTATATGGACATCGGCAGCGGTATAGCTGAAGAAACTTATAATATGTAGAATTTATGATCACATCCACTTCGCTGCATGGAAAGAAGAGCACGATGATGAAACCTGTACAGAAACTGAAGACTCTGTGGGAAGCATGGAAGTAGAGTCTGTGAAAACGATGTTTTTGAGATCAGCTTCCAGTTTTGAGAAGAGCTTCATAGTGTGAAATACGGCAATTACATCGGTGATGGAGATTCAAAAACATTTTCAGTTGTTCTCGATATAAACCCTTACGGTGATGAACTAACAGTTGTCAAGAGCGAGTGTATAGGTCACGTTCAGAAAAGGATGGCAACTCGGCTCCGAAACGTGAGAAAAACTAAAAAACTGGGCGGAGAAGGTAAATTGACAGAGGCTTTGGTGAAAAAGCTCAGCACATATTACGGCTTAGCTATTCAGAGGAATATTAACAGCGTTGAAGATATGAAGAAAGCTATTATGGCCACTTACTATCACATGATATCCACAGACGAAAATTCTCGACACGAGAACTGTCCAGTTGAAGTTGACAGCTGGTGCACGTGACAGCAGGCTAAAACTTTTGGGAATGAGCCTGAAGCTCACCCTGCTCCATTGCACCCCGACGTGCAGAAGGAAATACTTCCAATATATGAAGATTTGTCAAGAGATGAGTTACTGACAATATGTTTAGGTGGCCACACGCAGAATGCAAACAAAAGCTTCAACTCTACAGTTTGGCGCTTGGCTTCAAAATATTTGCATTCTGGCCTGAAAGTGATTGAGGTAGCAGGATTTTTAGCTGTTGCCTTGTTCAACGAAGAAAATTCAGCCTTTCTAATGCTGATGAACGAGCTGCAGGTTGTAGTTGGCTCGCGGAGCTTTAATTACGCACAACAAATGGACGAGCTGCGCGTGAAACGACAGAATAGACGCAGCGCTTTGGAGACCAAGGAAGCTCGGAAAGCAAGAAAAGAGGAGATGCAAGCTCTAAATGATGATGAAGAAGAAGAAGAATTGCTATATGGTGCTAGATTGAAAGGTAAGCACTTTATATAATTTATTACTGTCTCGAATTTTTAGTTTTCGGTAATTTTTTTTTCAAACGCATTTTTCTCGAAACGACTTTTTTTCGACTTGCGTGTACTCTAGCTCAAAAAATTATTGACCGATCCTTATAAAACAAAGTTGTTATTCTTTATTAAATTATTTATCAGTTGAACCAACTTTTGGGATGATGTCATAATTTAAAGTGTACTTTTTATTTGAAAAAGAACTGAAAAAAAACGGTGAAAATTGAGATTTTTTTTTCAAATTCCCGTAAAACATTCAATTTTCAACATTTTTAGCTGAAACCTAGTTCACCTAATAAGAAAACATGTTAATAATGTATGAAAACCTTCGTTTTGCTTTCAGATCAAAATGTGATCTCCACATTGCACGCAAGCAATTAACTCTGACGATGACCTTCGATGGGCGGCAGCTTATAACTTTGACATTTCCGTCAAAAACGACTTGAAAAAAATCTGAGATGTAGTTCAAAACAATGAATAAAATGACCTCAAAGTTTAAATAAATTCTAATTATTTTTTCCATCTCAAAAAAATTCACAAAAAAAGCTTAAAAATCAGCCTCCTAATGTGGTTTCTCCTCTTTTAAAGGGAAATAAGAATTAAAGAGTAATCGCGAATCACCTTTCGGAGATTCAAGGCAAATAGGAATTATTAGCAAACCACCTTTCGGTGATTCTAGACGAATTAGGAATCATGCGCGAATCATTTTCCGGAGATTCTAAGTAAAGGATTATTCGTCTGTCGGAGGTTTAAAGCGAATTAGGAAGAACAAGAAACGAGATTGGAGGAGGGATGAGACAACGATTGATTGATTGATAATAATTAATAAAAATTTAATGGTTATTAAACTGTTTAGCATTATTTGTCAAACATATATTTTAAATGATGAGAATTTAATACTAAAATAAATTGTTAGGTTATATACGCGGCTTAGGTTGCGTTCTTTTATGCGCTATCATTATTTTTAAGAAGGATCACTTTGTGTTTCGAATGCAAGCCGATCCTTGATTTCTTTCTTCCACGATATCGTTTCGAAGAAAAAAAAGAATCGTGAAGTCCACTGGACGTAACAATAAGAAGAATTTGATTAGATATAGTGTTAGATTTCGCGGTTTTCTTTTATAATATATTACAAAGTATACAATCGTAACATATCTGATATATTTTGCACACTCATTTATCCACGAGATAATTTAATCACATAAGAAATATTTTATCTCTCATATTTTAAGATCATATATTATATCAAGATAGAGGTCATTCAAATTTGTTGCGTCCGATAATGGAAAATAAATATCAAAATTTTACTCCAGATAAAATTGATATGACGCTATTATCTAAGTTGTTTTCATTTAAATTAAAATTCTTTCAGTTGCTGTAAATAATAATCATTTAGTGTTCGTACATGGAAACAATTATATTGTGAAAATGAAGAAAATATATTTTGCTGCTGTAGCAGGTTTGTGCAACTCACTATGCATTCATTAATTCTAATTACGAATGATACCTAAATACAATTTTCATTATGTTATTTATTAAATCAATATTTTCTAAATATCTAAATAAAAAAATATATTAAAATTTAAAAAACAGAAAAAGTTTTATGAAAAATACAATAAATAAAATTTACTCTGTGTGTGTTTATTTATATGTATATTAATACAGCTTATAAATAAATTATTATATATGATCAATATTATATACGAATAAAATATATTGTTTATTTGTATACACATAAAAAGATGTGTAAAGAATATTTTCTATATATTCTATTTATAAAATTAGCATTTTATCGAAGAATCAATCCTTTTAAAAACGTATTATTTTATCTGAAAGGAAACCTGGGCATGCTGTCAATCGGTCAATTTTTGGGTTGGCCATCACCATCCTTGCCTAAATTAATGGAAGATAATAATGTCAAACATTCCATTCATTTAACTGCGGACGAGGCCTCTTGGGTGGCATCTTTACTTATGCTCGGCGCAATTGCAGGTGCCATTACTTGTGGACTTATGGTGAATTTCATTGGTAGAAAAAATACCATGTTATTTACGGCTGTGCCTTCGATAATTAGCTGGTTGATAATAGCTTTTGCAACGTCACCATGGGTAATTTAATGATTTCTATATTTATAAGATACATAAAAAAAATATTTTCTTCAAAATCGCATGTATATAACATTTTGGGGAATTAATCATTAAAATTTTAAATATTTAATCTTTATTAGTCATAACCACTATTCTTTTTATTTTAAAAATTTGACTTAAAGCTTAGTTTATATTTTGATGTTTTCGCGATTTTGAATACATTCTTTTTTGACAGATGATTTAAATAGAATGCTTTTAATTTAAATTTTATTTTACTATAATATACAATCATGCCTTCAATTCTGTCAATCTCCAATATACAAGATTTATTTTATTTATCAAAGATATTTCTCCCCTCTCTTTAACAAATGAAATTTTATCTAATTAAAGCATTATGAAAGCACGTGATTTGCGTAACCACATTGAAATAAAAATATTCACAAATGTTGTGAAGAAATATTATCATTTTAAAAATCATCAAAATAATAATTTGTTTGATAATATTTATTTGATAATACAACAATATTATTAAACCATTATTATCTGATGACTTTTAAAATGATATCTCTCGAGATGATCAATTTTTTACAGATTTCTTGAATTCAATAATTACAGATACATAAAGTGCTAAGCATATTTTAAAATAATTTAAATTATATTATATATTTTATTCAAAGATTTTTAATATCAATATGATAGCGTTTATCGAGTCAAAACATTGCTATGGTTCTTGAATTTGTAATGTAACTTTCTACATAATATTATCTATAGCCAATGTGTTTTAAGCATTTCAATATGTTATATATTAAAAATCAGCGAAAAAAAAGTAACAATGTTTGCATTGTATTGATTCATGATATAATACAATTGTATTGATTTATGATATAGTGTAAATTTATTGCCACATTTTTTTTATAGGTTGTTCTTAATTTATTCATATATATATATATATATATATATATATATATATATATATATAATCTATCAAAGTTTATCTAAGTAATAATAAAAAAGCAATTACTTTTGCAAGTATATTATTTCAAACAAATAAATAAAAATAGAGAATTGGTTTATGTATGAAATAAATAACTTACTCATCATATGTTGTTTCTGCAAGAGTTTCTATTGTGAAAAAAATGTTTAGAAAATTAATTGACCTCCAAATATATGAAATATACATAACTGCATATAAGACGAATAATATTTAAAAATTGTTACTTTTCACAATGTTATACTTTTCATACAAACAACATTCACAATTATTACCTGCAAAATTTAGATTAAAATAATTTATAAATTAAATTTAAAAAATATATGCAACTTTTAAATATAAATATAATTTAAAAGTAAATATAATTACAAAAATTTCAAAGAAGTGTCCTTGAGTTCGGGAGAAATATTGTTTCATCGTAATCAATTTGATATATTTAATTTCCCTATTCCTTTTTTGTTATATAGGAGCTATACATAGCAAGATTCATGTCTGGTATAAGTACAGGCATTGGTTTTTCAGTCATGCCAATATATTTGGGTGAAATTTCACCAGCAAATATCCGCGGTAATTTGACATCCATGATAGGAATGGCTTCGAAATTTGGCACTTTAATAGCATACGTAGTAGCCCCATTTATATCGGTGCAAAATTTCGCCCTCATATCTTTGACAAGCCCGTGTTTGTTTGTGATTATATTCATCTGGGTACCAGAATCCCCATATTATTTTTTGCGCCGCAACGACAAGCAAAAAGCCATAAATTCGTTTGTTCAGTTGAGAGGTAAAGAGAATATTCACGAAGAAATAGAAAATATCGAGCGATCCGTGAAAACTGATTTGACTAATAAAAGTGATTTTCGAGAACTCTTATTTGCATCGAGAAATCGCAGGTGAGTTGTCAAATTTTGATTTATCAATGTGTACTTACACAAATATTTGTTATAAATAAGAAATTTAATAAAAACAAATAAATAATTTTTGTAGAATTAATTTTTCTATTATGTTTCCAAGCTTCAATAAATAAAAACATTAAGGATTGAACAATTTTACTAACAATAATTATATTAATTTATATTATATTTATTCTTCTTATAATTATACGTAACAATTCCCTATATATAGTTATATTTTCATAAAATAATTATTAAAAATATTTTGCATTTTATCTATATATATGTATGTCTATATATATGTATTATATACATATATATAGGTAAAACATATATATACATATATATTATCTATATATATGTATATATATGTTTCACCTATATATATGTATATAACGCGTAATAATATAAACGGACAGGTGATTATTACAATTACTGATAACATTAGTAGCTGTCAATTTATCAGTAAACGGATTTAATTAATAAATTTGATCTTGCAGAGCTTTGATGATATTGTTGGGTTTGAACGGGGTTGTGCAAATGAGCGGTGCTCAAGCTGTGATACAATATGCTCAAATAATCCTGGACCAAGCGCACACTAATCTGGAAGGCAAATACTTAACTATGATTTTAGGTGCCATACAAGTGATTTTTGGGACCATCTCTATGTTTCTTAGCGATCGCATTGGCAGGAAGCCGCTGCTAGTGATCTCGACCATTGGTGCAGCATTCTCGACTGCTATAGTTGCAACATATTTCAATTTGCAATACAATTATATAAATACCAGCAATTGGTTGCCCACTATTGGCATAACTATTTACGTAATCATGTATTGTTCGGGTTTGGCTCCTGTGACTCTCACCATAACCAGCGAACTGTTTTCCATAAATGTGAAGGCTCTTGGTAGCACGATAGTTACAATAATACTCAATTTGTGGGCTTTTATTGTGTCAAAATTATACCTGATCATAGCTAATAAATACGGTACACACGTACCGTTTTGGACATTCACTGCGTGCAGTCTCGCTGGTACTTTATTCGTGCTTTCTTATGTACCTGAGACCAAAAATAAAACTCTGGAACAGATACAAATGGATCAAAAATAGGATGGTTATATGGTGATTTTCTTTCGACGAGTTTGTAAAGAGTATCCGCAAAAATATCTGTTTTTTCGCCCGTTCCGTGATCCTCAGATTGAATCGAATTGTGGTCTAAATGATAGCTTATGATGATATATTAATTTGCGAAAAATTTCAAATTGAGCATAAAAATATTTCGGAAATATGACGAGTGAAAGTGTCGTAATCTATAAGCGAATCTACGGTACAGAATAAATGAGAATATTATGTTGATTCAAAGTTAGAGAAATATGCGTGTTTATGATTCAAAATCTCATTGGCCATACTTATCGGAGTTGAAGGGCTTGAAATTTTTGGACAATTTCAAAAATATTGGCTTAGAAACTGTAGGATAACGAGTTTGTTATTGAAGAGTTTATTATCAAATATCGTTATCTGAACGCCTTATACTGATATTTCTTGTTAGACGTGCTTTCATAGTTTACTTAACTTTTTACTGTACATGGAACTGAACAAAGATGCGTAAGAACTGTTTATAATTTAATTTTTTTAATTTGGTTTTCTGTTTCTAAATCCGAGATTGCAAAATAATCTTGTTATTCATAAATTTGTTTAAACAAATTATTGTACAATTACAGTTTTTTTAAGAAATAATTCCTGTTACGGATTCCATGAGAAAATTGAACTGATGAAAGTTTACATGGCATTTTCATCTATCACATCTGTTGGATTCGTTTACCGATTTCGACAATTTTGTTTTTTCATATCTCTGAAACCATTCCTATGTTCTTGAAATTTTTCCCAAATTAATATACCATCAGAAGCTATTATTTAGATTTAGATCACAATTTGATTCAATAAGTGAAGATCACTGAACGAGCGAAATTTGCGGATGCTCTTTATTAAAGTAAAATCACTTTCGAAGTTGGACACGCAGTTACCTTTGCAATTATTTTGTTTAAAATAATCTGTAATAAATTATAGCAGACTTATTTTTTAAATCTGCTTACATTTGAGTAAAATAAATATAAATATTTTTCGTAAAAGTAATTTGACTATAATTAATAGTGACTATAATTATATAATTTAATATTATAATATTTAATTATATAATTTGTAATATTAATGTTACACTTAACGGTGACTATATAATTAATGATTATAATAATCACTATTAATAATTAATAATTATAATCACTGTTAATTATTAATAATTATAATTATAAAATTAATGGATTCTTATGTTAATATTTAAAGAATATTTAAATAATTAAATTATGTATGTAGAATAGTCTTCTCGGTAAATATTTACCTTTACAAATGACTTGACTTTGACATATATTATCAAGGTCACTGTTCTGAGTAACATCCAAAAGATTTCAGGCGTCGATCGTTGTTTATTAAAAAGTTATAAACAAAAAAAGTTTTATAAATTTCGCATAATCTTTAAACATCTCGTGCACTTAATGGAATATTTTTTTGACATATATGTGGTTAATTATTTATTTTTCATTTTTAATAAGAAATATTTAATAAATTATTCAGAAGTGGAATGGAGTGGACCTCATTTTACATGGGAAGTTGTAAACCAATTTCTTTGATTTTTACATATATATACATATATGTATATATATATATATATCGATTATAATTGAGGATCTCGTTTTGTGTGGAAAGTTGCAAACCTATGTGGAAGCGTACAATAATAGACCTCGCTTCGCACTAACTCAGAAGTGGACCTCGCTTCGTGGAAAATTGCAAATCTATGTAGAACTGTACAATAATAGATCTCCATTGTACAGTTCCACGTAGATTTGATTTCACATAGGTTAACTTTCCACGTGAAGCAAGGTCCCACACCATCCTAAGTCAGTACGAAGCGAGGTCTATTATTGTACGCTTCCACATAGGTTTGCAACTTTCCACACAAAACGAGATCCTCAATTATAATCGATATATATATATATATACATATATGTATATATATGTAAAAATCAAAGAAATTGAAATGTTCTTCAATACGTTTATTTCTTTATAACTTTCAATATAAAAGGTCTATTTTTGTATGTACATGGTGTCCAAACATTTTGTAAAATTTATAAAACTTCTTTTGTTTATAACTTTTTAATAAACAACGAGCGACGCTTAAAATTTTTTGGATGTTACTCAGGGTGACCTTGACAATATATGTCAAGGACAAGTTATTTAGAGCCGGCTGTGTAAAGGTAAATATTTATCATCTTTTCATATATTTATTATATAATATTATATATGTTCGCAAGAAAATATATATTATTTACAATCGAATATTGTTCTAATTTCTCGAATATTTATATCTAAATCGAAACATTCTGAAATACATACATATATATATATATATATATATATATATATATATATATATATATATTGTGACGTTGCCGTCCTGTAGTGCATCCATCCGCCCCGAGATTTTTACGGGGCACGGGCCGAGCGGCCGCGCCAGAATCAATCTCGAGAGAGCGTTATCGAAAATCCCCGAAGAGACGAGCGCTATCGTTATTTTGTAAAGATTTTTAATTGTAAAGATTATTAATTGTAACGATTTTTTGTTTGTTTGTCATAAACGACAACGGGCACCTCGCCGGAGAAGATCCGGAGGACCGGAAGCACATCAAGGAAGATTGCGTCAAGACGCTCGTCGACAGCGAACGGAGAAAATAGTAGCGCTTGAAAGACGAGTAGCAAAGGACGATACCGGGGGAATTCGCCCGCGTCCCAGCGAAGGGGACGGAAGTCCGATCAACGCTACCCTCCGAGGAGGACAAACGACAGCGGCGTCTCCAACGGGCCCTTGTAAATGGGCCCGCGACAGCTAACCATTTAAATCAAATTAATTGCGCGCGAAGCGCTAAAGCGCCGCAGATCTCGCGAGGCACTAGGACCTCTTGCGTGCCGTGCCCTGATTGGCCGCGAGGATGCACACCCCACTAAGCGGTCATTGACGCCGCTATCGACCCCGGGCCGCGAGATCCCAGGATCATTCTGGTGCGGGAGCTCGAGCTCAATAGTCGCTCTAGTTTATTTCGTTATCGTTTTCGTTTGTGAAGCTTTTGTCTGTCGCTGATTACGAGACCGAGCAGAGGACGAGGCCGAGGACCATCCCCCGCAGGAGGAAACATAGTCGGTGAGGTTGCCCATCTTTCCTTGTAAGCCACGTACGCGATTTAGTCCGCGGGCCGGTCGTTCTGCCGCCGTCGTCATTTTTCGTGTCTTGCGACCGCTCAGGCTCAATGCCGAGACGGTGATATTTTGCGTATTTTCGGGCGATCGGAGGCAAGCGACCGAGGAAGGACCACCGTAACGTCGGCGTTAGATTGATAAGGCAACGTTCGTCTCTCTCCGGGTTTCGGGTGTTCTTTACGCCTATTGACTGCCGAATATCGACCGCGTGCGCGAAGGATCGCGAAAGCGAATACTGCCCGTGTTGTCGTACCGCTGTCGTTGCCGCGTAAAATATTCCGTAAATTATCTCAGGGCGATTTGTGATGTATGATTGCGTGTAGGTCGTCGTCAATTGTTAAGAGTGCGTATGGTATTTTATTGTAGTGTGAGCGTGAAAGTACTTGCGTCTTAGTCGCGCTTATTACGCCGCCGAATAGAGCGTAATAAAGGTTAATAGAATCTTTGCGTCTTCGTCGCGTTTATTACGCTGTCGAATAGCGCGGAATAAACTATAATTGGTATCTGCCGAATTGGTCGCGGTGCGAAATAATCGCCAAAGTATTGAGAGTGAAATCTGGGCGGCTTACAGGGAAGAAAGAGGCGAAACGTCGGCGGAGAAAAATCTCCGTCTGCCGTCGGCTATCGAAATTTGAGAATATCGTTCGCCTGTCGCATACGTGATCCGTCTTCGCAAAAGTATTGAGTATTTTCGATCTATGGTTACTTATGCTGTCGAATTATTAAGCTGTCGATTTGTTTTGCGAGCTAGGAAATTGCGAGGAAAAGTCCGTAGCGATAAGTTGTCGATCTGGCTGCCGAAATTACGATATCGTTTGAGTATTATCCGCGAATATTTCCGTGCCGAAAACCCTTGGTATTCCGTAAAGTCTCGCTCAGTCCTGCGAACTCCGGTCATAAAAACGGGCTCGGATAAACAACCGGATTGTCTTAGCGCTCTCGTTTTCGTTGTCGATTTCGAGCAAATATTAGCTCAGAATACCGTCGTATTATTGCCAGGATTACTTGTATTGTATATTTCGCTTTCGTATGTCGTTCGAATTTATTGTGAACCGTCGTTTCAACTTGATTTGTATGATTCGTTCTCGTTTCTAGTGAAAATCATAGCGAACTAATGTCTCTGTGAGGAATTATTAATCTCAGTTGAAATTATCGCTTCTTGTTGATTGCTGATTTATTGTTTAATATCGATCCATTTCTTACTATCGATTTATTATTAGTCACTCGTATTGTTACTTTATTTTTCCAGTAATAAACTTGTTATCTTTCTTTGTTCAAATCGCGTAATTTATTTAAGTGTTCGTCTCGCTTGGTCGTCGATCCTCGTCTTGTCTGTCGTCTGTCGGTACCGCGAAGACTCGCATAATCAATTAACTTTCTCTAACAACCCCTCCCCTCTACCGTTAGGCGAGCTAGTCGGCCCGTGGCGAAGCAGGCTATCGTTTTTAGCGTCTTTCGACTTTTCGCGAAAACTGATGCGTGAAAGACCGCATCTGGCGCCTAACTTTTCGAGATATCGAAACGGCCTCCGCTCCGCCGCGGCTCGCGCGAGAACGTCCTCCACCCCTGTTCCGCCGAGCGCGAGTATATTAATTTCGTTATTTTTTTGATGGCGTTTTCGCTCCCCCGCGCACGCTCCCATCCAACATCTCGAGGAGTGTCGCGAATTATTTGAATTGAATTGAATAAACGTCGCAAAAATTTGGCGCCCAACGTGGGGCCACGTCGCCAACGAAAGGAAATTTTAGCTCCTGAAAAAAGGGCCATGTCGCAAACAAAAGAAATATCTAGCACCTGAAAAAGGGACACGCGTTGAGAAAGAGAAAGTTCGGGGAGCTTATGCGAGCTAAATTATTTGTCGAGTCATTTCAAAGTCACTTTTCTTTTGTCGTGTGTTCGTTTCTTGTGTAGTTAATGCTTTCGTTAGAACGATTCTTTTGCCGACCTTTACGTATTTGTTGTCGACCTTCGAATAATAACGGCCTTATCTTGTGTTATTAAGCTGTCGACGTGTATTATCGCGGTGATCAGGCCATGTCTTGCTGAGTTCGAGCTTATTTATTTTGTTTCGAGTTTTTCTCTCTGTATCGTATGAGTCAAGTCGATCCAGAGGACGATTGGATTTTCGTGTTAAGTCGCGAACAATTATTAGAAGAATTACAGCGGCGTAAACTTTCCACGGAAGGGAGTTATTCAATTCAGACCGCGCGTTTGCTGCGTCGCGTACGCAAAGATAGAAAATTTAATACAGACAAAATGTCGGACGAGGAACTTTTAGAAGTCCCTACGGATGCGAGAGCTCGACCTGATAGTCCGATGGATCGGGCGAGATTCAGCGTATCCTCTGGCTCTCGCGATACTCCGCGCTCGAGAGAGCGAGATTTTCCGCGTGAATACACGAGAAATTCCGCGATGACGGCGTATAACGTCATGCGTAAATGGAATTTAAAATTTTCGGATTCGCGTGGGGAGGATGCGGAGACCTTTTTGCTTCGAATTGAGGAAGATCGCGAGTTAGTTCCCGTAACCGACGAAGACATCTTACGTTGCTTACCGTTCTTTCTAACCGGTATAGCACTTTATTGGTTTCGTAGTAAACGCAATCGGCTGTCGGATTGGAACGCTTTTAAAGAGGCGTGGAGAACGCGATTCGGGGACCCAGATTTTCAATTTGCTCTCCGCGAAGAAATAATGCGAAGAACTCAGGGAAAACATGAGTCTGTCGCTGATTTTTTTGTCTGTATTCGAACTATGTTCGATCGATCGCCACCATGGACTGAATCTGAGTAAGTGAACAGCGCGTTTCGAAATTTATTACCGCGCTTCCAACAGTCCATCCGTCGCAATGAGGTGGGAAACGTAGACGCTTTAGAAGGTTTGGCAACTCGCGTAGAAGCTAGTTACTCGCTGTCGCAACGTTATCGGGCACCCCCGACTCCGAAGAAGTCATTGTTTCCGGATCTTGCGTACCATGCACCGCGTAATACGAAACAGCCCTCGCAAGGCCGCGTTGAGTACATCTGAGGCGGAATCAGAGTCAAAATCGAACTTGCGAAGGGAGAGGAGGACTAAAAATCGCACAACTCGAGTCGCGACCGGGACGGAGGCCGCACAGGAGGTTTCGTCGTCCTCAGGGGCCGCAGATTCGACAGATTCGCGAAATTCCACGCGAAAGTGCTGGAATTGTGAGGGCGTAGGTCACATTTCGCGAAATTGTAAAGCCGCTAGTACACTGCTATTGTTGCGGTCGAGCGGAAGTGACGTTACGGACGTGTCCCAACTGTTCGGGAAAAGAGTAGAGAAGTCGAATAATGGGGGGGACCCGACTCCTTTTGAACCCCAACCCCCTTTTCGTGTCGTTAATTGTTCTCGTGAATTTTCGTTCAGTGCTTTTGGTTGTCGTGACATTCCATCAATGTTATTTATTCGTGTTAATTTATTAGGAAATGAGGTTAGCGCTCTAGTGGATTGTGGTTCGACTCGTATTTTTCTAGGATCTAATGTTGTCGAATTGGTGAGTCATTTGAAGTTAAAATTTCGAAAGTCGGATGGCCGACGAGTAGTTACGGCAACCGGCCAAACGACATGTGTGAGGGGGGAGGTGGATCTTCCTTTTTCGTTATATGGTAGGACTAATTCGTTAAAAGCGTATGCTTTGTCGTCTTTAGCAATCCCATACATTCTGGGACTTGATTTTTTGAGCTTGTTTAATATAATAGTAAATTTTTCACGCCAAGAATAGTATTTTGAAGATGAACCAGCCAAGGTGTATCGTTTCGAGAATCAGCCAATAAATTCCGTTTGTCATGTAAATTTAGTCGAGAATGCTGTTAGTCGCGAATCAGGTGATTCTTTAGAGTCTGGAAGCGCAAACGTAACGGAACCGAAGTCGAATAAGAGCCTGCGAGAAAATAGTCTGTCGATCGCGAAAACAACCCGTGCTCGCAAAACCAAACGAGTTCGGCTGTCGAAATCTAATCCGTTTATTTGCTGCGGTTTACATGAGCTGTCATCGCGCGAAAGTCAAAAATTAGCTAAATTCTTGAAAGAGCATATAGTAGGCGATCCGGACAAACCGGGAGCGACTAACTTAACTGAACATAAAATTGATGTTGGCGGGCATACTCCGATTAAACAACGGTATTACCCCGTTTCGCCAAAAATTCAATAAGCGATCTACGCGAAGGTCGATAAAATGTTAGCGGCAGGAATTATTGAACCATCTAAGAGCGAATGGTCTAGCCCGGTCGTAATGATAAAGAAACCTAACGACAGCTATCGATTTTGTCTCGATTTTAGGAAATTGAACAGCATTTCGAAGAAGGATGCGTACCCATTACCATACATGAACGCAATCCTTGATAAACTGAGATCAGCCAGTTATATTTCGACTATCGATTTAAGCGAAGCATATTTCCAGATTCCGCTTGAGAGAAACAGTCGCGAATTAACGGCATTTACAGTACCGAGTAAAGGATTATTTCATTTCACCCGAATGCCGTTTGGCCTCACCGGTGCCCCCGTGACATTTCAACGTTTGCTTGATAGGCTTATAGGCCCGGAAATGGAACCTCACGCTTTCGCCTATCTAGACGATATTGTTGTCGTGACACGTACTTTTGAAGAGCATTTGACTAAAACGCGTGTTAGATCGAATTAGGAGGCAGGTCTAACGATAAATCCGGAAAAGAGTAAATTCTGTCGATCTCAAGTGAAATATCTCGGATTTCTAATACAAAAGGAAGGGCTTAAAGTTGACCCTGACAAGACCGCGCCAATTGTTGAATATCCGCCACCGAAGAATATCAAGCAATTACGACGTTTTATTGGCATGGCGTCATGGTATCGCCGATTTATACCGTGCAACGCGTTTAGAATCGCTAACTCGTCTCATCTGGAAGAATTTCTCTTGGGAGGGGGGGGATGAACAAAAATCTGCATTCGAATCAATTAAATCGTGCATTATGTCGCCGCCTACGCTGTCGTGTCCGAATTTCGAACTGCCGTTTACGCTGCAAACGGACGCTAGTTCGGTTGGCTTAGGAGCAGTTTTGACACAAGAATCGGAAGGCGTAGAACATGTGATCGCGTTCGCGAGTAGGGCGCTGTCGGAAGCCGAAAAGAAATACTCTACGACCGAACAAGAATGTCTAGCTGTCATCTGGTCAATTAAAAAGTTTAGACCGTACCTTGAAGGATACAATTTTAGAGTCATCACCGATCATAGCAGCCTACGATGGTTACATAATTTAAAAAATCCTACAGGCCGTTTAGCGCGATGGGCCCTAGAATTATTAGAATACGATTACACGATCGAGCATTAAAAAGGAGTGTTATATCATGTTCCTGATGCGTTGTTGCGTATGTACGAGACTACCAATGAATTATGTGCTGTCGCAATTACCGGAGATACTTGGTATGATGCACGCGTTCGAAACATGGAGAATGAGCCACGTAAAAATTCGAGTTGGAAAATTGAAAACGACCAACTCTATTTTCGAAAACCGAATGCTGTCGTATCGCAGGTTGTTGATGATCTCGAGCAGTGGAAGCTAGTACTTCCTAAAGAAGCGCGCGCGAACGTTACTAGGGAGGCCCACGATGGACCACAAGCAGGTCATTTAGGAGTCGAGAAAACATATCAGCGTGTAGCGACGCGATATTTCTGGCCGCGTATGTTTAAGGAGATCGCCAATTATGTTCGACATTGTGACGTTTGTCAAAGAACGAAAGTAGAGCAGAATTTGCCGATGGGGTTAATGGGACGCCGAGCTGTCGAAACTCCGTGGACGGTAGTAGCAGCGGATATTATGGGTCCTTTTCCGCCGAGTAAAAGCGGTAACGCGTACGTTTTGGTGATTCAAGATTTATTTACCAAATGGATTGAATGTGGCCTCCTCCGGAAAGCAACGGGCAAAAAGATCCGCGAGCTCTTGAATGAATTAATCGTGAATCGTTGGGGTGCACCGCGAGTACTCTTGACGGACAACGGCGCGGAATTTATCAATCGCGAATTGCAGGCATTTGCGGACGAACACGGCATAGTTCACTCTACGGTACCTCCGTACCATCCGCAGGCTAATCCGGTAGAGCAAGTTAATCGGATACTCAAGACTATGATTACGGCTTTTCTCGAGAACGATCACCGCGAATGGGATGTACACTTGGCTGAGTTCAGATTCGCTTATAATATGGCATATCATACAACGTACAATACTTCTTTGCAAGTTACTCCAGTGTTTTTAAATTTTGGCAGAGAGCCGCCGCCGGTTAACACCGTGCGTGGGAGGCATCAGCCAGCTGTCGAGGTCGCGGAGACGAATCCCGCGAATTGGAAAGAGCGCATGGAGAGAATTCAGGCTTTACGGAATTGGGTAGTAGAAAATCTAGAGGCTGCGCATAGTAAACAGGCGCATTATTACAATTTGCGAAGACGAGATCACCGTTTTGCGATTGGCGAGCAAGTTCTGAAGCGGCAGCATGTGTTGTCGTCAGCCGCTCAGAATATTTCGGCAAAGTTAGCAACTAAGTACCACGGTCCGTTTACTATCGCGAAAATGTTGTCGCCGGTTGTGTACGAGTTGCATAGTAGCGCTAATAGATCAGTAGGCAAGGTGCATATTAAAGACTTGAAACCATATAATGTTCCATCTGATTCCCCAGGCAACTAACACACCAATAAATAGAGTGAGAATGTCCTGCGAATTTTGGGAAAGATATAGAGATGTCATCGAGGCTGTCGATGAACTACGCCCAGGATTCTGGACAGCCCTGGCAGACGAGGCGCAGAGGATGAGGGAGGCGCGTACGACCACCCGCGTGCGCGAATTCCCGGCCCAACGAGAGGCCGGCATACAGGCTGTCGTCGAAACTCGGGAGGCGAGCACCGAGCCTGTCGGCGCGGCACATGAGGTGGCCATCCAGACCACCCCATTAAAAGTAGAGCCGGATTCGACCTCCACGGAGGACTGGGACGCTCCGAGCCCGGGGTCCCCGTGGGACAGTCCCCAAGGGAGCAGGCTGTCGTCGGCTTCGGACAAGTGGCCAAACCTCCCGCCGAATCACCGTCACCGAGCCTCCCGGATCCGCCCAAGGGGTGCTGGAATTGTGGCGCCAGCACCCATTTGGCCAGAGATTGCCCCCGAGAGGAGAGGCGAGTTTATTGCTTCCGCTGCGGCACACCGGGGGTAACCGTGAAGACCTGCCCATACTGCCGCTCTGGTTGGTTGGCCCAAGGGCCGTATAAGGAAGGCCGTGGCCACCAAGGTCCGGACCCCCCTCGAGGACGCCGAGCGAGAGGAGCCGCCCGCCCGCGACCCTACTAACGGCTGTCGGAGAGAGCTCTTCTTCTTCTTCTCGCTCTCGATATATATCCGTGTCTGTCTCTCTCGCGCTATCTGTTTCTTCCTAGCTGTCGTTTTCTTAATACCCCTTTGTGTAAGAGTATAGAGAAGGAATAAACCTATTTTTGACTAATTTCCGTTTCTAGTTTTATGTTTTTCCCTTTCTTTTTCGTACCTCAATCCACTTGGTTTGTCGTTAGCGTATCGCGTCGCAGATGTCGTTCGCAAGTACTCGTGAGTATCGGGACCGCGAACCCCAGCGAGAGACAGCCTCGCGAACCAGAGTCGCGCATAGCGATAGTTGGTCGCTTAGCGTTGTTAGCATTAGTAAAACGTTCCGGAAAAATTTTTTTTTTGTGTTAATATTTTGTGTTCGTGTCTTCCTCGGCTCCGGGGACTTTGGTCGCCCGAACGTATGCGAGCGGATGTAGGTAACGTTTGAATAGTGGCTGTGGGTGACCGAAGCCGATATGTTCTCTCCTGGCATGGGGGGGTGTGACGTTGCCGTCCCGTAGAGCGTCCATCCGCCCCGAGATTTTCACGGGGCGCGGGCCGAGCGGCCGCGCCAGAATCAACCTCGAGAGAGCATTATCGAGAATCCCCGGAGAGACGAGCATTATCGTTATTTTGTATGCCTTTTTATTAATTATACCGGTATTCTTTTTTTCTTTGTAATAAACGACAACGGGCACCTCGCCGGAGAAGATCCGGAGGACCAGAAGCACATCGAGGAAGATTGCGTCAAGACGCTCGTCGACAGCGAACGGAGGAAAGAGTGGCGTCTGGAAAACACTTAGCAAAAGACGCTACCGGGGGAATTAGCCCGCGTCCCAGAAAAAGGGACGGAAGTCCGATCAACGCTACTCTCCGAGGAGGACAAACGACAGCGGAGTCTCCATCGGGCCCTTGTAAATGGGCCCGCGACAGCTGAAAATTCAAATTAAATTATTTTCGCGCGAGGCGCCAGGACACCGCGTGTGGCGCGAGGCGCCAGGATCTCTTGCGTGTCGCGAGCCGATTGGCCGCGGGGCTGCGCACCCCACCAAGCGGTCATTGACGCCGCTATCGACCCCGGACCGTGAGATCCAGGGATCATTCTGGTGCGGGAGCTCGAGCTACTTAGTCGCTCTAGTCTATTCGTTGTCGTAAAATGAAGTCGCTGTCGCCATTGACGAGATATCAGAGATACCAGAGGACGAGACCGAGGACCATCCCCAGGGCGAGGAGAAGTATCGGTGAGGTTGCCCATCTCTTATTTGTGAGCCACATACGCGATTCGGTCCGCGAGTCGGCCGTTCTGCCGCCGTCGCCATTTTTGTGTTTCGCGATCGTTTCGGCTCGGTACCGATACTTTCTGAATTTTCGGGCGATCGGAGGCAAGCGACCGAGGAAGAGCGGACACTCGCGTCGTAGGCATTAAATTGATAAGGCAACGTTCGTCTCTCTCCGGGTTTCGGGTGTTCATTACGCGTAGCTATCGACCGCCGAATATCGACCGCATGCGCGAAGGATCGCGAAAGCGAATATCGCCCGTGTTGTCGTACCGCTGTCGCTGCCGCGTAGAATATTCCGTAAATTATCTCAGGGCGATTTTTGATGTCTGATTGTGTGTATGTCGTCGTCAATTGTTAAGAGGGCGTATGAGCGTTTATGGTATTTTATTGTATTGTGTGCGTCAGAGTATTTGCGTCTTTGTCACGTTTCTTACGCCGTCGGATAGAGCGTAATAGAGGGAAATAGAATATTTGCGTCTTTGTCGCGTTTATTACGCCGTCGAATAGAGCGTGATAAGAGGTAATAGAATATTTGCGTCTTTGTCGCGCTTATTACGCCGTCGAATAGAGCGTAATAAATGGTATGTAGCGTCTGCCGAATTTATCGTGGTGCGAAATAATCGCCAAGTACCGAGAGTGAAATCTGAGCGACTTGCGCGGAAGGAAGAGGCGAAACGTCGGCGGACAAAAATCTCCGATCGCCGCGACTATCGAATATCGAAAAATATCGTTCGCCTGTCGCATACGTGATCCGTCTTCGCAAAAGTATTAAGTATTTTCGATCTATGGTTACTTATGCTGTCGAATTATTAAGCTGTCATTTTGTATTGCAAACTGGGAAATTGTAAGGCAAAGTCCGTAGCGATAAATTGTCGATTTGGTTGTCGAAATTGCGATACTCTTTTGAGTGAATATTATCCGCGAATATTTCCGTGCCGAAAATCCCTTGTATTCTGTAAAGTCTCGCTCAGTCCGGCGAACTCCGGCCATAAAAACGGGCTCGGCTAAACAACAGGATTGTCTGAGCGCTCTCGTTTTGGTTGTCGATTTCGAACAGATATTTGCTTAGAATAACGTCTTATTATTCGTGCCAGGATTAATTGGATTGTGCATTTCGTTTTCGTATTTCGTTCGAATTTATTGTGAACCGTCGTTTTCAACCTGATTTGTTATTCAAGTTCATTATTACATTTTTCCTTTTATATTATTTCTTTATTAATAAATGTGTTATATTTCTTTGTTAAATTCGCGTAATATATTTGAGTGTTAGTCTCTCGTGATTGTCGATTTCTGTCGTTGAGTCTGTCGCATTTCGAATTAGTGAAGTCTCGCATAATCAATTGATTTTCTCCCAAAAGCCCTCCCCTCTACCGTTAGGCGAGCTAGTCGGCCCGTGGCGACGCAGGCTATTATTTTTCGCGTTCTTTGAAGTTTCGTGGAAAAACTGATGCGTGAAAGACCGCATCTGGCGCCCAACTTATCGAGATATCGAAACGGCCTCCGCTCCGCCGCGACTCGCGCGAGAACGTCCTCCATCCCTGTTCCTCAGAACGCGAGTACATTAATTTCGTTATTTTTTTTGACGGCGTTTCCGCTCCTCCCGCGCTCGCTCCCATCCAACACCTCGAGGAGTGATGCAGATAAATTAGAATTGAAAAGAAACGACGCAATATATGTTGATTTTTTTTCGATGAGATCGTAAAGAGCATCCGCAAAAATATCTGTTTTTTCGCTCGTTCGGTGATCCTCACAGAATGAATCAAAATGTGGTCTAAATGATGGCTTATGATGATAAATTAATCTGAGAAAAATTTCAAGTTAAACATAAAAATATTTCGGAAATATGAAGAGTGAAAAAATGTCATAATCTCTACGAATCTACGGTTCTATGAAGTATACTACGGTTCTCTGCAGAAATCTACGGATATATATATATATATATATATATATATATATATATATACAGGGTTAGGCAAAAGTCCGGAAACGGTCAAATATCTCGAAAAGGATCAACTATAGCGAAAAATTGTAAATAGCAAAGTTGTAGGGCTTAAAAAAATGTACCTAATGATGACTAAAAATTTTACTTTGAGTGGAGGACGAAGATCATATAAAAGTCAAATTGAATTTTTTAAATGGAACTGCCTACTTTTTATTGCATATTCTTATAGCTGACCTCGAGAGCTTTCCAAAACACTATAATAAAATATTTTTCCCTCAAGCATTTATCGAGTTATGAGGCTTCAAATCATTTCTTAATTTTACATAAACCGTAAAATATCTTGTAAAATATTCACTTTTCGATTATTTTACCTTAATACTTTTATGTACAAAATAATGAGAGGAATCAATTGGTCTAAAAAAAAACACATAATTGTTCCGAAGAAAAAATATGTAATTGTTAATTGCAAATTACATATTTTTTCTTCGGAACAATTATGTGTTTTTTTTTAGACCAATTGATTCCTCTCATTATTTTGTACATAAAAGTATTAAGATAAAATAATCGAAAAGTGAATATTTTACAAGATATTTTACGGTTTATGTAAAATTAAGAAATGATTTGAAGCCTCATAACTCGATAAATGCTTGAGGGAAAAATATTTTATTATAGTGTTTTGGAAAGCTCTCGAGGTCAGCTATAAGAATATGCAATAAAAAGTAGGCAGTTCCATTTAAAAAATTCAATTTGACTTTTATATGATCTTCGTCCTCCACTCAAAGTAAAATTTTTAGTCATCATTAGGTACATTTTTTTAAGCCCTACAACTTTGCTATTTACAATTTTTCACTATAGTTGATCCTTTTCGAGATATTTGACCGTTTCCGGACTTTTGCCCAACCCTGTATATATACCGGGTGTTTCAGACCACCCGTACACCCCATTTTAAAGCAAAGGAAGTGGTTATTTTGAAAAATGTTTCAGACAAAAGTTGTTGAAGATAAAGTAATGCATTACATGGGTAAATTTGATTGACCTTGGGTGGCGTCGTGAAGGTCATGTCAAGGTCGACTTGAATTTTTTAAATGGGAACCCCTATTTTTCATTGCATATTCTTGTAGCTTATCTCGAGAGCTTTCCAAAACACTATAATTAAGTACCTTTTTATTAAGTACTTTTTGAGTTATAAGGCTTGAAATAATTTCTTAATTTTATATAAACCATAAAATATCTAGTAAACCATTCATTTTTCGATTATCTTACCTTCATACTTTTATGTACAAAATAATGAGAAGAATCAATTGGTGTAAAGAAAACACATAGTTGTTTCTAAGAAAAAATATGGAATTGTTAATTGCAAATTACATATTTTTTCTTAGAAACAACTATGTGTTTTCTTTACACCAATTGATTCCTCTCATTATTTTGTACATAAAAGTATGAAGGTAAGATAATCGAAAAATGAATGGTTTACTAGATATTTTATGGTTTATGTAAAATTAAGAAATTATTTCAAGCCTTATAACTCAAAAAGTACTTAATAAAAAGGTACTTAATTATAGTGTTTTGGAAAGCTCTCGAGATAAGCTACAAGAATATGCAATGAAAAATAGGGGTTCCCATTTAAAAAATTCAAGTCGACCTTGACATGACCTTCACGACGCCACCCAAGGTCAATCAAATTTACCCATGTAATGCATTACTTTATCTTCAACAACTTTTGTCTGAAACATTTTTCAAAATAACCACTTCCTTTGCTTTAAA